TCTGCCATACGTTGCATCGCAAGGTTGTGGCAAGAGAGTGCTTCCTCTCTAGACTTTTGGAGCGTGCGGAGTCTGTCTTCTGCGGCAGGAACTGTAGAACTGGGGAGGACATGCGGAAGGGCTCGTGGCTCGTATCCCATCATAAGAAAGAATGGCGATGCATTGCGAGAGTCGTGTTTGCGATGATTGTGGACGAATTCCGCCATAGGAAGCTGCTCTACCCAGTTTTCGGGGTTGTTTCGACAGTAGATTCTAAGATACGTTTCTAGCTCTTGATTGAGCCGTTCTGTCTGTCCGTCGGTCTGGGGGTGGTAGGCGGTCGATGCCGCTATATCGTACTTCAGCAGTTTGGCAAGGGCCTGGGAGAACTTGGATACGAATTGCGGACCGCGATCTGAAATGACTTTCTCGTGTAGGCCGAATCGCCTGTAGACGTATTTGAAGAATTTGTTGGCGACTCCTTCAGAGGTTATGGTTTTGGTACATGGGATAAGAATTACCCCCTTCATAAGCCCATGGTCGACCACGACCATGACAGAATCAAAACCGTTACAGGGGGGAAGATCAGTGATAAGATCGACCGAGACCTGGGTGAAAGGGGCTGCGGCGACGGAGGGAATGGGAACAAGGGGGGGGGTCGTCGGATGAGTATCGGATTTCATCTGCTGACAAAGAGCACAACCCTCAACGTATTTACGAATATAGGTGCCCATAGCAGGCCACCAAAAATCACGCTTAACCAATTCCTCTGTCTTGAAACGGCCAGGGTGGCCGGCAGTGGGGTGGTCATGACATCGTTCCAAAATGAGGCGCCGTCCGGCGGGGCGGACATAGGCGCGGTCCTTATAATAAAGGATATCGTTGGTGATTTTCCAGTCGGAGAGGGCGGATTTCATGGGAGGGAGGGACATGCCATCCAGGGCATCAGAGGCGGCGGTAAAGATGGGGTCAGGGTCGGAGGGATCGGGGTTCACCAGAGTGGTCATGAGTTCAACGTCAAGGAGTCGGACGAACATAGAATCTGGGAGGAGGGTTTCATTGGTATTATCGTCGGTGGAATCTGATCCGTGGTCGGGGCGATGGGAAAGGGCATCAGGAGCGACGAGTTTAGTTCCTGCAACATGGTGCAGCTCAATGTCATAGCATGACAGGATTAACTGCCATCGTGCTTGGCGACGGGTCAACTTCTGGGCTGTCCTGAAGTATAGGAGATTCTTATGGTCGGTGAATACAATGACGGGATGGGGATTTCCTTCCAAATAATGACGCCATTTGGTTAATGCGCGGATGACCACGAGGAGTTCACGATCAAAGATCTGGTAGTTTCGTTCTGCGGGGTTTAATGTCTGAGACAAATATCCACAAGGGTGATAGACACCATTATCGTCCGTCTGGAGTAGCACCGCACCGGTGGCAACTAGGGATGTGTCGGTGGCAACTGCGAACTGTCTGGCGGGATCAGGGTTGCGGAGGACTGGTTGCTTCAAAAAGCATTCTTTCAGTTCAGAAAACGCAGACGTGCATCGTTCGGTCCAAAGGAATTTAACGTCTTTCTTGGTAAGATCAATTAACGGTCTGGCGATGTCGGAGTAATGGGAAATGAAGTTCCGGTAGAAGTTGCAGAATCCCAAGAACAACCGAACTTCTTTTACCGAAGTGGGGGTAGGCCAATCCTGAATACCGTTGGTCTTGGCGTCGTCCATTGCTACACATCCAGGGCGAATGATCATCCCGAGGTACTCCACTTCTTCCGCGTCGAACGTGCACTTTTCCGGTTTAAGGAAAAGTTTCTCTTGTCGAATTCTTTCAAGGATGTGTCGGGTATGTTTATGATGGGAAGTGAGGTCGTTGGAGAATATGAGAATGTCGTCCATATATATAACGAGCCATCCTTCATTAATCTCCTGTTGGAATGTTCTATTCATATACGCCTGGAAAGTGGCCGGGGAGTTGCAGAGACCGAAAAACATGACGTTGGGCTCAAAAAGCCCGTATTCTGTGGTGAAGGCAGCCTTCCATCGGTCTTCCGGATGAATGCGGATGTTATTGTATCCAGACCGGACGTCCATCTTCGTAAAATATTTGGCACCATGTAACCGAGTGACCAGGGAGAGCGGCAGTGGGAGTGGGTAAGCGTTCTTAACGGTCCATTCATTGATATACCGGTAGTCTTGACAAGGACGGAGGTCTCCACTCTTCTTTCCTACGAAAAAGAAACCGCTGGCTTGCGGTGATTTTGATTCGGAGATAAACCCTTTCTGAATGTTTTCGTCAATAAAAGCCTTAACCGCTGTCTGCTCCTTTTCAGATAGCGGGTACACCTTAGATGTTTTAGGAATGAAACCTGGCTTTGTTTCTATGCGGTGGTCTATACCAGGTCGCTCCGGCGGTAGCTGATTCAAGCCATCCTTTGCGAAGATATCGGCAAAGTTGTGAAGATAAGAGGGAACGAGTTCCTCAAATGATTTCTTCTTTTGTTCGAGCCCGGCAGCTAGCGCAAACTGCTGAGCTTTGTTACTTGTCTTCGTGTATTCAGCAGGTGGTGTCAGGGGGGTGATCTTGGGTTGTTGCTCCGCGATGCTAGTCCCGTCTTTCGTCAAAGGGGTGTCAAGTGAGACGTTGGTGATTACCCGGAGTTCTGAGGTGTCGGCAGGGTATTCGACTAGAAATTCATCATCTTCTAGATGGTAGGTGGAGATTTCTCGCACCGGTGGTGCGTAACCAGTCGTCCATACATCATCCTTTGTGTCGAAGGAGTCGTCATCATCATCTGGTATAGGGTCTAGATTGGGCAACGCTGACGGGGTTGCTTCTTCATCATCAATCTCTTCTATTGTGGCATGCAATGGCCTCTGTTCAACCGCTTCCCTAGGAGGCGCCTTCGGCAGCACTACAACTGGGATCGGTTCTTCTCTCGTCTCCTTTCTACGAAAGAGAGGAGGTAGTCTGTTCTTCTTTCGTTCTTGATCGACTTCCTCCTCGATCTGATCACTCTTCTCAGTTCGAGAGAGTTCTAGCGTTTCCGCCTTCCATTGGATTACTGGGTCCATAGCGCGTAGCCAGGGAATCCTGAGTAAAATCTGATCACGTCGACCTAGTCGCATGATGTTAAACTTTCCGATCATTGATCGGTCGTCTATCTTGACGATGAGGACGCAATATCGTGTGATAGCGCCCCCCTTTGCATAACTCCCATCCGCGGTTGTAACCCGAAATGGTTTCGATAGTTTATGCGTTCGGATGCTATGAGTCTTGACGAATTCTTCGGAGATAAAGGTTCTGGCGGCGCCGGAGTCAACGACTGCTGTTGTTTCGACGGTTTTCAGACGTGTCTTGGAGATTAGGGAAATGGGAACGCGGAGTTCCTTTCTTATTCCAATACTCTGTACAAGTCTTATGGGTACATCGGAAGATATGGACGTCGATCCCATCTTCCACATCAAAAATCCTCGGCGAGACGACGGATCGTTGTATCTTCTTCTTCACTGTCGCTTATCTCTTCTCTGCGAACAGGAATCTTCTTCTTCTGTGGGCATGCTTTAGTCATGTGCCCCTTCTGGTGGCACGTGAAGCAAAGTCCCTTCTTCATGTGGTCACTTCTTTCAACTTCAGTGAGTCGGTCTACCTCCATAGCGTTTGGATCGTGTCGGTCGATGGAGGGTCTGGGAACGTATCGTTGTCCCGATGGTTTGGTAGTGGTACGATGATTTGATCGGTACACAGCTCCTCTCTGGTAGTTACTGTCTAGTCGAATGACGGCGGCGACATACTTGTCGAAATCTACAGGGATGGTTTCCATCTGGTAGACGGAGTTAACGATTCCCTTCTTCAGTCCGTCGTTGAGGAACGTAATAAGGACAGCGTCCTGTTTCACAGCTGCTTGTGCGGCAAGCGTTTTGAAGCTGGCGATATAGGATGCGAGGTCGCCTGTCTGCCTCAACGTGCGGAGCTTATTCATGGTGGTTCCGGTGGCATCGGCTGGTACGAAGGCCTCTTTGAACTTGGTTTCAAAGTTCACGAAGGTTCCGTACGTCTTAGCGGCGGAGTTATCAACTTCGGTATAGAAGGTCAGCGCCCAGCCCATGGCGCTTCCTTCTGTCATGTAAGCAAGGGCGGTGATGACCTTCTTTTCGTCGGTATTATAGATGGTAGCATTAAGCGCAAAGTACACCTTAACTGCATATAACCATCGTAGGGCTTGGGAGGGACTTCCATCATAGGTAGATGGGGCTCCGGCCTTCAATTCTGGGGTGGTAGTTGTTGTAGACATCCTGACGTGTAGTCGAGTGATGCTTCGGTTTCAGGGGAATGTTATCGTTCTCTTGCTGAGTCTGGTTAACCTCTCTTGATGGAGAGGGTCGTCTGGGTTTCTGGTTAACCTCCTTGATGGGGAGGGTCGTAGGAGGACTTTAATCTTTTGTTACGGTAAACCGTAGGTCGACTAGGATAGGTGCGACAATAGACACTTGATAAGAGTGACGTCTAAAGTCGGGTCGTAACCTCACGAATGTAAGGCTTCTTAAGACAAGTTAGAGAGAGTGTCTCCGACTTGAATATCGATGCGGACGCTTAAGATTGGGGGTCTTAAGCGAAGGATGTTCTGGGTGAAACCTAGTAGATTAAAGTGAAGTCTAGCTAAGTACAAGACCCTGCTTATATAGGTAAGGCCTGCTTTAGGGCCGGTACGTACACATCATCGAGACGAGTCAGAGATAAGGAAATGACGTCATCAAGACGAGTCAGAGATAAGGGGAATGACATCAGCTAACGATGGCATGAGGCGGTCGCGCTGTGATACACAGGTAAGCAAAAGAAAGGAATAGTCTAGTGATGGCACGGCTAAGTGCGGTCATGACGTAATACAGAGGAAGGTAGCGAGAGAAAATGATAGGGGGCAACCATTACTGTAACACTAGCCAGATCATATGGTCATTGGTTGATGGTCATAGTCTCATGATCTCGTGTTTGAGGAAGGCTGCCAAGGTTTCTTGGGTTTTTGTTCAGGTGCAGTTGTTGTAGATGTTGAACACTGTGCATTGTCCAAATGGGCCAAGAAATTGAGTGACGACTACATCAGGGGAGGGGAAGGGGATTTGCTGCCAGGAGTTAGTATTAAGGGATTTAGAGATTAGAGTAACAGCGTGTGAGGTGGTTTTGGGAGAAGAGAAGTGAGTTGTTGGGTATATAGCATGGAAGTATGGTGATGATATTGTGTTTTTCATGTGGTTTATGTGTGGTTCTTGTAGTGCTATCACATCCCATTTGTTGGTGATGGGACCATTGAGGAGGGAGTGTTGTGCGGTGAGGGAGGTGTTGAGATTCTGCTGCCATACATGTAATCTAATCATTGGGTCATTCTGTTGTTCATTCATTTGGGGGGGGGTGGGGATCCATGGGCTTGAATTGCTTGAGGTGCTTGAGGGGGATGGGGGTGGGGGAGAGAGAGACAAATTGTTTGAGGTGGTTGAGGTGTTTGGTTGAGGGTGTGTTGTTGTCGGGGTTGCTAGTTCCTTTGAGGCTGGGGGCAGAGGTGTAGATGGTTTTTGGGTTGATGGTTGGGAGTTCTCTGTTCCCCATCCCGTCAGGATTGGGATGGAGTTTGATCCTGTTGGGGTGAAAGCACATGATCAAGGTCAAGTGAAGTGAGTGGGTGCTCCTCTTGAAGGTCTACCATAGGATCTTCTGTTCTGAGGTGGTGGGTTGATTTCGAATGGGAGGTTGGTCTGTCAGAAGGTCGGTCATTGATTGGTGAGGGGCTGTTCGGCTGGTTTCAGGGCTAACATAACCTGAGTCCAATCTTCGTTAGTCGAGAAGTAGGGCATGGAGTTTTCTGGGAGCTTGGTGTCAATTCCTGTGCAGCAATTCTCGAACTCTGGGCAGTTTCTGTTCCAGCTTGCATGGTCATGTAAGTTGCAGCTGATGCAATAGAATGTGTGATATGCATTGCAGGTGTCAGTCTGGTGGTTCTTTCCACAGGTACCACAGATGTCCTTTGGGGCTTTGCATTCTTTGGCTACATGGCCCCATAGCTGGCATTTGACACATTGGACTGGCTCCCATTTGTCCTTGTGTGGGTGTAGTTTTTCTTGGCCTATGTATATACCATCGTGTAAGGTGGTGTTGGCTGCTGAGGGGTTAGTAAAGTGGAAAATTGCATGAGCTACCCTTTGGTCTGAGGATCTCCAGGTTTTTGGCTTAATCCAACCTGCTGCTTCAATGGATCCTATCGGTAGTTTGTTTTCCGTTTCTAATGCTTGGAGCCAGGTCCTGTCTTTGACATTTGCTGTGACTGGTAGGAATGGAAATATGGTGGAGAATCTTCATTCCTTGATAGAGGCTGACAGATTGAGCGCTTCGGTGAGCCTTACTCTGTTTTCTGGCAGATGGATCCAATTCGCAGCTTCAGCTGTGGTTAATTCAATAATGAGTCCACCATTTTGCAGGTGGGTGGTGGCTTTAATTAGCAGATCAGGAGAGTCGGTAGTTTGGATTGCAGTTAGTAGCTGTTCATACTTCTTGGCAGTGTCTGCAAAGTTTTCGTTAGGTTCATAGAGTGTGTTGCTAGTGATGGGTTCAAGTAGGATCTGGCGTTCCTTGGTGGCTGCTCTAGTAAGGGCTGCCGAGATTGGGGCTGGGATTGGTGCGCTCTGTTGGACTACTGTGCTGTAGGAGTGTGCATTGACCAGTGGATTGGGTGGTGGCTGCGCTGATTTGGTTTCTGCCATAGTGGTCCTAAGCTGTGTGATGTCCTCAGCATTCTTCTTGATCATTTCAGAGGCTGTTGCCATGACTGCTAGTTGTAGTGATATGGCCATGAAGGAGTCAACTATTTTTTCTAGGCGTTTGAAGGTTCCTATCATATGGAGGGATGTGGTTTCTGCAATTTTCTTTGCTTTCAATTCATGATTGGCTTGTCCCAGTAGGATTGCAATTGCTCTCAGCATGTCCCTTTGTAGTTGCATCACTCCTAGAGTGTTGAGTGTGAATTCAAATAGTGCATTCATCAGGTCTTCAATGGACGCTCCTGCCACTGGTATCAACATTCTTTTGCTGACTAGCTCAGCTCTTGCAGTTGCTGTATCTGTTACTCTCGATGGGGTTGAAGGGTTACTTATTAGTTTGGGGATTGATCTGTTAGATGGTCCAAGGAATATGTTTTCTTTGTTTCTTAGGCTTGCCCATGTAGGGGCAGTGTCTACTTGGTCATCCACTGGCACCTTGTGCAACAGGCTTCTGTGTTCTGGTTATTAATGGTAGAGCTAGTGTAGGTCTATATAGTGGAGAAAATTGGTTTGATAGAGTCTTTTGATGCCTAGTGGCATCAAGGGCGCTGTTGGGCATGATGTTGAAAACTTTTGGTTTTCAGGGTCCTGGTTGGGGTGCCACTTGGTACTGGTCCAAGGTGCGTTTTCCGGGGATGCTATCATCTTATTTTTATAACATACACTTAACAACACATTCCCACACACTCTTTGCAGTGTCTATCTCCTGTCTCGCTGGACATAATGATACTGTGCAATCGCGGTGCAATGTACTACTAGGATAAGTATCATTCGAGTTTCCTGATTTAGCAGCTGAGCTCGGTCGGTTTGGATGATCCGATTGGATCAGTTGCTTCTCCATGTGACGTAGTATTGTACCAGGCGACGTTAGCTAAAGTGGATAAATGGATGGGATGGTGGGAAATACTCAGATACGCACTGACCCGGCTGTCGAGGAGGTGGTAATCTCGTAAATGTTTGTGAATTCCCACAGCCAGAAGGCGTTTGCTAAAATAGAATAACACCAGTAAATTCATACATGAAGATCAAACGGGACATCATTTCACTAGGGGATTACTCGGGTGAGATGGCAGAACAATTTACTTGTTGAGCCTCGTAAGTCTCGACGACGGAAATAGGAAAACGTGCTGCTCATGCCAAACTCTCCAGATCTTGCTATAGTACGCGAACAGATTCCACTCTACGCTTCCCCGAACCTGATCTCATGATCATAAGATCCGGTGACAAGAATTACAGACATCTTGCCAGAGTTCTTGAACAAAGAAGCTGAAGATGCTGACAGCGACCTGTGATGAATGTCATCTTGCCTAGTAAAACATCGTAGCGCCGCGTCCGCGCCAGTTCCCAACTCCGTCAACATAGGTGTGTCCTCTTGTAACACAAGATTTTACTCCGATCCCGATTATCAAGCGTCTTGATACCACATAGGCAGCAAGACGAGTAGCAATCGCTATATCGCTGTTCAAGCCAAGTGTCAACCAAATCGATTTCCAGGCGATTTTATACTACACAGATACGCGAATCAAGAACAGAACCTCTCAGTAGAGGCAAATATGGCAGAATGATAATGGAGATATTAAAGTGCATCATAGTATCTAGGATAATCGCATATATTGTGAACAGTGGAGGGCAGGCAAAAGGCTTCATCCAACACTCCGGGAACGCGCCAAGGCGTCTTCACCAAGAGCATCCCGTACAAGGAGATATGAGTGCTGATTTGGAGTCAGAAACGACGACGAGAGAGTAAGAGGGACAGTGAGACAAAGGTAGAAGTTGGCAAGGATGCAAGGCAGGGCGGTCGGGTAAATGTATAGAGCAGACGGCATCAGATAAAGTGGTGATAGAGACACGACACAAGCGGCTGACCAAAACCTCAGTCGGCAATAGTGTCTAAGGCAAAGGGTTAGATAGAACAGAATGGTAAAGGTATGTGGGTGGAAGAGGGCGGCGAAGGACGGCAGCCACCTCAGAGCCATAGAGATCTCAGACGATCCATCCAAGGATACAGCAAGGGAAGCAACCGGCGAGGACGATCAACAGGAAGGGGGAAAATCACCAATTCATCTAAGACAGCGGGGTTAATGATTTTGCCAGAAGGACAGCGCGCGATCTAACGAAGTGGGTGGTAAGGGCGCGAACAAAATGTGACTTGGTGCAGCGGGGAACCAAAAGGCCTGAGGCTGGGATGGACGAGACAGATATTTAGTCTCGATCTCTTGCACGCTGGAATACATCCAAGGGGGAGGCCGATGCAATAACTGCGAAAAAATCCAGTTCTTGACATGAGCCAGCATACACGGATGATGTCACTATACAGTGAAGATAGACAACGAGAGTGAGACGGATCTCAGCTGTGTGATTGCTACAGCATTGAAACGCGAGCGATGTGGGCCTGGTAAATTTGATTACATAACAAATTGCCATACTAGTACGTTTATATCTGCCAATAGAACCCTCTCCCTTATTGTAGGGTCGGGAACCGAGTGTCCATGTCAAGCTTATCCAGGCTGAACGTTGAATCCTGTACCTTTGTCTGACACTTCTCTTTGTGGCACCTCGGTAAATGGAGCTGTGACGAATCGACCCCGAGGAGACGATCCGGAGTAGGGTGATCCCTGGTCATTTACGCCACTAGTTGATGGAGGGGAAGTATTACACATGTGGCTACTTACCCGTGCGTATATGCTCTGGTATAACATGTGTCTACGTGCGCGGCGCACGGAATGTTACATGTTAGCCGCAAGGCAAGAGGCAGTGTCTTTTGGGTCTGTACCTCAGCTTCTTACTTTTCAACGGGGAGCATCGCATTTTATTTTAAGTTCAGCCTGATCAAGTCATCGGGGAATCAAGTTGTATCCGTCCAAATGAAACTAGTAAAGTCTTCAGCGATTGTTCCTTAGATTGCCAGCTAATCAACGTATCTGGAGGTCCCCTTCACTCGGTAAGCGGCCTCGTCCTTGATATATTTGAATCCACTGGTATCAAGGCTTCTCAATGCTAATACTGCTCACCTACTACAGCAGTTCAAACGTTCAATAACCGTCGTGTGGACAGTTTTAAGAACAAGACACTCTCGGCGCTCGCATTCCGCCCCTATACACTCGAAGTGGTGGCGGCCTGAGCATTACGATGCTACAGGATTCCGCACGTCCCAAGTTCGGCATAAAAAAAAGCCATGTATAACATCCGCCGCAATCAAAGTAAAGCGCTCGTGGGGACTCCATGACCCGCCGCCCAGCGTCATTTTTGGATCCTGACTAGCTTACTCAGCTTCACCGTGGAAGAAGAGCGAAGGTACGCCACTTGAGGCAATTGAAAGCTGGCCTAGAATGCTACAACTTGACAGTGCCTGGACTTGAAGCAGTATCGCCTCACAGATCTCCGATACTCAAGCTCAAATCCCGAACGGCTCAACGGTCAATGTGAGCTCCACCTCTCTCACGCGACACCCTTGTGAAGATACTGACGATGATATGTGAGGTAGTCCCTGAAATTTAAGCGCGCTCCAGTCATATTTAAGCTCAATGGATTCGCCATGTAATTCCATAACCAGCCACTTTCCCCCCTGACCTCCTACAGACTCATCTTAATCTTGTTTTCCCCTATCCCTTTCGTGAATTATCCTTGCAGGTGTTCTGCAGGCCCCCTCGATGTGGTGTAGCTGCTGCCAATCCACGTGGTATTACACTTCCGAACGCCTTCAAAGTGTAAATCTTTTACGACGGTCACGTGATGGACGCCCTCATTAATAACAATATTCAGGATTGGCCACGCCACCAAAAAGAATGTGTTCTAGCAACCCATACCCCAGATTTTGCTACTCCACTAGCTGCTGAGCAGCAAGTGATTACGGGTTCTGCTGTCCTCTTCTTACCCGAAGAAGGTGAATCTCGACGCATTTTCTCATTAGAGTCATATTCATTATTGTAGGGCATCCAAATATCATTACGGTCAAGTGCCGTCCGTCGAAAGTCCTGTCGCGGGGTATGCGCCCCCAACCTCTCGTCAGTGGACATTTTTCGGATGGCCAAGCGGAAAGCATTGTCTTGACACAAGGTTTCAATGGAGAACCACTCAAACTTCCCCTTCATCTGTGGTACCTCCCAACTGCACTATCGCCTTGCGTACCCATTAACCGTGCTACCTCGCGCCACCTCTCGGCTAGCAATGAGGGTCCGGCCGTACGGGAACGACGGACCATCGCCATCTTCCAACATCCATACTTGACGGACTGCGTCACTTTCTCCATGGACTACAAGCGCATTCTCAATGATGGTATTGATATGACGATATCAGAGAGGGCAGTACCCAAAGATGAGGAAACTCTCAATACACCGGCATCAAAGGTATTTATCCGTTGTTTGCTAGCCCATCCCGCATCTCATATGTCGTCTTTTTGATTTCAAGGCTCAAGACTCTGATTTAAGGGCACGTCTGCATGTTTTACCCTGAAAACGCAATTTGAGCATGCTTCATGCCACAGATCCTCGCTATCGACACACCCGCCCGCGATGCATGCATCGCGGGGGACTTGTCTACTGCTGAAAAAATTCTCACACAAGAGATCAATGCCAATGCCAACAAGTACGCCTCATATGCTAATCGCTCGTTTGTTATGGCACGCAAGCACCACTGGGACCATGCGCTTCAGGATGCGATCAAGGTGAGATATACTGACCCACCGGTCACTATGAGGGGCTAACTCTCATCACGACTTAGTCCATCAGCATTCAGCCTTCCTTGACAGGCTGTATCTCCAAGGGCATCGCCCTCTGCGGGAAAGGGAACATCCGGGATTCGATTCAAGCGTTTGATCTCGCATTCACGTTCGCAAACGAAGATTCAAGGATTATTATTTTTCTTCTCTTGATCAAGGTAGGTTAAATTTTTCCGAGATACTCCTGTCTTTATCATGGTTTTCAGGCTATCGCAATCTTCAATGCAGGTCAGCATGAGGAAGCAATTATACGTGTGCAAGAGCTCGCTGCCACTTGCCGGAACGATGTCCTTGCATGTCGTATCGTAGAAGTGAGACTTAATGATGCCTAGGTTCGTGTATTGACACTGATTATCTGAACTCTGGATATCAGGCGTACTTACGAGTCCAACTGGTAATCGATGCCTTGGATGGTGGGCGTCACAATGAAGCTACTGACCACTTCACTGCGGCTGTCAAGATGGACATTTTCTCATCTCGATTGGCCATTCATTCCAGATATGATGACTTTGTGGTGGTACGTTGATATGCAATCGAAAATCTTTCCATGTTCAACCGGGTGCTTTAGCTGTTCGGGTGGGACCTTGCATCGTCGTGGATGACTGCAAACCAGAAATTTTGTCATGCACTCCTTCAGGCAGGTAGATTTTGGGAAGCCATCGGATCGTACCAGTATATGATGAGTGTGGGTGATATAACAACGGAGGCCAACTCCCTTGCTTGGTCTACCGGCAAGTCTTCAGTCATATCACACATTACAATCCTCACCTGAATCTCATTCAGTTTTCAAGCAAGAATGCAGCGCACTCTGTGCTGTCAACGGAGATGCTGCCTTCACTGCAGGCGATCATGACAGGGCTATCGACCTATACTCAGCAGCGATCGAGCTGGATTCCGCATCTGGTACCATCTTTGCAAAGCGCAGTAAGGCCAAGTCAGGGAAAATGTTATGGATCGAAGCACTTCACGATGCGCAAAAGGTGCGATGGCATTTATCATTTCGCAATCAAAGCTTATTGTGGTGGTACTTAGGTCATCAAACTCAACCCTTTATCTTACCTTGGATACAATCTGAAGCACACAGCGCTTCATGGTGCACAACGCTATGATGAAGCGGTCCAGGCCTTCCAAATTATGATGTTTAAATTGGACGATGCTGCTGACGTTCTAACCCTAAGTAAGCCCCCAATAATGCAAACGTCGAGAGGCTCAACTCTTCTTGCAGAGCTACGCCAGCAGTATATCAGTCCATCCGAAGCAGCGCATGACATTCGGAAGGTCGTTGATGCTCAACTGGAAAACGCTCCATTTCGTGTACTCGACACCACTACCGGGCTCTTATGTGATAGAGAGGCGCAGATAAACGCCTTCAAACCGAGTGTAGAGTACAAGGAGCTTGTGTCATCAACAATCATGCATCCAGACTTCAGAATGAAACGCATCCAAGAGACAGTCGCGACGTACTTCCGTTATGCCATGCTATCCCACAGGTGGGAAGGGAAGGAGCCACTGCTGCAGGATATCCAGGACAAGGTCTTGTACGAGCTGAATCCAGTTGGCAGCATGGCGAAGTTGCAATCGTTCTGCAAAATTGCTCGCCGTGCGGGGTACCGCTGGGCATGGAGCGATACGTGTTGCATCGACAAGACCAATAGTGTCGAGCACCAAGAGGCAATCAACTCCATGTTTGCCTGGTATCAACACTCGGCGCTCACGATCACCTACCTGTCAGATGTCCCACCCTCGTCGAAATCCGGCGCATTGGCAAATAGCTCTTGGAACACACGCGGATGGACAGCTCCAGAACTCCTCGCTTCCAGAATCATTCTCTTTTATCAGAACGATTGGACTTTATACCTCGGCGATGACTCTTCTAACCACAAGGAGTCTGTCGCGATCATGCAGGAGTTGGAGCATGCGACAGGCATAGATCGACGAGCCATTGTAGCCTTCCGTCCTGGGATGCAATGCGCCAGAGAGACACTCCAGTGGGCGTCTACACGTGTCACAACATTGCAGGAAGACATCGCCTACTCATTATCCGGCGTCTTCGGCGTCCGCCTACGTGTGGATTATGGCGAGAAGAAACAATACGCACTTGGGCGGCTTCTGCGGAAGGTCATAGCACAGTCAGACGATATCACTGCCCTAGATTGGGTCGGGAAACCATCGACATTCAATAGTTGTTTACCAGCCGACATCACTTCGTACAAAGCTCCCCCATGCAAGCTGCCATCTCTATCAGAAGAAGCCATCCAGTCATCGGTCTCTTTTCTACGAAGCGCAGTGGCTCTAGAGTCGGCTTCGAGGTTGTATCAGACGCTCGACGACCTGAGCGCTCCACGGTTCGCGCACCGCCGGTTGCATCTGCCTTGCATTGTGTTCCCAGTCACAGAAGTCAGGCGGAAGCCTGGCCAAAACAAGGAGATACGTTGCACGTATGGAGTCAAGGCAGATGGGCTTCATGACCTGGATATAACCACGGAAGACAAGCTGCCTCAATTCTCGCGGACACTGCCGATGCCAGCTTGGCGGACGATCTTGCTTGTCCGCACATGGACCCGGCATCTCCTTGAGCTGCCTGACCCTGCAGACGATACAGAGAGCGTGGAAGATTTGTCCGTGTCCGAATCTTCGCTGCCCCCTTTAGAAAAGAGCCGGTTTATTCGGAATCTCACTCGCGGGCATTGCGATTGATTGTTCGCCTTGGACAGCCGTTTGGGGCATTTTTGCTTGCGCGGCAGCGCGACGGGGGATACAAGAGAATCGCGTCAGATCGTAACATCATCGCACAAGTTAGAGACATGGCGTCTGTTGGCGACATGATGGACATCAGGACACTAGAGATCATGTAACTGCACGTATTCTCGTTGAGCGGAGATCTTTCAGAAAAAAACAGTACCTGTATACATAAATCCTTCTTCATACCATCCGCACTGTATACCTAGCTCACAACAGAACTACAATCCATCACCTACAATCCATCCTACTAATTAATATGATTGATTGCGACATACAGAGCAATCTGTTTGTTCACCGCGTTCGAGCCGCTGCCATTCACCCTCAATTCCAAATCCAAGTCAATAGACATTTCCTGTAGTTGGCGCAGAGCTCAGGCTACACATTTCTCTAGAGGCGCGTATGCAGTGTAGAAAATAAATAAACCAATCAATTGAGGCCCTTCGATGTGAAGAGCGTCGCATTCGCATTGTTCGGAAGGAATCACTGGTAGTACCAGACGTTCACCATAACCTGGAATGTATATATATAAGTTATGACCACACCATCCGTCCATAAGATCTACGGCGAGCCATCAAGCAGAAGGCTTCCACTCAGCAAGCCACTCCTTCATGTACATCAATCCTGCTTCCTGTACGGCCGCGACTGTCGCGTCCACAATGCCATTCTGTATCACCAAGTCCGTACAGTGGAATCCATCGCCCTCATAGATCGGCCTGCTGGTAGTGTTGGCCTTACCAAGCCCATAAGCAGAGACAGTTGCCTCGCGCCAAGGGTCACGCAGGCCGTTGGCGAAGAAGAGACGTGGGATATCCACGTCCCAACCAGCGTACATCACGTTCGTCTCTGCCGTGGTAGGCTGAGGTGGACAGGCGAATGCTTCAGGGAACATGTTGACGCATTGACGCTGACGATGATGTCGACAAACGATCATCTTTCAAGTCATATTGTACATACCTGGTCATAAATAGGTTGGAGGATGCGGCTCACGATGGCAGGCTCGCACTCGGGAGGGCCAACTTGATACCATCCGACTTGGTTGCACCTGAAACGACTGTCAGCGTGGACATTGAAGCAAATGAGAACACCTACACCATCCAAAACCACGACCTGTTTGCATTATTCACTGTGACGTTAGTCCAGTATGACTGGCTCGTGTTATACGTCCCAAGACAGGTTCTAATTTCACTGTCAGCCAATCCGGACGACTACGTCCCAAGGATACGTACTCAGCATCCTCGTCTCCACAGACTTTACTATCAAGTTTAGCCACATCAATCAGAAATCAAGAGAACCGCCTACCATAGTTGTAGTACGTGGTATTCCAGAAGTACCCCAAGAGTAGATAGCATTATCAAGACCCCATCCCTGAGGTCCAGCGCTAATGCCATCCTTGACTTCAAGTGCATCGCAGAACTCGAAGAACATTGCTCCTGGGCCGACGTCAGGCTGCAGAGACTGCCAATCGAACAAATTGGATTGAACTGTTGGTCCGAGCAGGGTCAGTTGGGGTAACAAGGTAATAAATATGTGTTCTCTGCCATAGACAGAGAGGACGACTCACGTGCAGCGGCGAAATCCTCTACGTGTACAATATCGCCGAGGCCAAATGCCTCCTTGAGCGTCTGGATTCCAGCGGTGTCGCTAACCGCGTACATGTCATCCAGGTAGGATATCACTGCTTCTACGTCAGAGGAACAGTTCCGTGGCATGTACTCGCGAATTGGGGTGAAATAGTCATAATAGTCGCTGTTTTAGTTGACAAAGTAAGGAGAACCATCAACAGGAAATGGGCACCGATTACATCAAAGCGACGTACGTGATTGCCTCTACAACGCCAGAAGATGCATATCCAGCCCAAAAAATTCCCGGTTTGCTTTGTGTCGATCATTATGCTGAAACAATAGAGTTATTTCTCGGCTCACTTGACCATCGTCCAACTTGTGAGGGCTCCTGAATAGCTCCCTCCGATTAGTATCCACGGCGCCTGACCTGGCTTTACAGCATCACCCCCAGGCATAGGAAGGTCGGCTGTGGTCGCAAAATACACGAGATCATCAATGGCCTGCTGGATGGTGAGGAGCGAGAGAGATTGTGACGTGAGATTTTTGTATGGATTGGAATAACCAAAGAAACGGTGTTCGATGATGATAGCTGCACCATTCTGTTGTTGAGCAATGAGACCGCTGATGGTCTCATTGGTAGTGTAGGCTTCGTAGCCTGATGAAAATCAAGTAGTTGAGAAAAAGGCACAAACCGAGTAACATAGCACTTACCATCTGCGTTACATTCTCCAGGAGTCATCAAGATGATGGGACCACCTTCAATGCATCACATTAACATGCAGCGCACCTCCATCCTCTCAACATACCAGGCTCATAGAACTCCCAGTTCATCCAGTACCGCTGCCGGAAGGTTCCGAGCCCTGCGTCATTGTGGTCTATGAGCTGGTCAAAGTGATAGACGGTCGTAATGGGTGGGAGCGCTGTGCCATTCAATGAAGTGCGAGAACGTTCAGACACAGAGAGCTTGGGGAGGGAGTGCATGCCACGAAGCATGGCATTAGGGATAGCTGCTTGGGTGACACCTGTCAGTAGGAGCAACTTGAGGGCCCACATGATGCCGAACCTCGATCGCAAGGATGGGGTTGGATAACATAGTTGAGTGAAGTCTTTTTATGGTCATGGGAGTGGGTGTGCTGTTCCTCGATGCATGAGAAAAGCTGGGGAGGATATAATTGGACGTAGCTGCAGGATTGCCAGTTGAGCTCAATTGATTCTCAAAGGACCCAATGATAAATTTACTACACCTTGGAAGCACTTGTCCACAGTCTTTCAGATCGGGTCTCCTTACACACGCTAACCTAGTGATTTCCCTCCTCAGAGAAGCTCCCGCCCATTTCCTCAAGGTTCTTGTCAAGTTCCTCCCGAGCGACGTGACCTGCTCTATTGCGTGAACTGAAGAGCTCTGTAATGCTTACCCTCACCCCACGAGTCCACGAGGGCTGGGAGGGTCAAGTCGCGAGGAACGTTGCGCGAGGTTTTGGAAGAACGTTTTGAGATATATCTGTTCGCTCCTAGTTCCCCCTAGGCTCGTAACTACTTTAATCATCGAGTCTGGCCTGACTCGTTTAAAATTTGGTAGATGCGGCGCTGATCTTTCAATTGAACCTGCATAAGTTATTACATAAGTGGCATGATCCAGGCCCATGACTCAGCATGAGCTATATTTGTAGAGTCACAGATTGCACCTTCAGACATGCCACCTATTCCAACAGCGCTAGATGCTGAAGCTCTCTCTCTAATTGAGTCCATCGAACGGCACCATAATGACCTTTCAACTTTTCAGATTCCTCGTCTGAGAGCTTGCACCGGTCCTTTGACTACGCAACAAGCATGGGCTGCGGAGGTAAGGGAAGACATCGAAGGTCTAGCAAGACAAATTGAGGTCTGTCAATTTGCGTATCGAAGTTCAACCATTATTCACTACTCATAGGAACTGGTTGTCCTTGTTGATGACCACAGGACTGAAAGGGCGAAGAGAGAGCTGAGGAGAAGAGCTGAAGTTTTTCGTGATTCGTTGGTCAAGTATGTAACCGTTTGACCGTCCAGTATTGTCTCCGGCCTCTGACAAGTCTTTCTCTCCTGATGTCAGTCTACGCAAAGATTCTCGAGCAGCATTGCTAGCGTCGAAACATACAATTAACTCCCAAAGTCGGTCACAGCGAGAGGAGTTGTTGAGGTCCCCTGCCATTCGAGAGAAAAGTACAAGCTCCTCGAGTGAGAAAGTCACGTTCGTCAGCGGCATGCATTCGTAGTGCCTCCGATACGGCTGACACTTGAACTACAGTGAGAATGCACTCATGAAAGCCAATCATGATGTCACAGAAGCACTGCAACGAACAACTGGACTCGTACAGAAAGAGCTCGAGCGCAGTGTCTTGTTGAGCCAACTGCTAGGCAAGTTCCTCACGGCGTCATTTTTCTCTAATACCTACCGTCCGTTTCATACAGAATCGTCTACTGCAACTCTCCAATCCGCATCCACGATGCACGACACGCTCGATCTCATCCTCGGCACCTCTAAACAACTTATTACCGCACTCGAAAAGACAGACTGGCTCGATCGCATCCTTATTATTTCCGGCCTCGTGTTTTTCGGCCTCGTGGTCCTCTTTATTCTGAAGCAGCGCATCATTAACCGCGGACTACGCATCGCCTTTTTCTGGACTAGTTTTTTGCCAAGCTCCAGCTCGAGCACGCGCGCGGTGGTGCAGAAGGCTGGAGAAGTTGTAACGACTGCGTCGGCCGCTACTGCTGCTGCATCGGCTGTGCTGGCGTCGTCGATAGGTGGTCAGTATGGCGGAGCCGGTCCGTTGATAGAACCCAGCATGAACGTGTTTGAATCCCCTAGTTTCACAATATCGGTTACTGAGCCATGGACTACTGAACAGCATAGCGGCTCAGGAGACGCACGTGTTGAATTATGATAATTTTGACGATTCCGTCGGTAGACTCACAGGAAACAGCTGAACCGTAGAATCAATATTGTAAGTTGTGTATTGAACGGGATTATGAATTGGGACAAAGTAACACCCCTCTCATCACACAAGTCCATCTCTTGCGTCGTGAAACGTTACGTCACCTAGCTCATCAACGCTTCCCAGAGCCATTTCGTTCCTATTCAACATCCGTTCAGCTCAGCTGTCCACCTTACTTTCTTTGTGCAACCGCCCGTACGTCCTCTTCTTCATACATCCAGCCCCTTCTTTGTACATACTACAACCTCCCACTTTCTTTGTACAACTGCCCTCCTCGTTATACACGTTGACCGTGTTCTATGACAGGGAATTAGATGTGACGTATGTGTACTTTTGATCACATTTGTACTAATCAGAGTGTACATGGATTAGAAGAAAGGTTGTGGATCTTGCTCGTGCTGAATTAATAATTACAGACGTCTGCCACGAGGTCGACTTGGGTGCCGTTCAAACCTGTGTTGGGTCAATGAGCCATAGTGTTATTGATGGGTCGAGGCTGAACGTTGCACACCGCACTGGAAACTGTAGCAAGAATACTTCGAAGATGGCCCTATTTCCTATCGCTCAGGAAAGCTTCAGTTCCTCTGGGCTCATCATCGAGTGCTTGATGTCAACATCATCATGATCTACCCAGCTCCGGCATGACAGCTATCAACAGTCAACTATTTCTTCCTACAACTTCATTTTTTCTCGCTCCCCGCAAGAAAAGACGTCGAGTCACCGCGAAGTATGAAACATAGCGCCCGTCTTTCATGTACATACTTCAATCAGGCTGCTTAGCCTTGTTACATGCGAAACATGCGGTTGTTTTTCAGGCAGCCTGCACTTGTACCCACCTGTGCACCGCGCTATAATAGCTGGGCATAAAGTCCATTATATGCAAACGAGTAATGCACAACCGCTTCTCTGCCAACTTGAATCCAAGTACGCTGCTGCAGTACCCCCGGTTGCATTTGCGCGTAAACTCAAAGTCTCCATTTTTGTCTCTGTGTTCAATGTTGGGAGGCGCATGGAATGGCCCAATTCCGGTCACTTCCTGCTCTGATGCTCTGCCATCAGGGGATCTAATATTCCACTAACTAACGTAGCGCCATGGCTAGGATCATACAACAGTTCTGATCTCCTTGGGCTGCCTGATCCTGCCGGCGATAAGCAGAGTTGGTCCGTGCCGGAGTATCCATACAAGAACCTGTTGATTCAGACTCAATTCAGACTCAAGTGTTTTTGCGCTACACGTTCGCCTTGGACACAGCATCGATGGTGAATACAAGAGAATTGCATCAGATCGTAATATCATTGCACAAGTTAAAGACGTGGCTCCTGATGAAATGTTCCAGTTGACGACAGAGGACACTAAAGATACTGTTAATGTTTTGCGTTCTCTTTCTCGATATCCTATGGGTGGGGATGGGCGAACTCGAAGACGCATACCAACACTTTCTCATAGCAACCACTCCAGATAAGAAGGAACACTGGCAGCGGCGTATGAAAGTGTGAGAGGGTTCGACAAACTTAGATCTGATATGTCATATATCGCCCCGTCAGCAAATATTAATGCCTCGGAGTCATTGAGATACACTTCCGCCTTGTATTCGTGTTGTACATTGCAAGCCACCAGCTGATAGTCGATCTTCGAATGATAAAAGTGACTCTAGAAGGTACTCCCTTCTGGAGGCTGGAGAAGCTTCCGATTGTTGGCTGTCGCCATCTCCCTGCACAGGCAGGACATCAGTAACATGATCGCAAATTCTTGATAAGAGAAATCAAGATAAAGAATATGGGTGCATACCTCCTGATACCAACGAGGATGGTCTCGATACTGCTATCCCGCCCCCACTGAGAGAGCACATTGAGTTTCATAGGATCAATCTTGCCATCGATCTGAGATACAAAAGGAAGGTTTACACGAGAGAGGAAGTGAACGGTCGGTGGCCTTTCGGGGTAATCGTTACCACAATGGATCTTCAGGCTGTAGATACGGTTCTCGTGGACAGTCTGTGGGGTGTTGTCCAAATAAATCAACGTATTTTGCAAGGGCAGATAATAAAGGCAGAAGAGCGTCACCGAATAGATCCGGAGAAACGTCAAGAGAAGACATGCGACACAGTGGCAGATCGAAGATTCCAGTACCAAGTGCATCGATCAGCAAGCGATATAATACTAACTAAAAGCACATACGTGTCCTGGACCAAGAATTGTTCCATTCCAGTTGCTCATCATTATATCGTCGCTATCCATGAGACCATACGAACAACTTCCATCTCCTATACCTTTCTCTCCTTTCTCCAGCTCTTCTAGGAGGCGGAAGTTGCGGGGAACTATAAGAAATCAGTTAACGTCTAACTTGTGTTATAATATATTGTCAGACTTACTTCTGGCGGCCATTGTTCTGTGTAGAATGGAAAAATGAGTGATTGTATACGATGGTATATGTATGACTTGGGACTAAGATAGCGTTTGGGAGGGACGGGTATTTGCGGCACAGCACTGCCTCCGCAGCGGCGCAGTTGCTGGTCATAACCTGTTACCGCTAGCAATCACATTCGTCATCTTGTTCAACGACCAGGTAGCTTAAAGCAACCATGTTTAGAGCAAATCAAGCAAATCCTTATGATGATGTAGTGGGTGCGTGCGCGATGCTCACTGTATCAACCATTATATTCTGATACAGTGTCTTGAATGCCTCAGCCAAGGCTACCGATGAGAATTTAACAGGCGAGAACTGGGAGGTCATTCTCAACTTATGTGATAAAGTGCAGGAAGAAGGTGAACAAGGGTGAGCCTATCACTGTATTGCGATCTCAAACCAATCAATTTGTTGGTATCTAATAACCGATCCTCACGCGAATTGTGTTTGGTAGTGCCCGAAACGTGATCGCAGCACTTTTAAAGCGTCTGGCCCACCGCAGCCCCAATGTACAACTCTACGCACTCTCGTTAGGAGAGTCTCTCTCAAAGAATTGTGGTATCGACCTTCATCGCGAGCTTGCGAGCCGGGCATTTACTGGGGCATTGGAGAAGCTTGTCGTTGATCGGGTACGTGGATACTCCTCTCGCTTTGAGACTGTCCTCGAGTCCCAATTTGACACTACTCCATGTTATGCTTCTGACTAAACTGATTCGGATGCATGACAGACAACACATGAAAAAGTTCGTCGGAGGGCTCTCGGTCTCATTGCGATGTGGACAGCAGAGTTTGAACACGACCCTACTCTAGGAATTATGGAGAACTGTTATAACAATCTGAAAGCAAAGAGTACGTTCGCTCCCTTCTCATGATCCCCATTGTTCTCTCCTTTCATGCATCACCCTATGGTATCCCAACTTATTCCTTGGTTTACAGGCTATCAATTCGAAACCCCCTCCGAGCCACCCCCTCCCAGTGTTGACGACGAGGCACGGCGACGTGAGGAGGAGGAACTCCAGCGGGCCCTCGAAATTAGCATGCGTGACAAGGGTGGGCGATCCACTTATGTACCTGCTGCCTCAGCTGGTCCCTCTGGTGCAGCTGCAAAGCATGCATCTGGGTATGTCCCAGCGCAGTCGCCGAGTCCAAAGGCTCCAGCATATGTAGCAAATAGTCACTATTCAAATGCCAGGACAACATCGGGATATTCTGCCACAAGTACCGGAGCTTCAGCCATGGCTGCCTCTTCGACATCATCGCTGCCGTCCCAAGTCTCAACAGCAGTAGTCACTCGTGTCCGCGCTCTGCACACCTTTGAGCCTACGGAACCGGGCGAACTAGCCTTTGAAAAAGGTGATGTGATCAAGGTTGTGGATCGAGGCTACAAAGACTGGTGGCGAGGGCAATTGAAGGGACGCACGGGAATATTCCCTGTGAATTATGTTGTACGTCTCTTTTCTCCCGCTTAATCATGATAATCGACTCACATGCCCCCGATTGTTGTTATTGCGCCCGTTATTCTCCATGTGTTAACCATTCCGTTATTGACCCCGCTATGCGTAGGAACCTCTCCCTGAGCCAACTGCTGCTGAGCTTGCGCGTGAGGCAGAGCAGGAAGCAGCTGTTTTTGCTCAAGCTGCAAATGTCGATCGACTATTGTCAATGCTGAGGAATCTGGATGCTTCAAGAGAGAACCTAGCCGATAACGAGGAGATTCAGGAATTATACCGCTCATGCATGGCCCTCCGTCCCAAGATTGTTAAGCTCATCGACAAGTACAACCAGAAACGGGGTGCGGTTTCTTTCCTTTGTATGCTACTCAAATTGTGTTGATGAAATCACATAGCTGATTTGGTATCAATGAACGAGTCCTTTGTGAAAGCACGCACAATATTTGATCGAATAATGGAAGACAGCCTTGCGCGTCACACCACCAGTAAGCAAGACAGCTCTGTGTTATTACCAGATCTCCTTATCTTCTCCAGTGTACGATTCCGGTCCGCACCCGGCACAACCCTACGGATACGGTTATGACCAACCCCAGCCATATGGGTATGGAGGCCCTAATAATGCTTATCAGCATCAGCCCGAGCATCAGCCACAATCCCAGCCTCATCCTGGACCACCGCAACACCCCGACCCTGTATATGCATACCAACAAGGGCAAGCTTACGGTGCCCAGGTCGGCGGGGCACCGTACCCCCAGCCTGCACAGATACCGTACCCACAGACTTCGCAATCGCCTTATCCTCAGCAGCAGCTTCAGCAGCAGCCTCAACAGCAACCTCAACAACAACAACTCCATCCCCAACAACAACAACAACCACAAACACAACAACCTGCTGAGTATTCCCCCGGAGCACATGCCCAACAGCCACAGCCACAGCTGCAGCCGCAAACTCAGCAACAACCTCAAAGTGCTGGCCCGCCATACATTTATGATCCAAATGCAACATATCCGGATCCAAACGCTCAAGCATGGGCGCAATACTATGCGCAGGGTGGGACGGATACTGCTGGGGCGGTGTACTTTATTTCAGTACCAGGCGTAAGTGATGCATCGTCACCGCCAGAGCAAACCCCTCAATCGCACCAATCACCACTGGATCCATACCAAGCGCAGGCTCAGCAACCACCTGCACACCAGGAAACCATGCATCATTCGCCGACCTCCCAGCACGCAACGTACATGAACCCCAACCCCCAACAAAGCCAATACCCCTCGCAGCAATACTACCAGGACCCTGCATCTGCCCCGCAGGTGTCACCGACCAGTGCAACTGGTGGTATATCTTCGCTGCAACGGAGGTCATCTGCGACTGCAGGTGGCCCAGCCTCGTATAGCTATCACTCTCCACCACATCAGCAACAGCTCTCTCCGATTGGACAGAGTGGATATGGTGGACCAGGGTCTGAGGGGCATGGGTATGCGCCACCAGCAAGCGATAGTTATGGGCCGCCCGCAGCAGGTGGCTACGCTCAGAGTCCGTCGTCAGGGCCGGGGTATGGGGGTTCACCGTCGGGCGAGTACCCACAAGGTCCTGGGGCGCATGGCAGTGTGCATGCTTTACAAAACCAATTTTTGGACATGTCGATTGGAGGTCCACAGGTTGCAACGTCGTGAGTAAAAGATGCATGGATGAATGCCCGGATGTAGTATCGTTTGTAAACATTTCTAGGTGACCTTAAATTATTGTTTCAAGTCTGTCTATGACATGCGGATGATTCTCGATGTTTTTTCAGTGGGGTATGAACGTGATTAGACCAATCATCGCATGTCGGGCCAGGGTGATGGAGAAGACGAGGCTGGTACTTTCATCCCTTCTGACTTGATGGATGCATATCCACCCCGTGTTTCAAGAGTCGAGCTACAGCGAGTGCAAAAACGATTAGGTTAGCCTCGGGCCTAACTACTACTAACTTCTTGCAGTGTAGTTGGAACATGTTCAGAATCTGATTTGGATTTGGAAGGGCTTTATAATATAGAGATAATATTGTCTGACATATCTTATATACTGGATACCGGACCTAAATATCTCCCTTCGCAACTGCACAGTGTGACCATGACATGTTGCATGAAACCGACAATAGAAAACGATCATCTGGGAACTTGAGGGAGAAATTCCTAAATGCACAGGTTAGGTTGTAATCAGAGAAAATCAGTAGAAACTCGAACCTGTGCAAGTTTCTGGCCTTCGCATAAAATAGCGAGGCAAGAGCACAGATCCTTCAAACACCACTGCCTTTCAAGCCAGGAGAGGAGATTGTGATTCCAAAAAGTTTTAAATGTGTGAGTGAGTCTTTCGTCCCATACATTGGGCCCGGCTCGCGAGAGGTGGATGGCCCAGTTTTGACATGCGTAGCTAAGGGCATCGGAACTTGATCGACTTCGCTCCCATGCATCATTTGCAAAATTGGCAAAAGCCTTCATTGCATGGATGATCTCCACCTCTGGCATAAAATGATGTTCTGCTAATGCGGGAGTTAGGTGGTCATGCTGTCTTAACACTAGGAATGCTGGGAACACCAAGAAATCTGGCAAGCTCTTGAACTGCTGGATGACTTGGAAAGCTGGTTGTGAAAGCAATTCTGGGATGATTATGAATTCTCTAGTTGCATCCAATGTGCTCGAAAATTCTTCCATTGTCACCCAGACAGGCATCCACTGCCATGCTTGACCATCTGACGTTTGCAGCCACTCTCACCCACAGGTGGTCTGCAGCCAGCTTACCCCATCCAGGGTCTGCAGCCAACCTTGTCCATCTGGGATCTGCAGCCACTCTTGTCCGGCAGTGGTCTGTAGCCAGTATTCACCATCCAGGGTCTGCAGCCAGCCTTGCCTGCATGTGGCCCTCAGCCAGCCTTGACCGCCCAGTGTCTGCAGCTAGTCTTCCCCACCTACAGGCTGCAGCCAGCCTTGCCCGCACATGGTCTGCAGCCAGTCTCTCTCGCACAACCAGCCACGCCTGTCTGGGGCCCATAGCCAGGCACACAATGAGTATGGCAGGGAGGATGGCAGTGGATATGACTGGGGAGGGATCTGCAGGTATGACCCAAAGGGTGGTAAGAAGGAGGGTGGTAAGAGGGAGGGTGGTTTAAAAGGTGTCGCGGGCAGATATGACATTGGTAACATAAATTGTGCTAATGGTGAATGGGGTAGTGGTATAAAGGGTTCCAATGACAGAGAGGGTTCTAGCATTTGTGACTCAGGCAAATTCAAGGTTTGCAGCCACTCCTGCTGCTCCTGGGACTGCAGCCAGTCTTTCCCACTCTCTGTCCACAGCCACTTTTCCCCACCACAGGTCTCCAGCCAGTCTTCCCCAGCCAAGGACTCCAGCCAGTTTCCCCCATCCCAGGTCTGCAGCCAGCCTTGGCCATGCTGAGTCTGCAGCCAGTCTCTCCCACCCTGGGTCTTCAGCCAGCCTTGGCCATGGATCTTCAGCCAGTCATGGCCATCCTGGCCCTGCAGCCAGTCTCAGCCTCCCTCAGTCCACAGCCAGCCTCTTCTGTCTAAGGTCCACAGCCAGTCTTCCCCATCCATCTGCAGCCAGAATCTCCTGCCCTGGGTCTGCAGCCAGTATTGCCTGCCCAGAGTCCACAGCCATGGTTGCCTGCTCAGAGTGTTCAGCCAGTTTCACCCACCTTGAGTCTGCAGCCAGTCTTTTGCTCCTTCAGTCTGCAACCAGGCAAGACCATCCATAGTATTCAGCCAGAGTTGTAACTCTGAATTGTGACGTCCATGAAGCCATAGCAGAGTTATAAGTACTTGCAGCAGTTCTGGTGGTTGGATGAAGAAGGCTAATGAGTGTTTTAAGCTCTGAGGGTTGTGGGGTTCCACAGCTTGGCTATTCCTATTCAATGCTGAGAGTTGTAGAGACCCTGTCCTCTACAGCCATATAATAGGCATATTTTCGCATTTTGGCCTCTGCACTGATGCCCCCAATAAGCGCGATACATGTGCAGTATTTGCGATGATGTGCGCTTTGGCATGCTTTGGATGCACTACGAACGTGCTTTCGCACACTTTCGTGTCCTTGTCACCAACCATCCGCATGTCCTGTCCTTGTCCTCCAAGGTCCATTGGTGCATGTTCTATCTATTTTTACTTCAAACACATATCACAGAGTTACATATGGTATGCAATTACTCATTGCCTCACTATTTTTACTTAAGTTACATCACTTATGATATTTACCACTACCTATTTGCTTCCGAAGCCTGGGAATGCACTTATGAGGCATTACATGCCTCTGGGTAAATTTTAGTTAGTTACTTCCCGACTACTAGTATCCTGAGAGCAGCAGCAGATAGTTGAATTGACTACCATCTTTGTCAATTTTCGCACTTGAGCTCAGAAAGGGATCATCTCATCTCCATCATCTCCCACCAATCCAAGAAAAAGATCAGTATCGCTCGCCTTGAGGTCTAGAACCTAGCCACAAAGCATACATTTCGCACATCAAGTGTGCATTTTCATGTACCTATCACATCCAGCGCACTTTGGTGCCTATCGTCACATTCCATACTCTCGTGCTCCACCAGGCCCTCTGTCAAGAGCTAGTTCTTGGCATTTCCCCTCAATTCTTTAGAGGAATCCTTTCTCAGTGGCAATCCCCTTGGGTCGAGTTTGACTTGCATCCAGAGGAGCTCTGAAGAGTCCTTATCTTTAGTTTCCCCCCCCATCCAAATTCCTTGCCTTCACTGTACTTTTTGGAATGTTGTGTATCATCAAGTGGAGAGAGGAAAGTGCAAGTAGGAAGTGCGGTGATGTGACATCTTGACAGAGGTTGTGGTTTGAGTGGTGGGAAACATAATCATGAATGGATGAATGGGATATATGCATGGGGAAACTGCTATCGGTAGGGATTTCTATGACAGAGCGTAGCTGCACCAGTACTCTCTCAACGTCCCTGCCTTGACTAGGGCCAAGAAGTTTCAATATTTGTGATATTGGCAGAGGGTCTGCAAGGGCACAAACAACAGACAGGTACAGGTATGCCAGTGTGGGGTTAGTACACATGGACAGGATCTGATCATACAACTTGTACACCTCCATTCCTGGTAGCAGTTTGCTTGTTAGGTCAAGCATGAGCTGAAGTTGGTCACAGGATCATTGTGCTGATTGTCGATAAACTTCACCATTGTAGATGCTATGATAAAATGTCTGCCTGCTCAGCTTGCCAGCTGCGCTAGTTGATCAGTTGATGGCTGCAGGAAATCTGGATGGCAACTTTGCAGCTCTGTGAAGGAATGCTGCAAGAAGATATGGATATCACTATCAACATCTGCGCCATCTAATGAGATGGTGGCAGCAATACCCTCGCCTGAAGTTCTCACTGGAATCTTGCACACCAGTGGGTGCATTTCTTCTGTCTGCATGGCTTTACAGATATGCTCTTCCAAGCGACTTGTAAGCAGAATATGGGTGATGGGCAGATCAGGTTCACAAAGAGCCTTGCCAAGCAGGGAGATGAGATCAGTGAGCTTGCTTTTGGAGGTGCTTTCATCAAGGGATTTGGAAGCACATTCATCAAGGGCGTCAATGACAAATGTTAAAGGCAGGCATCTGTGCAGTCTGAGTTGAAGGTTCTGGAGAGGTCAGAGAAACAATGCCTCCATATTGTTGTGAAGAGATGTGTTGTGGTCTAGGAGGGTGGGATTCTCCATGATAGCTCTGTTCATGTCCAAGCAGATAGAGGGGAAATTGCTGCCAAGTTGATAGGCAAGTGTTGCAAAGAAATAACCAGTCGTGCGGTGTTTCATGTGCTTGCGCAAAAAAAAGAAAGTTCCAGCAAGCCACTTTTCCTTGCTCCGCTCTGTCACTTTTAATTCTCTCATCCTTTCAGCTATGGTGAATGCAACAGCAGACTTTCTGACACCCGCTGTGCCATGCAGCCAGATGATTTGATTCTCCTCTTGTTTATCCAATAATCCATAGATGACCTTGAGAAGGTCCATCTTAGTCCCTTTCAAACATTTCGGATGTGGCTGACACTCATGGGAATCATATTGAGCACCCTTGACAGCAACCTGGGAAAGCTTCTCCCAACTTGAAGCTTCTTCAGGCATATCCAAGAGCTGTTGATAACTTGGAAGTTAGATAGCAATATGAAATGAGAACTTGAGAAAAGGAAATACTAACATTGACTCTTTTAATGACAAGGATTAGCATGATATGTAACTGTATCCGATGGTGACACTGGTGATGAGCTGGCAAACTGTGGAGTGACATATGTAAATCGCAAGGCACTAGCAAAAGCTGCTTGAGATCGAATAGATGCCTCAATTGGGTGCTGAAACACTTGCCACTGGATGGTGAGGGTCAGTGATAGTATGAGTAGAGGATGCAACTCAACAATAGGCGCTCATCTTCTATATTTACTATGCATGAAAAGAATTTAGAGGTGACTAGCACTATGGTTCTTCATAAACTATATTCATGTGGTCTAATTGCAAACATTTGTATACAAGTTGTGCAGTGTGGGGTGGGATAGTGCACTTGGGACCCTTTCAAGGAGTGCCAGCTAGCAGCATCAGGAAAATCCAAGATGACTTGAGGCATCTTTTTTTGACTTGCAGGGTCATAAAAGTTGCGAAAAGATCTTGAGTGCACAAGACACTAAAAGGCCATGCATATTCTTAAAATTGTCTAACTTTGCCTTAACTTGCATTGCTCAAGACAAAAAAAACTCACTAAAAGGCAAATACCATCGGATTCAAATTAACACAATTTTCAACCAAATAGTAACTCTAAAGTGTCACAAGGTGTACCAAGATGCATTAAGCAGGAAAAGGACTGTATAAACTTGGGAGAAAATGATTAAAATGAGATCTAAAGAGAGCCAAGAATGGCTGCAAACGGCACATGAAAAATGGATATCAAGGTGATTCAATCTGAACAAAGGCAATTAGAAGGATAACTGGCACAAGTGGAGTGCTGCTCACCAGATGTCCACACAGTCGTCCATCTCATCTGCTGAGTCAAGGCTGTTGTGATTGTTGAAGCCAGGTTTCTTCAAGTACTTGTAGGCCATGGACATTGTCAGCTGGATTGATTCCATGCCCTTCTTATTCGCCCCTCAAATGAATGAAGCAGTTTTTGGGCCCCACTTGGCAATTGAGAATGCATGCTCAGTGGCCATTTCCTTTCCAGTTACCTTGTTGAAGGACTTTGGTGTCTTTAAATGAGCCTTTGTCCTGCAACAGGTGCCTCGGGATTATCAACAACAATGGTGTTGTTGGTGACAAGGGTGAAGGTGCATTTGAGCTAGAATTAGATAAATCAGTGCAACAAACCACACCAATAAATTAACACACTGAGACTGCACACAATCCAAGGGCACCGGTGTAGGGAACGAGATTCCTCTAGGCATATATTGCCCATATTACGACTCACAATGATTGGTACAGTGTACGACTCACTACCCATGACTTTCCCACAAAATGCGCCAGAGGCGCGATGCTTTCCCGCACTACACGATGCTTTCCTGCACTATGCAATGCATTCCCACGCACGCGCTTAGTGCACTCTTCCTGCGCTTGGTCACACTTTGTTGTGCAGCATCCCAGAGCATCCATCCATCATCCAACCAGTTCCCTAGTGAGTCCTTTCCTGTTTATTCTCATATCAGACCATATTTAGTATTGGTATGGCATTATTTCATCATGGACCCTTTATTTACCTCACTTACATACATAGAGTGCTCCCTGTTCACTTCTGAGCCCTGGGAGTGTGCCTAGGCACAGTTTACCTGTGGCCTAGGAAGTTTTCATATAGCTACCACCACCATGTCAGTAGTCACCTACAGTCTGAATCTATCATCTTCAGCCAGTATGCTTCAGTCGTTGCCCTAGTCACCAGCAACAGTCCATTATCACTCAGCAGTCTTAGTTCATGCCTTCATGCCTTCCATCAGTCTTTACACATTTGTGCACCACATGCGCTCTATTCCCATGCTTCGCGCACCTATGCGCTCGACATTCCTGCGCACGTGCTTTCAGCGCACTTCACCAGAGTTGATCTGGCATCACTTTGTGGATTTGCTTTCCTTGCTTCCCTTAAGGGTCGAACATATCGCCTGGTGCACTTTGACCAACACTTAGAGAGTCAGTAGCCTTCCTCACACCCCAGGGTGAGAGCCCTCTTTCTTTCTTTAGCTCTGCAAGCCCAGCAGAGTTGTTGAACCTTCACCAGTGATGCCACTGTCTGCTAGAGTATTAGTATCAAGTGCAGGAACATCAGCATGCCCAATAATCTGGGCAAGATGTGCAGTAGCGAGCAGCTCTTGCACAAAAGCAGAGTGGAAGGTTTCAGCCTTGTTGATATTCTCAGGATCAGGGTACAGAAATGCAAATTCATCAAGGAAGAGTTTTGCGAGTGTTTGTGGAGAAGTGTCTCTGTTTGAATTTAGAAAATCAATCACCATAGTGAGTGCAGTTGATCCAAAGTTGCTGTGCCATTCACTGACACACTGAGTGACCTGAAAATAAAATAATTAGAACACCATCAATTAAATGGAAGATGAACTTACTACACCAAAAACTGAACCAGATGTTACAACCTTGTATTGAATGTTTGGGAAGACAACCTTGAAAATTTCCTGACATGCATGAAGAAGTTTCACATCAGTAATTGTCCAAAGTTCATCCTGAGCACTGAGCCAGAGAAAGACCATTGGTAAAAACTGCCTGGCCCATTTTCCATCTTCGTGGCAACCTGGAGGAAGATCAGTGTTCAGGTATGTTGAATGTGCCTTTGACACTAGTTCCACCCAATTGCCATCCCCCTTAGGCCTGGCACTGGTGGTGGATGCTGGGTGTTCAGACTTCACATGTGTTGTCTTTGCTTTCTTTGAGGGGGGAACATTGTTGTCACAGTGAGATACAGTACTGACAGATGTCTGGAGTGAAATTAGTAGTGAAGATGCAAGACAGGGAAAAAAATACCACAGCTGTAGTACGTGAAACTTTCATGGTGTTAGCTTGCTGCATCTTGACTGCAATAGGCTTCTTCACCACATCCTCTATTTCATTGACCTGCATGGCTTCCTCATCAGAAGCTGGTTCATACACAATATCATCAATCTCCTCTTGTGGACTCAAGAGATCGTCCTCTTCAGAAATGCCTTGAGTTATGTCCACAAATTGTTTTCTCTTCCTTGCAGAATTAACTTGAGATTGTTGTTGAGCAAGAGGTGGCAGCATGAGGTCTGGATCAGTGTCATGGGAAGTAATTTTGATGGTGGACTTGGGCAAAAAATCAGTACAAACAAATGAATAAAATCAACTGATGGTCACTGTTCTGCCAGTGCTTACTACTTTGCCACAATTATGCAATGCAACAGCATGCTCAAATGAATCATCAAGATCCTCATCTCCAAATCCTCCAACAAGCTCATCCAAGTGTGTAACTTCAGGCATCTTGGGCAAACCTTTGGAGCTAGGCAGTTGAGGCTCACAAGGATGTGAGCTTAGAGAAGTACTGGTTGAGTCATGTGATATCTGAGACTTTGAAAATATGGTAGATGGAGGAACTTGACTTGCGCTAGTGAGTGAATTGCTTGTGGTCTTTGGCTTGTAGTAGACATCCTTTCTCCAGTTCTGAATGCAGCCACCCAAAGTTGACTTGGCCCTTGATTGCAAAGTCAGATTGCAAAAGAAAAGTGTAGATTCAGAGAGAATGAACATGGTGGTTGAGGAATGTGCAACTCATGGTAAGGAGTTGCCTTTCTCATTCACACGTGGCTGATCATGACTATCAGCCTTTGCAGTGGATAAGTTCTTGCAAGCTTTGACTATGGCATTGCTTAGTGACTGTGCATTCTTCCCTCCTTTCTTTTTCCTCCCATCATCACCTGAATCATCGTCACCTGCCAGGAAATCTTCATCAGCATCCTCCCTTGCTGGTTGTGCCCTTGTAGTGATGCTGCCAACAATGGTAGGTTCATCATCATTGCTTGCACTGGCAGTACCTCACTGCTTCTTAGGTAAAGGATGTGGCCTGGCAGCCTTAGGCTTTGTTGTTGTCACCTGGGCTTCTTCCATGCTGGCTTACAGTTCTGCAAGCCAGTTAAGCCCTGCCACAGCCAGTGCTTCCTTGGCTTCTTGAGCAGCTTTGAGATGCTTCTCATCAGTTGCCTTCACTTTGGGTGTCCAGTGCTTCTGTTGGGCATCTAGCACAATTTGACCAGGGTGAGCAGTTGCATTTTTGGCATGGGTGTGGCAGATTGGCTCAATCATTTGAGACATTAGTACCAGCAAATCCAAGACTGGGAGGGATGGAAATTTGAGTTGGTTGAGAGCAAGGTTTTTCAAATGATCTGAAATGAATTTGTATGTCCTCTCCCAACATGCCAAACAAACACTATTGAATTTAGGCTTGCACTATGCTTACTAGTATCCACAATGCAGAGGGCCTTGCTTTGGCCCTTGGCACTTCTGCTTGCCTTTATCTTCCTCAGCATGCCAGAAATTGTCCCTCACACTCAGGTTGCTCAGTGAGACTTCAGCGCATTCCAAGTCCCTTGCGGCAATGTGGGCTGCAAACATTTCTTCAAGACTACTGCTGGTTGCATGAAGCATATTCTTTCTGCCCACCCTATTGTATCTCCTCCAGCCTCTCCAGAACCACACATAAGCCACCCCAATGACATCACTGGCAATCCTTTTCAGGACAGCAAGCTTCTAGGTCAGCCAAATGGTGATGGTGATGAGGCATTACAAGCTTCTCCTCCTCCCAACATACACACAGAATTCTTTGGACCTGGAAACTTGCTCTATTGCAACTACCATACATCATTGGATGGTTTGTATTTGCATTTGTCCTTCTGTTCAGACTCTAATTACAAGTTTTAAGGTTGACCTTGTGATAAACATGGCCATTTTCTCCCTGAGGGTACACCACCTCTACCTCCTGAGCCAAAATCACCAAATGATTGGACACTGTTTTGAAACCACTGAGTTTTTCTACATAAAAAATCAGATGCCAGCAGGACAAATTGACCATCTTCTTGACCTGTGGGCAACAACACTTTTAAAATCTGGCAGCAGCCCACCCTTTGCAGATCACAAAGACCTCTATGCAACAATTGATTCAATTGCACTAGGTGATGTGAAGTGGGAGGGCTTCTCATGCACATACACAGGCGAGAAACCTGATGGCTACCCACCCTGGATGGACAGGACTTATGATGTCTGGTACTGAGATCCTCAGGAGGTTGTTCTCAACATGTTGGTGAATCTGGCATATGCTAATGAAATGGATTACTGGCCTTATTGTGAGTACACTACCAATGGAGATGAACAGCAGTTATGAGATTTTATGTCAGCTGATTGGGCTTGGAATCAGGCAGTAAGTGTTCAATTTTATTACCATTACCACCCTCCCTTTTCTCAGCCCTGGATTACCAGAACTCCCCATCTCATATCCTCCCTTTTCTCAGTCCTGGATTACCAAAACTCCCCATTTCATACCCTCCCTTTTCTTAGTGCGAGACTTGCCATTCTTCATACCCTCCCTTTTCTTAGTGTGAGACTCACCATTCTTCATACCCTCCCTTCTCAGCCCTGGATTACCAAAACTCCCCATTTCATACCCTCCCTTTTCTTGGCCCTGGATTACCAAAACTCCCCATTTCTTACCCTCCCTTTTCTTGGTCCTGGATTACCAAAACTCCCCATTTCATACCCTCCCTTTTCTTAGCACGAGACTCACCATTCTTCATCTCCTTCACTCTAAGTTATTTAAATTCAGCATTCTCAAACATAACTAACTATACTCATTACAGGATATCATTGCTGGAGACCCAGAAACAATTGGCTCCACCTTCATGCCTATTATCCTCAGAAGTGACAAGATGACGGTTTCTGTTGCGACAGGGAACAATGAGTACTACCCACTTTATCTTTCAATCAGAAATGTTCATAACAATGTTCACTGTGCACATCAAGATGCACTTGTGATAATTGGCTTCCTTGCAATGCCCAAAAGTATGTCCATATCTTTTGAGCAATCTGACACTCAAGTATTAATTTCAACTGTATAGCTACAAAGAAACATGCAGATGACCCAAAGTTTCACAAATTCCATCACCAATTATTCCATTCATTGCTGTCTAGAATACTCACATCACTTCAGCCTGGGATGTCAAAACTGTTACGGTGAACCGTAGGTCGACTAGGATAGATGCGACAATAGACACTCGATAAGAGTGACGTCTAGAGTCGGATCGTAACCTCACAAATGTAAGGCTTCTTTAAGACAAGTTAGAGAGAGTGTCTCCGACTTGAATATCGGTATCAGACACTTAAGATTGGGGGTCTTAAGCAAAGGATGTTCTGGGTAAAACCTAGTAGATTAAAGTGAAGTCTAACTAAGTACAAGACCCTGTTTATATAGGTAAAGCCTGCTTTAGGGCCGGTATGTATGCGTCATCGAGACGAGTCAGAGATAAGAGAAATGACGTCAGCTAGCGACGGCATGAGGCGGCCGTGCTGTAATACATGGATATAGTAAAAAGAGATAATCTAGTGATGGCACGGCTAAGTGCGGTCATGACATAATACAATGAAAAGGAGAAAATGATAGGGGGCAATTGTTACTGTAACATTACCCCTCGTTTAGCGATGAAGTCACCGACTTCACATATCCTGATTAGCCCAGTAGATGGGGTCTGCGTCGTAGTTGGAATCAAGGAGGTCGTTTTGTTCTTCTGTGATAGTAAGAGGCTGTGCCAAGTGCTCAGCGTGAGCGATGGCATCCTGCTCAATCTCCCAACGAGCAAGTGCATCATAAAAGCCAACGTCAGTCCATACCAGTGGGATGACTGCTTCTCCTTTTAAGTCTTTACAAAAGACTGACAGGTGACCAGGTGCGTATTCTTTGCAAACTCTGCAGTAGTACGCGGGACAGTTTTTGTGTTGATGACCAGCGGTGCGGCAATTATGACATACGACATTATCGACCAGTGACGTTTTCACGATGGTGACTGATGAGGACTGGTCTGGGGGGGATGGTGACCGTGATCGTTTGGTCGGTGGTTTATTGGGGGAGACGGATGCGGCTCGTTTGGCGGCGAGGCGGGAGGATCTACGTTTGAGCGGAAGTCGTCGTGTGGTGCATACGACTGGGTCAGGAGAAGGAGAAGTTGGTACGTTAAGTACGGCAATAGGAGGGATATTATTATCCTGATGCTCCATGGTAGTGGCAGCAGGAGCTGGCGGTGGTACGGGGACGGCAACGTGGGGTGATGGTGGTCTCGCGATGGGGTTGAGAGCGATTCGTTCGGTGACAATGTGGATGGCTTCTCTGATAGCATCCCTGGTATCTTCTGGGAGAAGACGAATTGCAGTGTTGCGAATATGTATATGGAGGTGACGAAAGATAGTTTGATGACGTTCGTCATCAAGAAGGGCGGCGGTGCGTTCAATAAGGCTAGCGTCCCTGATGATTCTAATTATAAGGCCGCTAGAGATTGCTCCTCTTTCTCCAAGGAGATGATCTATCTCAATTGTGTACTGTTGGGAGGTGATAGCGGATTCAAACAAGGCACTGGTTTCGACTTGATCAATGATGGAGAAGTAGTCGGTGAGAGTCGAGTCGTCGGTAAGGGTTAGGGTGGAGTCGGAAGTTGGCGGTGAGGGTGTGTGTGGTGTTTCAGAGGGTGATGTGTGTTGTGCGAAGTTGGCAGCGGTAGCGTTCTGGTAATTGAGAAGTGTCAAGGGATGAGCGTTTCCTACAGCAACGTTGTCCATAGCCTCTGTGAGTTCTTGGATACGGAGAATACAAAGGCGTAGTCGTTCGAGGTGGGACATTTCTGGGGAAAGTCTATAATCCGTGGGCCTTTTTATAGGCGTCAAGGACGTCGGAGGCATTACCGAGATTTTCTTCTGGAACCCACTCATTACTGGCTGACGAATATCCCTTCCATGATAAGAGATAGCGTCTTTGTTTACCCGTTCCTTTGTGTGACAAGATCGCATCAACTTCATATTCTTCTTCGTTATCGATGACGTCAGGGGGTGGATCGTGGAAGTTCGGTCCGTGAATCTCTGTTTCGTGATAGGACGATAGTTCAGAAGCATGGAACGTGGGGTGAACTTTCCACTGAGGTGGTAATCGGAGTGTGAATGTGATGGGGGATAGAACGGCGGTGATTTGGAATGGGCCATATCGTTTGGGGGTGAGTTTTCGCGAAGGTAACTGCGTGATTAAGTTTTTTCTGGATAACCAAACCTTATCTCCAACTTTCCAAGGGTGATACTTCTGCCCGTGAGTTCTTTCTGCCATACATTGCATCGCAAGGTTGTGGCAAGAGAGTGCTTCCTCTCTAGACTTTTGGAGCGTGCGGAGTCTGTCTTCTGCGGCTGGAACTGTAGAACTGGGGAGGACATGCGGAAGGGCTCGTGGCTCATATCCCATCATAAGAAAGAATGGCGATGCATTGCGAGAGTCATGTTTGCGATGATTATGGACGAATTCTGCCATAGGGAGCTGCTCTACCCAGTTTTCGGGGTTGTTCCGACAGTAGATTCTAAGATACGTTTCTAGCTCTTGATTGAGCTGTTCTGTCTGTCCGTCGGTCTGGGGATGGTAGGCGGTCGATGCAGCTATATCATACTTCAGAAGTTTGGCAAGGGCCTGGGAGAACTTGGATATGAATTGCGGGCCGCAATCAGAGATGACTTTTTCATGTAGGCCGAATCGACGATAGACATATTTGAAAAATTTGCTGGCAACCCCTTCGGAAGTGATAGTTTTAGTACATGGGATGAGAATTACCCCCTTCGTAAGCCCATGGTCGACCATGACCATGACCGAATCAAAGCCAGCACAGGGAGGAAGGTCCGTGATCAGGTCAACGGAGACCTGAGTGAAAGGTGCGGCGGCGACGGAAGGGATGGGAACAAGGGGGGGGGCTCGTCGGGTGGGTGTCAGCCTTCATCTGTTGACAGAGGGCGCAACCCTCGACGTATTTGCGGATATAGGTGCCCATGGCGGGCCACCAAAAATCTACGTTTAACCAGCTCCTCAGTTTTGAAACGGCCAGGGTGACCAGCAGAGGGGTGGTCATGACAACGTTCTAGAATAAGATGCCGGCCAGCGGGGCGGACGTAGGCGCGGTCCTTGTAGTAGAGAATATCATCGGCGATCTTCCAATCTGCAAGAGAGGATTTCATAGGGGGAAGGGACAAGCCATCCAGTGCATCGGACGCGGCAGTGAAGATGGGGTCGGGGTCAGAGGGATCAGGGTTTACTAGAGTGGTCATGAGTTCAACATCAAGAAGTCGAACAAACAGAGAATCTGGGAGGAGGGTTTCGTTGGCATTATCGTCGGAGGAATCTGATCTGTGGTCGGGGCGGCGGGAGAGGGCATCGGGGGCGACGAGTTTAGTTCCTGCAACATGGTGCAGTTCAATGTCATAGCAAGATAGGATTAACTGCCATCGTGCTTGGCGGCGGGTCAACTTCTGGGCCGTCCTAAAGTATAGGAGATTCTTATGGTCGGTGAATACGATGACGGGATGGGGATTTCCTTCTAAATAATGATGCCATTCGGTCAACGCGCGAATAACCGCGAGAAGTTCGCGATCAAAAATCTGGTAGTTTCATTCTGCGGGATTCAACGTCTGAGACAAATATCCACATGGGTGGTAGACACCATTATCATCGGTCTGGAGTAACACTGCACCGGTGGCGACTAGGGATGCATCGGTGGCAACTGCGAACTGTTTGGCGGGATCAGGGTTGCGAAGGACTGGTTGCTTTAAAAAGCATTCTTTTAGTTCAGAGAATGCGGATTCGCATTGTGCGGTCCAAAGGAATTTAACGTCTTTCTTGGTAAGGTCGATTAACGGTCTGGCGATGTTGGAGTAATGGGAAATAAAGTTCCGGTAGAAGTTGCAAAAACCCAAGAAAGACCGAACTTCCTTTACCGACAGTAGGGCGGGCCAGTCCCGAATACCAGTTGGTTTTAGCATTATCCATTGCTACGCATCCAGGGCGAATGATCATTCCAAGGTACTCCACTTCTTTCGCGTCGAACGTGCACTTTTCCGGTTTAAGGAAAAGTTTCTCTTGTCGAATTCTTTCAAGGATGTGTCGGGTGTGTTTATGATGGGAAGTGAGGTCATTGGAGAATATGAGAATGTCGTCCATATATATGACGAGCCATCCTTCATTTATCTCCTGCTGGAACGTTCTATTCATGTATGCCTGAAAGGTGGCCGGGGAGTTGCAAAGACCGAAAAACATGACGTTAGGCTCGAAAAGCCCGTATTCCGTAGTGAAGGCAGCTTTCCATCGATCTTCCGGATGAATGCGGATGTTATTGTATCCAGACCAGACATCCATCTTCGTAAAATATTTGGCACCATGTAACCGAGCGACCAAGGAGAGTGGCAGTGGGAGCGGATAGGCGTTCTTAACGGTCCATTCGTTGATATACTGATAGTCTTGACAAGGACGAAGGTCCCCACTCTTCTTTCCTACAAAAAAGAAACCGCTGGCTTGCGGTGATTTTGATTCAGAGATAAAGCCTTTCTGAACGTTTTCATCAATGAATGCCTTGACCGCTGTCCGCTCCTTTTCAGATAGCGGGTACACCTTAGACGTTTTAGGAATGAAACCTGGCTTGGTTTCTATGCGGTGGTCTATACCAGGTCGTTCCGGCGGTAGCTGGTTCAGGCCATCCTTTGTGAAGATATCGGCGAAGTCATGAAGATAAGAGGGAACGAGTTCCTCAAATGATTTCTTCTTCTGTTCGAGCCCGGCAGCTAGTGCGAACTGCTGAGCTTTGTTACTTGTCTTCGCGTATTCAGCAGGTGGTGTTAGGGGGGTGATCTTGGGTCGTTGCTCCGCGATGCTAGTTCCATCTTTTGTCAAGGGGGTGTCAAGTGAGACATTGGTGATTACCCGGAGTTCTGAAGCGTCGGCAGGGTATTCGACTAGAAATTCATCATCCTCTAGATGGTAGGTGGAGATTTCTCGCACAGGTGGTGCGTAATCAGTCGTCCATACATCATCCTTTGTGTCGAAGGAGTCATCATCATCGTCTGGTATAGGGTCTAGATTGGGCAACGCTGACAGGGTTGCTTCTTCATCATCAATCTCTTCTACCGTGGCATGCAATGGCCACTGTTCAACCTATTTCCCTAGGAGGCGCCTTTGGCGGCACTACGGCTGGGATCGGTTCTTCTTTCGTCTCCTTTGGTTTACGAAAGAGAGGAGGCAGTTTGTTCTTCTTTCGTTCTTGATTGACTTCCTCCTCGATCTGATCGCTCTTCTCTGTTCGAGAGAGTTCTAGCGTTTCCGCCATCCATCGGATTACTGGGTCCATAGCGCGTAGCCAGGGGATCCCAAGTAAAATCTGATCACGTTGACCTAGTCGTGTGATGTTAAATTTTCCGATCATTGATTGGTCATCTATCTTGATAATGAGGACGCAATATCGTGTGATAGTGCCCCCTTTTGCATAACTCCCATCCGCGGTCGTAACCCGAAATGGTTTCGATAGTTTATGCGTTCGGATGTTATGAATCTTGACGAATTCTTCTGAGATAAAGGTTCCGGCAGCGCCAGAGTCAACAACTGCTGTTGTTTCGACGGTTTTCAGACGTGTCTTGGAGATCAGGGAAATGGGAACGCGGAGTTCCTTTCTTATTCCTATGCTCTGTACAAGTCTTATGGGTACATCGGAAGATACGGACGTCGATCCCGTCTTCCACATCAAAAATCCTCGGCGAGACAACGGATAGTTGTATCTTCTTCTTCATTGTTGCTCATCTCTTCTCTGCGAATTGGGATTTTCTTCTTCTGCGGGCATGCTCTAGTCATATGCCCCTTCTGGTGGCACGTGAAGCAAAGCCCTTTCTTCATATGATCGCTCCTCTTGACTTCAGTGAGTCGGTCTATCTCCATAGCGTTTGGATCGTGTCGATCAACGGAGGGTCTAGGAACATATCGTTGTCCTGATGGTCTAGTGGTGGTATGTTGGTTTGATCGGTACGCAACCCCTTTCTGGTAGTTACTGTCTAGCCGGATGACGGCAGCGACATACTTGTCGAAATCTACAGGAATGGTTTCCATCTGGTAGACGGAGTTAACGATTCCTTTCTTCAGTCCATCGTTGAAGAACGTGATAAGGACAGCGTCCTGTTTCATGGACGCTTGTGCGGCAAGCATCTTGAAACTGGCGATATAGGATGTGAGGTCGCCTGTCTGTCTCAACATACGGAGTTTGTTCATGGCAGTTCCAGTGGCATCGGCTGGTACGAAGGCCTCTTTGAACTTGGTTTCAAAGTTCACGAAGGTCCCGTAAGTCTTAGCGACGGAGTTATCAACTTCTGTATAGAAGGTCAGCGCCCAACCCATAGCGCTTCCTTCTGTCATGTAAGCAAGGGCGGTGATGACCTTCTTATCGTCGGTATTATAAATGGTAGCATTAAGCGCAAAGTACGCCTTAACTGCATATAGCCATCGTAGGGCTTGGGAGGGACTTCCATCATAGGTAGATGGGGCTCCGGCCTTCAATTCTGGGGCGGTAGTCGTTGTAGACATCCTGACGTGTAGTCGAGTGATGCTTCGGTTTCAGGGGAACATTTATCGTTCTCTCGCTGAGTCTGGTTAACCTCTCTGATGGAGAGGGTTGTCTGGGTTTCTGGTTAACCTCCTTGGTGGGGAGGGTCGTAGGAGGACTTTAATCTTTTGTTACGGTGAACCGTAGGTCGACTAGGATAGACGCGACAATAGACACTCGATAAGAGTGACGTCTAGAGTCGGATCGTAACCTCACAAATGTAAGGCTTCTTTAAGACAAGTTAGAGAGAGTGTCTCCGACTTGAATATCGGTATCAGACACTTAAGATTGGGGGTCTTAAGCAAAGGATGTTCTGGGTAAAACCTAGTAGATTAAAGTGAAGTCTAACTAAGTACAAGACCCTGTTTATATAGGTAAAGCCTGCTTTAGGGCCGGTATGTACGCGTCATCGAGACGAGTCAGAGATAAGAGAAATGATGTCAGCTAGCGACGGCATGAGGCGGCCGTGCTGTAATACATGGATATAGTAAAAAGAGATAATCTAGTGATGGCACGGCTAAGTGCAGTCATGACATAATACAATGAAAAGGAGAAAATGATAGGGGGCAATCGTTACTGTAACAAAAACCTGAAATCATGAAGTTTGGAGATGGTCATTTTTGGTGCATAATTTATGGACTGGGGCCATACATTGCCAATTATGAGGAGCAAGTTCTCCTTGCATGCATAGTCCACTTCTGGTGTCCAAGGTGACAAAATATTTGTATTATCTCATTAGCATTAAGACTAATTCTCTTTTAAATGCAGCTCTCATTGTGATAATCTCGACACTACCTCAGTCCTTTGGTGCCACAAATACCATGAAGCCTTGTTTGAAGTGGGTACTTATGGAGAACTGTGGACAGAGTTTGGAATAGTTGCTGATTTAATTGTAAGTCTACATGTTCGCCCTGAGACCTAGAGTCAGGTTGACATTTCTGTCATTCAGCCTTTCACAAATGACTTCCCATGCGCCGACATTCAGGAAACAATGGCCCCAGACATCCTACATCAAGTTATCAAAGGCGCATTTAAGGACCATCTCATGGATTGGGTGGAGAAATACCTTGTGCTTACTCATGGGAGGACTGAAGTGGACTGTATCTTAGATGATATTGATCACAGGTATGAATCTAACATCCTTTTACTAACTTATTGACTAAATTCTCACTCAGGATTGTGGCCATTGCCTCATTTTCTGGTCTGCACCGCTTTCTGCAAGGATGCGGCTTCAAGCAATGGACAGGGGATGACTCCAAAGCCCTCATGAAGGTGAATTCATTCCTCTTACCAACGACTTTTACTGATAAACTTAGGTTTACATTCCCGCAATTGAGGGGCACATACCGACAGATGTTGTTCGCACATTCTGTGCATTGCTAGAGTTCTGCTACCTTGTACATTGAAACACCATCACAGAGTGCACCCTGGATGAAATTCAAGATGCCATCTCTCATTTCCATCAATATCATGAGGTTTTCAAGACTTCTGGTGTCATTCCAACATTTTCACTGCCACAACAACACTCTCTTATGCACTATGCACATGTTATCCAGCTCTTTGGTGCCCCCAATGGACTTTGCTCATCAATCACTGAGGGCAAACACATCAAGGCTGTGAAGGAACCATGGAGGCAGTCAAGTAAATACAAAGTGCTTGGTCAGATGCTGGTCACAAACCAGCATCTTAGTAAACTCCCCACTGCATGTGTTGATTTTGAAAGCCGTGGAATGTTGAAGGGTACCTGCCTTTCAGCCAAACTTGAGGCTCTTGGTGCGTAGTTACTATTTTCTCTCAAATTTATCCAGTACTAATGCATGCTTAGGTATGTCAAACAATCCCAATGTCCCTAACAATGAAGACCCCAATGACCCCCTACCAAACCAAGCAAGTAATCTTGAGGACGGCGATGACTTAATGATTGACCATGGCCTGACCATTCTACAAGCACATACTCAACTTGCTTGAACAGTTCATAAGTGTCATTTGTAGCTATATTTATGGACTATGAGTTTGATGCAGCATCATGCGCAGAAACAAAGTGTGCCTGCAATGTATTGGCTCTCACTGACAAATTGCACCTTCCATCTCTCCCTGCCTTAATCTGCTGCTTTCTTTATGAGCAAACATGCCCAGACAACACACTCGACATGTATGACATCCCTCTTGCTGCCTGCCCCAGGTATGAAGCAAAGATATCAGTCTTCAACTCTGCATGCTCAAGATTCTACACACCAAGTGACCTTTCTGGGATTGGTGGCATGCGAGTAGAACATATCCATTCCTGCCCTATGTGGCAGAATGAGTTTTCTCATCATGATTGTGTTTTTGTTAATACAGGATCAGACACTGAAAGAATCTGAGGGCTTGATGTTGCAAGGGTCCAGGCATTTTTTTCATTCGATTATGCAGGAACAGTGTACCCATGCACCATTGTGTGCTGGTTTGATGTCATTGGGGGCTCACCTGACCCAGAGACAGGAATGTGGGTGGTTTGCCCAGCCTACTATGCCAACCATGCGCCTACACACACTATCATACATGCGGACACCATCTACCATGCCACTCACCTCATCCCTATCTACAGCAACCAATTCCTTCCTCTTGACATCACATTGCATGTGTCCTATGATGCTTTTCGAGCTTATTATGTTAACAAGTATGTTGATCATCACACATTTGAAATTGCATCATAATCTTTTAATTTTCATGTTTGAACTCTCATTATACAACTAGTAATTTTACCTTGGTAGCAGTTGTAACAGCTTGAATCTGATTATTCTCCTTAAATCTATGTATCACATAGTTCAGTCAAAACAGTATGTAGAACCGGTACTGCAGACATGCCAAATGACTGTACAATAGGTACCAGCTGGTGCATGTAGAAGTGGGCTGGCCAGAGGTGCCAAATGGTGGTACAATATGCACCAGCCGGTGTATGTAGAAGTGGGCTGGCTGGACATGCCAAATGATGGTACAATATGTACCAGCCAGTGCATGTAGAAGTGGGCCGGCCAGACATGCCAAATGGTGGTACAATATGCACCAGCTGGTGCATGTAGAAGTGGGCCGGCCAGATGTAGCAAATGCTAGTCTAGATGAGTGAAATCTCATCAAACTTCAGACTGTAGAAGTGGGCCGGCTGGATGTGCCAAATGGTGGTACAATATGCACCAGCCGATGCATGTAGAAGTGGGCCAGCTGGACATGCCAAATGGTGGTACAATATGGACCAGCCAGTGTATGTAGAGGTGGGCCAGCTGGACATGCCAAATGGTGGTACAATATGCACCAGCCGGTGCATGTAGAGAAGAAGATCGAGAGAGCAAACAACCAGTATTGTTTGAATTTGGCCATGAAGTATGTCAGATCTCGATCTCTGTCTCAGTGTGCACCATTGACTTGTTTGGCAGAATCAACACCAAACTTGGAGGCGTCAATTCGCTGCCAAGGTCAGGTGCACTTGAGAAGCTAGAAAGCTCTCCATTCATGGTCATGAGAAGTGGGCTGGCTGGACATGCCAAATGGTGGTACAATATGCACCAGCTGGTGCATGTAGAGAAGAAGATCAAGAGAGACAACGACCAGTATTGTTCAAATTTGGCCATGAAGTGTGTCAGATCTCGATCTCTGTCTCAGTGTGACAATTAAGTTTTCTTTGGGCTGATATTAGCTTTACTTACTTACTTTATATTCATTACTTTTGTGGCTGATATAAGCATGTTTCCCTTTCACCAGTACCAGTCTGAAGTTTGATGAGATTTCACTCATCTGGACTAGCATTTGCTACATCTGGCCAGCCCACTTCTACATGCATCAGCTGGTGCATATTGTACCACCATTTGGCATGTCTGGCTGGCCCACCTCTATGCACACTAGCTGGTGCATATTATACCATTGTTTGGTATGTCTGGCCAGCCCACTTCTACACAGCTGGTATACTTGATTCTTCCACAGCTACAAGCCGTACTTGGTGTCCTGGCCACTTTCCCATAAGGACGGAGAATCCAGCCAACACATCAGTACATCAGATAGCAAAGGCAATACAACAGTCAAGTAACTACAACCATCTTGTCCTTGAATGCATTTTGTGCATCCTGTAAGAATCTTTCCCACAAAATTACCTGCCGTTGTGCATAGGCTTGATGACCATCCTTGGTGGCTTTGAGGTATCTTCATTCCCATTCTGCCTTCTTATATCTAAACCAGCCCACTGTCCACCCCATCTCATGTTGTACCAAACTCAACTCCTCCTCCCACCTTTGCCATCTTGCCTTAGCTTTCAACCAATTTACCCTGTAAACTGATACTTGTTATGTGAGAAAATATGAATATTACACATGACTCACATTCATTGATCCAGACATCTTTGTCAGGATCATGATTGTTGTTGACCCTCCAAAACCAAGCCAGTCTGTCCGATCCTTGCCCATATCTGTTCTCCTCAGTGATTTCCTGGTCCACACTAAGCTGACTGGGCTGAATGTCTTGATAAACATTCTGGAGAGTATCTTCATCCACTCCTAGTCTCTGCATTGCATTCCTTGCCCTCTGATAGCTTCGGACACACTTATCTATTTTGATTCAACAGTGATAAGCTTCTTGCTTTGACCTTGTGCCCAGCCATGTTGAATCCACACTTTGAAAGTGTTGACGGTAAATTATTGCTTTGTGACCAAGAGCCTGCCATAACTTTTCCAAGCAATCATTTGCCTGGCCCCACCGTAACTCCAGTTCTTCAGCTTGCAGAGCACCAAGGCCAAGGGCTAAAGCATGTTGGTGAGGTATCGATGATGGCATCCAAATACGCATTCCTTCTGCAGCAACTTCCTCACCAGTCCCTTCCAAAGGAACTTCAAGATCTGCAGCTTCCTGCCCTTGCTCCTCCACGTCTGCAGCACAAAATCTGATGTCATCTATGTGCTCTGTACCTGTATCAACTTCAATGCCATCTGTCATGGCATCAGCTGTCTCATGAAATTTTGAGATCCTCACTGCCAGTTGTTGTCACTTCTCTTCTACTGCTGCCTTTTGAACAGCAGATGCATTTCTGGGAAGCTGCCAAATATCTACCCTCAATGCATCCCTTGAGCTGAATTGAGATGTGCCCTCAATGTAAAGTTAATGTAATGATGTACTGTGCACCCTCTAAATTTATACCATTGAGGAGCCAAGATATTAATCCTGTTTTGCCAGTATCAGCATATTCTGTTTTGGCTAATTTTAGCTGAATTTCTGCCATTGTAGGAGCTTCCAATCACCAGCATCAGAATGTACAGCATGTGAAAGTGAGAAGAATCTCCAAAGTGCTTACCTTTATCTATCTTTAGCTGGTATATGTCAAGATACTCCCCATGTTGTTCCATTGCTTCCTTCTCATCTTTTTCCCATGAAGAAACTTTGCTGAATTCCAAAGAACGTGTGAGTTCTTCAAATGGCACCTTAGTGTCATTAACACCCTTTTTAGCACATTTGTACTTTTTTAAGAGCATCTTAACTGCATACAACATTCATCTCCCGAGCAATTTATTCCAAATATACCCACTCACAAATCCCAACAAGTTTTTTCCAATTTGAGTTCTGCATATGATCATCTAGAATTTCTTGATGGTGGGCTTGGCTCATAGAACGTGCTGTTGGAGAAATCTTGTTAAAGGGAGCCCAGAGGGTCTCTAGAATTTCCCCATCAACTTGCCCAGCTCCTACAATGAAATTCAGGCTATATCTGGCAAAACATAGGAGCTTATGAGCGCTGAGATGAAATTTTCCCACTGCAGCAACAATCTCAGTGTTGTCAGGGAGGCTCAAGCCAGAGCAATTGTTAATGTGTTCTGCAAAGTGGAGATTCCACTGGCAGCCCACATCATAAATTACCAGGGAGTTGTCAATTCCATTGGCAGCATGCTTAATAGCATTGCATATGGAGTAATCTATATTCATGTGACTGGAATTGATTGCGTTGTCAGGTCATTTGGTCCAAAGTAAGTGCAAGAAGACTTGCTGTTCACCCTTTTGAAAGTCTACTACACAATGGGGAACAAAACAACCATGGCAAGCACAAGCTGTGGCACCCACCCCTGTGGCTCGGAGATTACTTCGGTTTGTGTTTGCTGCATTGACTGCTTGATGGTTACTACAAGCAGACCTCTTCTAACATTCAATATATTACTAACAATACAGATAAGCCAACTCACCTCTTTACTCTCTGTAGCTGAGGCCAAATGAGCTTGATATTCTCTCTCTGTGACTATATAACCTAAACCATCTGAGAGGAAAATGTCTAGTTCGGGCTGTCTCATATTCATATGATGAGCAGTAAAGTTTCTGTCTACCACAAATCTCTTCATGACAAGCCACCTGTAAGCAAAAGTCAAAATTGTTGAACAATAGCAGCCAGAGCACACTTCGTGCAGCCTACTGGCCAGTACTCTTGTCCTGGACTTGAAGTCACGGCCAAGACATATTGGCCAGTATCAAATATGCACTATGTAGCACCTGGTCTGGCCAGTCTCTTCACCAGACAAATTGCACCAGCCATGTTTTTGCTGGCACCTGTACCAGGTGTACTGGCCAGGATAGAGTACCCAAGCAATGCCAGCCACACTAACAAATAATCAACTTGCCTTTCATACTTCTCTTCCCAACAAAGAGGCATGTTTATTCCTGGCTGTGGACATGAAGGGCAGAAGATAGCAAGATCTCCTGGGCCAGGGCCTGAATCCATATCATGGCCAAATCCAAACCATTTCTGGTTCTTCAAGTCCCGCCACAGGCGAGATACTCTTATGAGTTCATGATAATGATCCTACAGATGCTGTTGGTATTCTGGCAAAACTACAAGTATAGACTCTCACTCACTGGAACAGTATCTGGAAATGCATTATTGGTTAGCCATGTGAGCTTCTCAAAGAAGCTCCTGGCCAAAGTCTTGCATTCCAAGGCATCAATGAGAAAATGATCCAGTACTTTGAAGGTGAAAACAGTCCTGGGCCATGTGGAGCTGGCAGGAAATAGTCCTGCTCTTAGGAGTTGCAGGTGCTGAGGATTTGATCCAGGGCAATGACACTATGCCATATTGTGTGTGAACACTCCAGATGAATATATGATAGTCATGGGGGTGGTGTCGTGAGGCAAGAGGTCAGCTTCTGTATCATCTATAATTTCTTTCATTCTCTCATCTTGGTGCCCATCAACGTTTGAAGCTCCATATGAAGGGCAAGGCTCTTCCCCATGGCCTAAGTGCCATATAAATCCCTGGTTGGACAGATTGACATCCTGGAAGCATATGCCATTCCAGAATTGGATTTTGTGGAAAGGCAATGACTGATGTGATTTGATCAGACAGGGCTGACACCAGCCATGGTCACCAGCACAAGTCACACAATTGAATGTGGCCTCAGCACTTTGACAAGTTTCACAGATCCCAGCACAGGCAAATTTTTCCATATCTAGGATGATGTCTAGATATGCATCTCAATAAGCAAGATACTCTGCTATGAAGTCATTTTGCATCTATATCATGATTGAGAAGGCAGTTCTCAGGTAAGGAGGAACTCCTAGACATATCTTTGTTCTTCTTGGTTGCTGAGCAGCCTCTGCTTCCATAACAAAGTCACCAAAACTTTCCTGATACACCTGATATCCTTCTTCACCCAGAGACTCTGTATGGATCCCTGTCATTCGTTTTCTTGGGCTGGTGGAGGAGGAAGGCTCCGCAGATGTTTCATACAGTGGATCTGCACAAGATTCAACCCATGAAGGTTTTCCCCTCTTGCCTCTTGCTGATTTGTAGGCAACATAGCCCACATCCAAGTCTTTTTGTCTCGACAAGATACCTCTGTCTTTGAAAGAATAAGAAACAGCCTTGAGACATTTTCTTTTGTAGCCCGACATGATGTTTCACCAAGTAATGGTAAAAGTGGATTTACATAAATAAAACCCACTCCAATTTACAAATCAATTTAATCAAATACCTCTTCTGATGTGGGACAAGTATCTCTACTTACTGCCTCTAGACTCCCCCTTACCCACCCTACCATTCTTTCTACCATTCTTCCTACCAACAGGTTTTCCTCCCTTACCTGCGCCCACTTTATTGAGAAACTCCCAGTCCATTGGAAATCTTGGCCTAGGAATGTCCTGCTTATTATGAACTTTATCTTTGACAAAGTGGGCAATTATGACCCTCTCCCCATCACCCCAAGCTGGAATCCCATGTTCTAGAACCCTTCCAGAAATGTAAATCATAGTCCCAGGGGGATATTCTAGCTCAGCACCTAGATCAGGCAGATTAAGTATAGCTTGGTGAGCTTTTCCCAGGCTGACCAGAAGGTTGTAGAATGATGGAGATGCTCCCGGATCCCAATGGTGTGGTGTCTCTCGGTTGACAATTACTTTGATTCTGGAAAATATGGAGGGCCAAATAACATGATGTGAAGTCTGGACCATACCCTTCAGGCTAGACACAGATCTCATACCAGCAAGATATTGATCTGGTGCAATAATACTTGTAATTGCTGACCAAAATTGTTCCATTACCGTCATTTCAGACAACCAAAGTTGAACTTGAGATGACGACAGGGAAGGCAATTGGTATAACAGATCTTGGAGCCACTTAACTCAATTAAGTCAGATTTGTGTTGTAAGATGGATATGAAAATAAACTTACCTCTTGGCATTTCATGAATCTGCTGGGGCATAAAGTCACCTGTCCTGCTCCAAATTCTCCTCCACCTGGAGGTATGACAAAACCTCGTGAATGCCAAGGCTGCTTTGCCTCCTTTGTTGCCTTAGGCAAAGACTGATTGAGGATGGGTCTAAGCAATTTGATGGAGTGATTGATACATTCCTAAATATAACTCATTTAAGGTGTGTCAGCCATATCTGCGAGAGGTGTACCATTCAATCAGGCACCAAAATCTCTGGCAAATACCAAGCCAATATCTTTCCATGCTTGTCAACAAATGTGGTAGGCTCAGTTATGCGACCAAATGAAGGAGCCTTAAAATATTTGGCCAGTTTATGTCTTTGTTGCCCATTAGCATTCAATGGATTCGGCAACATCTTGGCACAGTCAGAAAACCGATCAACATCCCAATTGGCTTGTACTGAGATCAAACCTTCAAAGCTGGACAGACACCAGAATCAAATAAAAATGTACAACTATTAACTGCAGCATAAGCTATTATGACCGCAGCCTTGGAAATTTCAATGTCGGTAATGATAGTTGCCTTGACACCAGTACAATCACTAGTAGACAATATAATATTCTGCCACTGGTCCCACAGCCTCATCCTTACATTAAAGCCATTCAGTTGTCCTGGAACTGCAGCTCAGATGTTGCTTACTTGGCTCTTTGCAGTAATCTATCATCAAATTTGGTCTGCATGAACAATTCATAAGGTGAGGAATTGTGCAGTAGCTCATCCACACAGCTAGCAAGGCTTTTGGCCAGTGTGGCAATGGGATCCCCCATTGTAGGACAGAAAGGTGAGACAGAAAGATGGGACAGAAAGATGAACTGGTAATTGGAAATTTTTTCAAGAGCATGTGATCTAAACCATAAATGGACGTTATTCATTTCAATGTTAATCTAACCAAAACAGCAAATACAAGGATAGTTACCAAAGCAATTTGGCTAGCGGTCATTGCAAAAAACACTCAAGGTGATATTTATCAAGTACAAGCGTTCCGCACACCTTCGGACATTTCCTATCGCATCTCACAATAATAGAATTTTGTATACTACATTCACTGTGGAAATGAGAAAATAGTCAGGCCAGATTAGTGTAGGGATAGACCATATACACGGAATATAAACAGATGTCGCATACAATGCAAATCCCAAAGCGCTAGACTAGCAAGAGGTACACAGTGCTGACTCTAATCCAACACTGGATGCATAAGATACAACAAGGAAAACTCACGCATTATCAGCTGGAGCCTGGGATGAGATGCTCTAAATCCCTCACACTAGTGAGCAAATGGGAAGGTTGTCAGGAAAACAGTTTGAACGTACCAGACAAGCCATTTGTCCCTAGTAGCAGGCAGAACAAACAGGGTATCGCTATATAATCTTCCATGGTAACCAAAATGTAATAAATCAAGAACAGCAAGATGTACTGATTGTGAGATGCTGACAGTAGTCGCCCCAACTCCCTTGATCAGTCCTGTGTCAACTTTGCCAATGAGCACCTGCAAAACTTTGTCCAGAGACATATCTTCAAGGCTCATGTGGATGAATACCAGAACGAGGGTATCTGGGTTGCATGTTCTAACCCTTTACTTGGGAGTTAGAAGACAAAGGCAGGTGGTATGTCTGGATGTCTCTTAAAGTAGTACTAGTATTGTGCTTAGACCAGGACCAGGAGTATCCTCCGGGAAGCTTAATGTGGGAGATGGACGAAGATCGGTCACATGATTGAATTCAGAAGGTCACATGATTTCATGAGGTGTAGCGCCAAGGTGACTGCATTACAGGAAATAATACTATTGACTAGAGTTTCATACGTTACATAGCATACAGTTTAAATTAAGGTCAAATTTTAAGAATTGCTAATACAAGGCTGCCACGGAGGGGCCCACTCCATGGCGGTCTTGTACTGCCAGTAACTAATAGTGTAAATAAAGGTAAGGACGATCTATTAATGCCAGTCAGTACTGGCGAAGTAAATATACCTAAATCTACCTTTTTGTCCAAGATTGCTGGGGAAAATATCTGCAAAACAACATCAGCGATAGTTAAGAAAAGAGTGATTGAATACCTCATTTTGAAAATGGGCAAAAATTGTACCCATAGCGTCAAAGCCCTTTGTCCAAGATTGCTGGGGAAAATATCTGTAAAACAATGTCAGCAATAGTTAAGAAAAGAACAATTGAATACCTCATTTGAAAATGGGCAAAAATTGCACCCATAGTGCCAAAGCCCCCAGAACCAAATGTTAAGAGGCAAGGGAGCTTAGGCGCACCATTGTGGGCACTAAGCCTCCCAGGCCACCCCCAGAACCAATTGTTATAAGGCAAGGGAGTTTAGGCGCACCATTGTGTGCACTAAACCTCCCAACCTGCTGCCAGAAACAAAGTCCAGAATACTATAGATATGAAAAAGAATTAGCAAAGTTAAACAAAAGATAAGGCTCACCTTCTCCAGTGCAACGCCTGCGCACACCCACTAAACTCCAGAATACTATAGAGATGGGAAAGAGTTAGCAATGATGAACCAAAGATAAAGCTCACCCTAGACAATGAGTCCACAGAACGGGTAAGAGTGACAATGACTAACACTACAAAGAAGAATGAAGTAAGCAAAAGACAAGCAAAATGAATGACTCACCTTTGTAAAATATAACCTAGATAAAAGAATGTGTTGAGCAAGGAACTTAAGATAAGTAGATACCTACCTTGGTATGCATTGAAATGCTCAGTGAACCATTAGCCACTTACACAGCTGCAGCCTGTATAAGTGGCTAATGGTATGAGCACAGTATGTGGTGAGAAGAGTAGAGCAAGAGGCAGTAAAGTGTGGTGAGCAGTGCAAAGAAGAACTTGAACCATGTGAAAGTGTTGTAGGCTGGTTATATGCCACAGAATATTTGACCTTGTTTATGTACACACAATGCCAGTGATTTCACGCAATCACATGACCCAGTGCGCATATGCATTGTTGACATGTCCTGTTTGGTTGATGTCCCACAAACACATGACCTCAAGTTGGGAATCTTCCCAAGTCTGTTTCTTTCCCGTTCTCACTAAGTAGCAAGCCTTGACGATTTCTGCCGTTTCAAGGCATTCCATATATATATATAGTAATTATCTTTGCTCTCAACTTCAGCCAGTACCAATTCTGCGTGCTGTCCATGCCACCCAAGAAGAACATTGCCAAGAAGCACTGTGCAGGAGGGACTGCTGAGAGACTTGGAGGACCTCTTGGTTCTCCCATTGTTTCACCTGCGCCACAGCCTTTGGAAAATGTGTCTCCAGAGCCTGAGGTGGCTGCAGAGACACACAGCCTTGTAAGTACTCCTTCCCTTTCATCTGTCTTGGCTCATTGGTGGTCAGTGGTGCATGATCTGCTGCGATGGCACAGAAGACAATATCTTACTGTACAAGTGCAATGCTTGTCCACGCGTCATGTGCAGTCAGTGCATTGACATCCCTGCCAGATATGTGCAGGCTGTTCAACATGCCGATGTCTTTTTCCTGGGCCTTTCCTGTCATTCTCAGCACAATGTCAGAACACCTGCTCCCTACTTTGTAAGTACTCATTTTTCTTTGTTTTTGCGGTGCTATTAATTTACTGACTACAGGGTTTCTACTGTGGCAACTTGCCAGCACAAGGAGGGCAGCCGCTCCTTCCACATTTTCTCCAGCTCAATGGCAAATTTGAGACTGCAACGTGCGTGCTATTCACCTCTACTCCCATCGCCTTGATTCATTTCATCATTGGTGCACATGACAAGGTAATTACGCCCGTTCCCCTCCTTGACCAATACCTCCAGCATTTTTACCCTAACAGTGGGTATATTTTTCTTGAAGTTTCATTTGATGTTGTGATGCATGAGAAGATCGACACATATACTCGCACACAGCAAGCACACGTTGCTGCACTTACTTAACACCTGGGACACACAGGCCATGTGTTTGCATTTTTTTCCAATCACTCTGAGCAAGATAGCAGGTGGTTGTTTGCTGGTAAAGTGAATGGTAATTTTGTTGCTATGAGTGTCTCCCAGGTATGTATGCGCATATTCAGTCTGTTCTTCACTAATTTCATTATCTAGGTTCTATCTACTGTCTTCTGCCCTTATACTTCTATCCTCAAAGGCACCATCCTGGTTTTTCTTGTGTGCAGCACTACTGTAGCCTATGAGGACTCATTTGTCGAGCTCAAGGCTGCTGTCCTGGACCTCGATGTAGCCTCCACCACCATATTTCCTGCAACTCACTTCCAACCTTTGGTTGCCTCAAACTTCTTATTGGCCATGGCAGAGCTTGTTGTAGTCAAGCAACTCGATCTGTGCAAGGTGTTTCCCACCCTGCTCTCCCTCTCCACTCATCTTGGACAACATTCTAGGGTCATCTTGATGACCAAGGATGACATTGCAGACAGTCCCCAGTTAGTTATCACAACCTTTGCACGTGCCCATGCGCAGACACAGCCGTGGGGCATCAAAGTGCCTGGGCAATGTCCTCTCTGCAGGTCCACTAATAGCTGGTCGCAGAAGGTGGCTGTGATGGTTGTTGACAAGTCTCACAACATTGACTCTCCAGACCAGACTACTGTTGCTAGGTATGTATATTGTTGCACGTACACTAATTGTGGTAAGAGGCAGCACAAGCCTCCCCACAAATTCACAATTGAGAAGCCTCCTGGCTTCATTATCAATGCTGCTAGAAGTAAGGCCAGCCGCTGGTTCCAGTCCTCTCCCATCATTTTTCCTCCCCCACTGTCTGTTCTGTCTTCGGCTCTTATGTCTGTGTCTTTCAGCTCTGAAAGCAAGTGGCCAAGGTCTAGAGAGGTGACAGGGACTACAAAGAGACCACGCAGAGAGTAGTGACTTTTGTAGATGTTTTTGCAAATTCTTTAGTATGTTGGCCCACTCAATTTGCACATTGATTACTAGTTTCATTAATTACAAGTTTGTTTGTTTTCCATGGCAAGCACATATTGGAATAATTAAAAACCCGAGTCACACATCACGTGATCGCATTTGGACAAATTTGGCTTACTGTCCACTTTGTGGCTGACCATTGGCTATGTTGAGCATGCCCTTAACTACGTCCAGCATACCCTTAGCTACATCCAACATACCCTTAACATTTTTCTGCCATCTTACTTTCTTTGTTTAACTCATCATGGATGAATGGTGCGAATCCTTTGAGGGAATTCTGGCTCTCCACCAGGATGGGTTTGTCTCTGCTTCGCTGCCAATGCATTGAAACATTGTAAGGACAATACAGGATCAAATCCTTGGAAGAAATAAGTCACTCAAGGATCCTGTTCTCTTGCTGAAGGCTTTAAAAAAGGTTAGTATGGCTTGCTTGGTATATAATAGGACTTTTTTTACTGGTTACAAAGTCTATTAGGCGGTACTACCTGCAGTTCTTAACCAACAAAGATGATATACATGCTGAAGAAAACATCTTGGGAGATGAACAGGATGACCAAACATCTGGTGTGTCTCCTGAGGAGAGAGAGGGAGCAGCCCATCCCAAGGATGCAGGATTCTACAAGAAGGAAGCCACTTCCTTTGATGTCACTCAGAAGCTGTTTAAGCAGGAAATAGATTGCTATGATAAGGAGGAGCAGTCAAAATTAGGGGTAAAAAATTCAATCAAGTTCCGTACAGGACATGCGAGGGATTGGTTCAAAAACATGACCCCTGCATAACAAAAGGAAGTTGAGGATGTGAAGGAAAAGTGGAACAGAGAAGGTGCACCAGTAGACTCCCAAGCAATGTAAGTGTTCATATTTATCATTCAGAATCCTCTAACTATGTACATTGGCAGGTATTGAAAGTGGAACCTCAAAAGAGTCCTCGAAGAATTTACAGAACAAGTTCGTCGTACTATGGGGTGTCAGATTGTGATGTTTGTCAGTCACAAGAAAAATTCCAATCAGATGTTGAATGTTGTTATGTGAGTGCAATATTTGACACATCATCTTACAGTACATTGATGCAATGGTGATGTTATTCAGCCACAAGTCCAAGCCTATCAATAACAAAAAACCATTCACCCAAAGTTCTCAAGGAAACAAGGAATGGTCATCTGAAGGTTTTGATAAATTTGCCAAGTGGTCTAAGTTACAATTCTGTGAGCGTGCATTTTGGTTTTGACTACATAATAACTAAGAAATAATAAGATCCTGACGACACTGATGAAGAGTCTGATGAAGATGAGGATGATGATACAAAGGCCATCTTACCTGAACTTGTCCTGGACAAGAAAGGCTATCCAAAACTCCCTTCCCATGCTGGCATCAATACCAAAGGACAACAAGAATTAGTTTGCCGAATCTTCCATGCATCATACAGTGAGTCAATGTCTACGCGGCTAGCTTTTGTGGGACTTACAGTCAGTCAAGCAGAAGTCTTCACTAAGAGTGCCAAGCCAGTACCTTGGCATGAGGTAGTCGCCAACCAAAGATTGTACCTAGATTTGGATTGTCTTCCAAAGGACTTCCTGCTGAGGGACCCTTCTCATTTGAGGGCAAGTGACATCAATAACCTCTGGGCTCATTGGGACACAAGAAGGGCCACAAAGCAAAAACTGGTTATTTTTGTTGCAGGAAAGCTTGGTGATATGAGTAGAGCACACCTGGAGAACACAGTTCCTCACAAGGAGAAGAAAATTCAAAAGGAGTATGTGGAAATTGATGACAAAGATGAGGAACAAACCTCAGCCATGCCACACCCTTGTCCTACAGCATGTACTGAACTGCCAGCCAGGATCCAGCCTGCCTCCAATGTATCAGCCAGCATGCACCCCACACCACATACCACAGGGCCGGCCAAGAGTGATTCCTCAGACAACAATTCAGCTGCACCACCCTCCACAGGACATACTAAAGGACTGGCCACTCAACCATCCTGCACTCAAGCAGGTGCACCAGCAGCTGTGCCTATGAGGGATTGTGTGTCCTTCTTGAAGTCCCTCAGCAGCCACAATGGATACCTATTGTTAGTGGAAGGTATCAGAGACTTATGCAAGGTAGGCTGGTGATTGAACAAGTAAAAATTAATACTGACTCCATCCAGGAACAAGGTTCAGAGGAGCAAAAAGACTGGCCTACCTGGGCAACGTGGTCTTGGGAAGGATCATACCTTCCAAGTGCTATACACTCCAAGGATGGCATGGTGCAGGTGTTCCTGGAAATGGCAACATCTGCCAATATCACTGGCCTGCCATCAGGAATGCAGGTCACCCTAGGTCTTGGATTACTGCTCAGAGAATATAAGCAGGCCATCAAATATGAGGAAGATGAAGTCACCCCTAACACACCCACTTACATTGGCATCTCAATATTGGATATCAAGATCCTCAACCTTGTTGGAGAGGCGGTTGACACTGTCAGAGGGAGGGTTATGTGTGTCCTCAAGGCAAGGGAGGGGCAGCACAAAATTTCCCACAATGCCACAGCTGAAGCCCCAGATGATGCTTGCACTCATGCAGATGGGGAAGAGAGAATAGCGGAGGATGAAACATCCAAGGAAGAAGAGAGACAAAGGCAGGAAGAGGAGGAGATGAAGCAGCTGGTGGAGAAGCCAAGGAGTGAGGAGGCAGAATTAAAGCAGCAGCTGGAGGGGGAGTTACAGAAGCTTGCAGAGCAGAAACAGCTCAATGAGGAGTTGAAGGAGTCAATGCATAAGCTTCAGGAGGAGACTCGGATGCTGCAAAATGCGAATGAGGCCTTGGAGCAACAGATGGTGGAGGAGAAAGAGATGGCAGATGAAGATGGGAAAGATATTCCAGATGTTGGCAGCAATTATGATGGGGATGAGGTGCAGGAGGAGGTCAGAGAGGAGGTGAAAGGCAAAAAAAGGAGCAAGTCAGGTGGATCTGGAAGAGTATCGAACGATCTCGCAAACGGTCGTTGGCAGAAAGCCATACTTGTACAAGCCAGTCATAAAAACATCTGCAGACAGTTTACTCACAAGACACCGAAGGAATATAAAAAAAGCCGCACCAAACTTATATGGGTTGAATGTCGTCGAGTTTGGGTCTGGACATACAACAACGGGGAGCAATCCGTCGGTTGCATTGTTAATTTGACCTTTCAAGTTGCCAGCAGTGAAGTAGATCTGCGAGCTTAAATCTAGAGCTGATTAGCTGTGGACGAGTTCGTGGCAGAGATAAACGCACTTCTGGAACAATTTGCAACGGCTTCCTACGTGAAGAACGTGATATTCGGTCCTACCGTCGCTATTGGGTAGACACTAAATGCATTTTGACTGCGGTCCATCGGTTGGCATGTAACATTTGCTGAGACACCCTGCTGTGTAACAGTGTAGTTCTTCGCAACCCCTTGAGTGCCTGCATCGCGTCCGAGGTGTCCCCAGTCAAAACTGGTATTAACTGGTACTCGTCCCCCAGAAAACGCTAAGCCAACATCAGGACCCGGCGGGTTTGACGATCCAGAGTATTCCTCTATCGCAGGAAGAACCCCACCTTTGGAGTTTTAAGTGAACGCATCATCTTTAGGTGCCGAAGTACTCACCAGTCGACTGATTGTATGAAACTCCGTTGAAGCTGAACATACTACTCGTTTGCACACCTCCTTGAATGTCAACCGCAGTAATACCACTGAGGAGAGTCAAGACATTGATGGTTTTAAACGCAGTTGCTTGTACTAGAACGGTTCCTCTTGAGCACTCCAACTGTTGCTGGCCATTGAAATTGAAACAGTGACATACCAGTGTTTGCTTCCGGGGTATTGAGGTCCGTACTCAACTGGTCCACAAACGCAACAGATTTAAAATCTAGTTCCGTACCGAACGTTGCAACAGGCCATTGTACAAGAGTGGGTAAGAGCAAAGTGCTCCAACTGCACAAACCAGCGTCAAACATATCTCTGCTGGGTTCGTTGAGAATAGTACAAACTCCGTATTCAGAAATGTGACCACTGCATAAACCGCCAGCGTGAGGGCCGATAGCTTGAGAGATCTCCATTTAAATACCCAGGTCGGCCTGCTCAGCGCTATTGCAGTGCGAAGCTTGAACAGTGTCATCGGCCCTGAGAGGTGATGCCGAAGCGCTTCTTTGACGGCAAATGTGAAGAACCTGTGCAATAACAGAAGGGTAAGATTTCGGACTGAACGTTCAGAGGAAGACGCACATCGAAGTAATAATCGACAAGGTGGTTGAGATCAGCGTAACTATCAAGGTCAGCATGGTCGGATACTCTACGATCAGATGAACGATATGATCGGGTAGTGTGAGAACCCCTGTGAACAAGATTCCTGCGGTGAAGCCTCATGCAAAACACGTGATCACAGTCTGGCCGAAGATAGTTGCGAGGAGTAGAGTAGTAGGACTCAAGCGCTGCGAGATCAACGAGACCCTGGAGAGCAATGGAGGTTGGCTCACGATTTTGACGAGGTCTACGAAGTGCATTTCAAAGGTGGAAGCGCGGAATGGGCTCCGTGAGGACGTCTGTCCGACATCTTCAAGTTAAGTACTGCTGCAGGGCGCCATTAACTCGGTGCATGTGTACCATGGAAGGCGAGAAGCAAGCAAGTGAATTAGGTCTAGGTACCCTGCTATTACCTGCGTGAGGAGGAAGCAACAAATGCCGATCAGTAAACTATGTTCTGTACAGAGCTATACAGAGCTACACAGTGCCAGTGTCACAGCTTACAGGCGCCCTTGCCATATTGATGCAAGATTTTGCTGCAATTGCAGTGCTTTAGGGGGCAGAAAGCCGCTAGGCTATGTGGACTACCATGATGTGACCCTTCCAGAGCGGATCGAGCGTTGATGTGAAACACTGCCTTTGTAAGCATGCCCACGTGAGGATCCTCCACGACTCCCACGCGTGCTAACGAAGTACTTGCCTCAAAAATTGAATCTTGATATTGATTCCCCATTCTTTCTTCTTCTCTGCGCTCATGCGCATTGCTCGACGATTTTTGTCCATCCTTCCCGATCATCGACGACCCCGGAGATTACGAGACGCTTTATACATGGCCTTCATCACTCCTCTTCCCGGCCCTTCAGCCACTTCTTCTACAGGCAATTTATCGACCACACTTCTGCCAATAATGATAATGCGTCTCTTCGACAACGCAGAGACGCAGGAGAACTTAACGTTCCCACAGATAAACTTCTCATTCCCGTCCCTCCCCAGCCGATAGGTACAGCCTTTGAAAGAAGCTCCTTCTGGGGCGGGCCTAGACTCTACCTACAACTTCGGCATTCACAGCTTCATCCAAGATCTCTTCATCGCGAAGGTCACTCGCTTAAGAGATCCAATATTAGTGTCAACGGTGTCTCATACCATCTCCTCGACCTCTCTCAATTCAAGAACGAGCCAGACTTTTCCACACACAAAACGAATCGACAACTTGCTAAGTATATTTCGATTTGATTCCAAATCCTCACTTTTAGTCTTTTCACGTCCACTGCCCTCATCAGTATCAATATTAGTTCTTGTGACCGTGCTCATAATATTGACCCTCTCTCATCTTTACCCTTAACCACGCATAATACAAAGGTCCTAACGACGACATCAATGTTGCTTTGTCCCATCTGTCACCCTCACCTTTTCAACTCCTCGAGAACTGCAAATTCCGCAGTAATGTTGTCAGGCGAGATACTCTCTGGACCACCAAGAAGGTTATCTGCATCGCGAGGCTCAGTCGAGAGCGGAGGTTCCTACGCAAAGGATGCTTCAAAACCCTATGCAGTCTCGACAGCAATGCCAACCTCTTCACGAGTGTGCATGTGAGCATGTCGATGGCGGGTGGACTTCTCAGCCTCCGCGCCTTTTACGACGCTGTGGCGTCGATGCCCGAGGTTCGCACAATTTTTGCCGAGTGTTCTAAATGTCTCAACTGAGAGAATGCCCTACAATTGAGAGGATTGTTACCGCAAAGACCTTGAGTGGGTGGATTTCGGATTGTCATGACCCTGGATTTGAGCACTTGATGATCAATGATGTGAGGGGGCGCCCGCACCCTCCAGTATGCACTGTCTTACTTTATGGCAAACGCATGAAAAGATATGTCCACAAGATGGAGGACTACAGACGACTTGCCAACCACAAACTCGCTATAGATTAGTACCAGTTCTCGTTTGTTAACACAGAAGAGTGAAGGCAGCGGTGGCATAAGAAGCAGCCAGTTTGATAATGAATGCATTGGAATCGGGCGGTTCATGGCCTTGTTATGATTGCCCACTGGGAAGAACCAGTTTGACAGACTGGACAAACCTGTCCACGAAGCCTGAAGAAGGCATCAGTCATTCATTACTACGCGTCAACGTTGTAAGGAAATATAGACGCAAGGCAAGCAGGCGGCAGCGAACTCAATGCTGCGAAATAAACCTTTTCAATATATGTCGTCCGACTCGTTTCGTTTAAGGTTGAACAACGCAAAGCGCTTGGGACTCTTTCGGTCCACTGCGGCATCATCATACCAGTCCCTGGAAATCTTTATCTTCAGGCAAGCAAGTCGTTTTGCAAACAGGGGTCAAAAGCGAATCTCGATTGAGCACGACCGGGAGTGACGGAAAAGCAAACAAGAACTAGAGAGCGATGCATATGGTATTCTTGACTCGATGCTGATAATCCTCACGCAGTTATCATACTGGACCTACACACTAGATGACGACACTGATGAGTCTGACTCGAGGCATGATAGTCCAAAGAGCTGTGATATGTGGCAAGGAGTTTCCAACCAGCGAGACAAGGACAGGCGACCATCCTTAGGTAACAGTGTTGTTCGCTGCGGGGTATATGTGAGTATAGAAAAAAAATCACCCGGGGAATTCAGTACGTTATCGTCCATGTCTCAATTCATTATTCCTCCTCTGAGGGTTCGTCAGACATATCTCTGACTCATCTTCGCTTCCGCCATTCTCTTCATTTTCCTCCTCTGAGGGTTTGTCAGACATATATTCCGACTCATCTTCGCTTCCGCCATCCTCTTCAGAAACCTCTCCATCTTCCTCATTGTCACCATCAATCGCCGCATCTCCATTTTTGGGCTCATGTACGAACTGTGCGATTCCATAGTGGTTGTATGGGCCTTCGCTTCCATCAGCTCCTTCGCCTGCATTCAGCACCATCCTCCTCCCCTGCTCACGCACCGCGGAGAAAATCTTGATCAAGTCCTGGACGCATTTCCACCTAGTGGAGTATTTTTCGGAGTCTGGGTGTTTCCTACTACCGAATTCTGGGTGCCATGTAACGATTGATCCAAGACTGGGCATGATGACTGAGATGAAAGCGGCAATCCTTGTCGGATGGCGAATCCTTGGACTGCCAAAGAATACCTCAGATATTGCCTTATGTGCAAATCCTCGGTAGGGAGCATCCAGTGACACAGCGCGCCCGTCGATAGTAGACCAGTTCACAATAACGGTCACCGAGACTAGACGCGGGCAATGCTGCAACAGCGAAAGGAAAGCGCCTGGAGTGACTCCACGACTCGAATGGTCATATTTGTTGAGATGTAGCACTTCCAGGAGGGGCCAGGCCTTAGCCATCTGCAATAGGGCGGCGTCATCCCATCGCAAGATATAGTTGTCGTAGGCCCTGAACTCAAGCTTGCGAAGATTGCGGAAAGCACAGAGTGGTCGGAAAACTGCAATTTTGATTGGGGTGATGCAACCTTCAGATTGATTATCGATGCTGAGACTCCATCTGTTCCAGTGAGCCGTATGCACGCCCATTAGATAGGCGGGAGATCGAAGCCGGCAGGGCCATGTGGAATCCACACCAACAGAGATTTCAAGAGGTAATGATTTTGGGCAACGAAGAACCTCTTGAAAAAAGCATTTAAGAGTCCCATGCTGCTGGATTCTATGTTCAGTTCTTGCAACGCGCAGAATACAGGATGCTGCAGCTTTTGTGTATCCACAGACATAGGTGTTGACGGTAATTTGAACTGTAGGAACTGGAGCGAAGGCAGCTTGGATAGGTGTAGTATGGTGGCTTCCGAAAGTATTGAAGTGGCCACTGATGTTAGATGAGACCAACACTGTAGTGCAACCGAGGAGCCTTCTGATTCTGTGGATGGAACACGCCAGCAACAAAAATGCGAGACAGAATGGCACAGCATTGCGATACATGATAAGACTGAGTGTTCAAATGGGCCAAGGGTGTGGGGAGTGAGATGGAGTATCGTGATTTTGGGGCTTACAAACAACCGGATCTGTAGGAACGTCTCGCTGCTATTGGAGCTCCAGGTAAGAGACACCAGGTTGGGGAGTAAGGGCAGGGGGAAGGGAGGACATGCAAGGGCACGCCAAATTTCGGCACCAACTTGTATCGGATAGAAATCTGTTCTGAGTGAATGGACATAGTGGTGGTATTTGCAAAAAATAGACCAGTCATCTAAGGTCATGACTCTTCGAAACTCCTAGCAAATATGTGAACTCGTATGCTTTCAGTGTCAGCCCGAGCTTGACCAACCAATTTTTGTTCCACCTGTTTCCATAGGCTTTGCGGAAGACATTTGATAAGTGGTGCAAGGCCTTGCAGGTCTTGCCACAAAAGCTTCAGTGCAGGTTCTGTGAATGACTTGCATGTCAAGGCAAGCGCCAGGAGTGTCTTATTTCCAAAGCGCCTCGCTTTAGGGTTGTTACTGGCACCACGGACCAGCTGGAAATCTTGCATCGAAGTTCAGGTAAGATACAAATAAATGCTGGTAACTTGAACGAAGTAGAAACAGCGCAGCCTCTCTGTCCGCTGTGAGACTTTGGGACTTTGCGTTGATTCTTAACACTTTCGACGGAGAACTTGGCCTTCATCATAAGTACTATGCATGTGGCGAGTGCAAGACGACCGAACTTTGGCACGGCCATGATGATCTACAGTACGAGTTACGTAATAGTTATATGTACAGTGTTTCTTTGGTGTTTCGATGGATTACTTTTTGTTCTGTGTGCTTCAACTGAGCTTCAACGCAACGTTCAACATTCAACGTTGTCAACTTCGTTAAGTGTCACATCGTTCAGTCAGTTTGTCGATTTATCACGATTCTAAATATATTTACATGGGAAAACGACCATGGAGCACACAAAGCTGCGAGGAGCTCCGATACAATGCTGTTGTCGTCTTCATTCTAGACTCGATTTCAATAGTCTGAAGCCTAGTAAACAGCCCACAAGACCTGGAGAATTCAGTACGTTAAAGTACATGTTTTGAATCACTCCTCCGAGGACTCGTCAGACGTATATTCTGACTCACTCTCGCTTCCACTATCTTCTTCAGAAACCTCTCCATCTTCACCATTGTCACCCTCACCAATCGCCGCATCGCCATTTTCGGTCTCATAAGCTGGCTGCGTGATTCCGTGGTGGTTGTATGAACTCTCATTTCCATCAACCCCTTCGCCTGCATTCAGCACCATCCTCCTGACCTGCTCGCAGACTACGGAGAAAGCCTTGATTAAATCACAGACGCATTTCCACCTATTGATGTATTTTTTAGAGTCTTGCTGTTCCCTACCAAACTGGGGGTCCCATATAACAATCGACTCCAGATTGGGCGCGATGGCCGAAAGGAAAGCGGCGATCCTTGTCGGATGGCGAATCCTTGGACTGCCAAAGAATGCCTCAGATAATGCCTTGTGTGCAGATCCTCGGTGAGGAGCATCCGGAGATACGTCACATTCGTCGATAGTAGACCAGTTCACGATAATGGCAACCGATATTAAACAGGGACAATGCCGCAACAGCGAGGCGAAGGCACTGGGAGTGACTCCACGACTCGAATGGTCGTATCGATTGAGATGCAACACTTCCAGGAGGGGCCAAGACTTCGCCATCTGCAAAAGGACAGCATCATCCCATCGCAAAGTATAGTTCTGGTAGGCTCTGAAGTCGAGCTTACGAAGATTGCGGAAGGCAAGTAGTGGTCGTAAAACTGCAGTTCTAATTGAGGTGACGCGATTGATCGTCGATGTAGAGCTCCATACATTCCAGTGAGCTAGTGCACACATCCGTCAGATAAACGAGATAATGAAGCTGGCAGGGCCCGCGCGGAATCCACACCACCGACGATGTCAAGGCAGATTGCTTTTGGAGCAATGAAAAATCTCTCGAGAAAAGCATCTAAGAGCACCAGACTGCTACCTGCCATGTTCGGTTCTTCCAACGCGCAGAACATAGGATGCTAGAGCCTTTGCGTAACCACAGACATGGGTGTTGAAGGTAACTCGACCCGTAGAAATTGGAGTGCAGGCAGTTTGGAGGTAGCATTCCGGCCTCGGAAACTATCGTAGTGGTCACTGAGGTTAGATGAGACCAGCCTTGTAATGCAGTTGAAGGGTCTTCTGCTGATTTTGCGACTGAACTAAAATCGAAATGAGAGACAGAAGGGCACAGCATCGAGATGCATGACAAGATGGAGTGTTCGGTTGGGCCAAAGGCGTATGGATAGAGATCGAGTTTCGTTATTTTTGGACACACAAACAACCGGATACATAGGAATGCCTCGCTGCCAGGCCGATCCCAGGTGAGATATCAGATTGGGAGGAAGGGAAGGGAGAAAGGAGGACAGTTAAGGGCATGCCAAATTTCAGTACCAATCAGTGGATAGACATCTGTTCTGAGTGAACGGACGTGATGGTTGTATTTGCAAAAAATAGACTAGTCATCTAAGGTCATGACTCTTTGAAATTCCTGGCAAATGGTATGAACTGATGTGCTCTCGAGTATGAGTCAGAGCTTGACTAACCAATTTTTGTTCGACCTGTTTCCATAGGCTCCGCGGGAGATATTTGATAAGTGGTGCGAGTCCAGGCAGGTCTTGCCACAAAAGCTTCAGTGCAGGTTCCGCGAATGACTTGCACGTCAAGGCAAGCGCCAGGAGTGTCTTATTTCCCAAGCACCAAGCGTTATGGTTGTCGCCGGCATTATGGATCAGCCGGAAAATCTTCCACCGAAGTTCAGGTATAATGGAGATACACTGCCAGCGAGCAGACACTGGCAACTTGAACGAGGTGGAAATGTCGCTGCCTCTCTGTCCGCTGTGGAATTGTTGACGTGAGTGGGCTTCGCGTTGATCCTCAACGCTCGTGACGGAGAACTCGGCCTCAATAATTACTTGCAGCAGGACGAGGTCCTAAGACAACTCAAAGTTGATTAAGTAAGTTACGTAACTGTACGCTGGTGTGTTTGTCGGCCGCAGATTGTATCGTCCACTTCAAACTTAGATGCATATCATGATGGAGTGAACTCATATAACGAAGATGTTTAAACGAGATTAACTGTGTTGCAGACCAAGCTCCTTCACCAATATTGCCTAAACTTGCTACTTTCGTCACGTCATAAACGACCAGCCGCATTACGATAATACATGGGCTACATGTTGCGCGAATCAGAGCAGGTGGCGAGCAAAGCAGTGCTCAAAACCTACAGCGAGAGAGCTGAAATGATCCCAGCCAGTAGGAGTCAAAATCCTGTAACGCAACACGGTCTTCGAGGCGGCATCCATAAGTCGAGAATGCACCGACTCTGGTCGGATTCTTCCAGTTGTTCACTAAGAATTCGTCCAAGACCTGAAAAACGGTTCAGTGGTGGCAAACGCATAGAAAGATACGCCCACGAGATGGATGACTACAGACAACTTGCCAACCGTAACCTCACTGTAGATTAATATCAGTTCTCATTTGTTGGCACAGAAGAGCGAATGTAGGTGGTATAAGAAGCAGCCAGTTTGATAACGACTGCATTGGAATTGGGCTAGTCCATGGTTTTGTCAGCGGTAGCTGAGAAAGCTTACGGAGAAGGACGGGCTTGACAGACTGGATAGACCTGTCTACGGAACCTGAAGAAGCCATCAACCATTACTATCGCATCAACGTTGTGAGGGAATATAGACAGAAGGCAAGTAGGCAGCAACGACTCAATGCTGCGTTAACTGGCTTTGCTCGCGTCTATTTCCAAGATTCTATCTGTCAGCCCATGAGAAATATTAAAACTTGATGCAATCTTACTGTCAAATAAACCTTTTCAATATAGGTCGTGTCGTTTAAGGTCAAACAACGCGAGGCGCTTGAGATTATTTCGGTCCACTGCGGCATCCTCACACCAGTCCCTGGAAATCCTTATCTTCAGTTAAGCAAGTCATTTTTCGGACCAGGGAAAGAGCGAATCTCGATTTAGCACGACCGGGGGTGACGGAAAAGCAAACAAGAACTAGAGAGCGATGTATGTATTCTTGACTCCATGCTGATCATCCTCGCGCAGTTATCATACCGGGCCTACACACTGGATGACAACACCAATGTCTGAGTCGAGGCACAATAGCCCAAAGAGCTATCGCATGTGGCGAGTTCCCAACCAGGGAGACAAGGACGGACGACCATCCTTAGGTCACAACGTCGGTCGCTGCGGGGCATATGTGAGTATTGAAAAAAAATACCATGATCGTCGCACCTAGGAATCTGTCGGTATGACTTGTGCAGAAATCGGCGTTCTTTTTCCTTCTCGCCCAAGTCCAGCAGCTCTTTCCGCTTCTTCTATAGTATATGCAGGTTCCTTCAAAACTTTACATCGTCGTTTGTGTACTTTGCCCTTCCAATGTGACCGGAGCGCGGTATCAGTCTCAAAGTGTCTTTTTGACAACATAGTCAAGTTGACGAAAAGAGTATGGTAACAGATCAACTTACTTTGCACATTCAACGCAGTAATGCTGGGCAAGGCCAGGTTTTTCGAGATCGATGGGTTGCGCTTCGAGAGCAGCTCGATTCTATGCGAGAGTTTAGATGGAATGTACGAGCTAAAGAGATTTTTAGTACCTTCGGGTCTAAATCAATGAGCTGAATTTGATCGAGATCTTTTGTGCGAGCCTATAGGGAGTCAATAAAGGACCAAAAATCAGAAAGCGGGTGCATACCCTTGTACGGGATGCTCGATGCACGTCGCGCTGTGCATGGTGTGTACGAGATCTCCGTAACCGACCCATGATATGTGCAGAATTGGTGCAGAAACCTCATCTAACAAATTCACAAGTCCCACATGTGCAATTCCCTTTTTAGGGTCGTCCACTTAGCGCGTGCGCACGATTCAGAGCTTCACTTGACCTTCCTCGTAAGCAACAATGGCGCTCCCAACAAACGGACGAGTGGTAATTGACACGACTGCAGGTGAAATCGAAATCGAGCTATGGTCAAAGGTGCATACTGTATTCTTGTGTCTCCGGCTTGGTTGTTGAGCGTGAGTTCAGGAAACACCAAAAACATGCCGGAACTTCATCGCACTCGCGCTAGAAGGTCAGCAATTGAATTTATTCTGAAACCGAGGTGCCCAGCTCATTCGGAAGATAGGTTATTATGATGGCGTTATCTTTCATAGGTTAGTACCTTGCTCAGCGTATTCGGAATGCGTCTCTAAATTCCTTGCAGAATCGTACCGGGTTTCCTAGTCCAAACCGGCGACAAAACAGGGACGGGCGGAGGAGGGGAGTCATTCTATGGAGGTGTGTCCTTGTTGTGGTTTGCCTTCATGCAAGGTCATAATACTCGGCTAAAGAACCATTCGAGGACGAAATCCACCCGCGATTGCGATATGCTCACCGTGGGCTTGTCGCTATGGCCAACAATGGGACGAAGAACTCTAATGATTCCCAGTTCTTCATTACCCTCGGTGAGAAACATTTCAGTGAGACTTGGTAATCGAAGACCTTGACGTCATTTCTTTGGCATAGACAGAGCGGATGAATTGCACGGCAAACATACTTTGTTCGGGAGGGTAATGGGGGACACCGTATATAGTACGTTTGGAGATTAGACATAGTTTCACATTTCTCACTTATTTTGGCCTAGACGTCATGAAAATTGGAGAGATGGGTAGGTGTCGCTCTTATGCCAGGGGCTTGGTCAACTAACATTAGTTCACCACCCTTCCAGAAATTGGCGAAAATGAACGACCCGTGTAGTAGGTTTGACACAAACTTGTGGCCACCTTTTCCTCTCAAAGCTCACTAGCCCTTATTACGCAGTCCACCCAAAATCAAATCGATAAGAATAATCGACAACCCATTCCCAGACATCATACCCCGAATCACTGCTGCCGAGAAGCGTGCCCAGCAGCGAGCTCGAGAAGCTGGTCAACGTGAACGAGAAGAGGCCGAACGACGGAGAGGTGCCAAAAAGTGAGTTAAGAATTGTATTTACGCTTGTCTTACTGACTTTGCGAAGGGATGTAAAGCTTTTGAGCTTTGGGGAAGAGCAAGATAGCGAAACGGAGCCTGTAGCGTTCAAGAAGAAAAATATTGCACGGCCCGACTGTGAGTTTACTCGTCAACGAGCACTCAAAAACTACAGCTGAGCAGAAGGTTGCAGTGGTCGACAATCCTAACGCCACGGGCATTCCGATGCCAGAATCTCTCCTCGGTCATCCGAAGAAATCCAACGAACCACCTCGAGAACGTGCATCTGAGAAGGAACCATCCAAGGTACATACTGTACAGCTTCTACCGAGTAAGGAATGACAAAGATTATCAGCAGCATGAGAAACCTTCAAAAAGTAGTAAATCCGAGGGTGCAGATAAGGATATCAAGAAAATCCGTGAAACACACGCGAAAGAGAAGGCTTCCGGAAGGTTCTTAATATCTTATAACCTCCTGCGTTCCAATTTGACGCGTGACTCCAATAGTGACGCCCGACGCACTGAAATCGAGCAGATGGAGAGCGAGATCCGCAGACTGACGCGCAAACGAGAAGGTGGTGAGGATAGCGACGAGGAAGCTGCACGGAAGAAGACAAAACCGACGAAGTCCTATCTCGAGGAAGAACTTGCCAAGTACTCCAAGGGGCGGGGATTGCAGAAGAAAGGGAAGGGAAGGAAGGATGAGGGCGATGTCCTAGCTGCTTTGAATAGCTTTAGGGGATTGTTACAGTCAAACGCGAACCTGGAGATGGAGGACGTTGTAGAGGAGGAAGATCATGTGGACGGCAATGAAGGCGGAACCGTTCCTGGTGGAGAAGATCCGGGTATAGAAGTGGATGACGACCGCGGATTCATTGGCCACGCTCTGCACTTCCCGAAGGACGATGGGGAAGAAACGAGGAAGGCTGAGAGAGATTATGAGGTTATCGATCCTCGTCAACGTGGTGCGAGAGCACGGGAAGAGGAGCGGGAGAGGAAACGAACTGCGATGAAAGGAAAGAATGGGCGTGGCCGTCGGTAATTTCCCATCCTTTGCAGCTTCCTTTGTGCTCCAGAGCTCGTAGTGTACTGGCGCGATTGGACCATCTTTACGTACCTGATATCATCTAATCTTATCACCAATTCAAACGCGCACATAACGCGTCTGACGCGACTTTACAAGAGCACTCATGTCAAGCTCAAAGCGTGGTGCATTCATTGTCATCGAGGGACTGGACAGATCAGGAAAAAGTACTCAAGCCTCTCTCCTCCACGACCGTCTGCAGGACCGGCAAGATGCAGGGGCTACAACACCAAAGGTAGTCCTGCTAAAGTTCCCCGGTACATTTTCAATCCAATTCCCCACTCAAACTCAATACAAATTCATTCCCAGACCGCACGACAGCCATCGGGAAGATGATCGACGCGTACCTCCGTTCCGAGTCCGAGCTAGACGACCGCGCCATTCACCTGCTTTTCTCTGCTAACCGCTGGGAACTTGCGTAAGCACAAACATTGCCTTTACCATCTCTTCGCGTTCGATGACACTATTTATCATGTTTCTTTGCACACAGATCTACAATTGTAGCCCATCTTGCACAAGGGACGACCGTCCTTGCTGACCGATATGCATTCTCTGGTATCGCATTTTCAGCTCGTAAGGGACTATCGTACGAATGGTGTCGTGCTCCCGAGGTTGGACTGCCTGCACCAGACCTTACACTATTCCTCAATATCAGTCCAGATGTCGCAGCTGCGAGGGGTGGGTATGGGCTCGAGAGGTACGAGAAAGAAGAAGTACAGAAAGGCGTGAGGCGGGTGTTCAATAAAATTGGGCGGGCAGTACAGGAAGAGGGTGAGGGCAAGTGGGTGGAGATTGATGCAGGGAAGACGAAGGAAGAAGTTGCAGAAGAGCTCTGGAAAGCGGTGGAACCGCTCGCCAGCGGCGTTCAAGGATCTATCAGTGGGTTATGGGAAATAAGTCTAATCCCGGGCCGGGATACCCAAGGTGGAACCTGACCGCACTGCTTTGTAGAATAGTCGCTAGCAAACATTACATGCCAACATCCGATGAAAGAGACAGCTCTGTGGTAAAACATTAAGCTGTTCACTTCAATGATGAAATTTGTAACACAAAGCCGTGATACCTAAGTATGTATCCTTCATACATACATGATACAATTGGTCCATATCTTTATTGTTATCCAATCATGAAAAAAATGAGAAATGAAAGAAGGGCACAGGGTAGCCCCAATCCTCGATGTATGTCAAGGGCTCGATGATAATCGCGACACGATGACTGCGAAAGCAATCAGTACACCCCATCTCCATTTCTCCCACAAAACTTGGCGCAGCTGCCCTGTCCATCCCTGCGGTGTCGTAATCGGCTTGTTTATAGATGTCAAACTAGTATTTACGACATCGTTTGCGTGCAACGTCGTCGTGGTAGCGGGAGCCTGTGCTGCTGGTCGTCTATCGCACACCTGCGGTTGGTGCATGGCTGTGGTAGAACTTGAAATAGAGGGAGAAAACGGACTAGGGCTCATAGGTGAAGTGGGCGTGGCTGCCGTATCTGGTTTTCCTCTTTCCTGCTCGCCCATATTTGGTAGATCTCTGAGAGTATCCGTACAGTACTACGGAAAGCGCGGAATAGTCAGCAAACCAGGCACAAGTTGACACTGACAGAAACGAGTAACCCTCAGGAGCTTGGGTATGACACTCTGATCCGAATGAAACGGTACTCCTGTCCCTCTCGGGCTTCTCGTATCGTCGAGAATAGATACAAAATATGACACTCACGTCTGGGAAAGCTTCTCTAAATCTTGGTTGTGTTAAATTATGAGAGTGACTGCGAGCAGCATAAGCTCGTTTGTGACCATCTGACGACGTCACTGAGCCGGTGGTCATCTCGTCGGAGAGCATGAACGACAGCAATCCTGTGAGTCTAAATAAATCTTGATGAGTAAGCGCTCAGGTGGGGAAGTCGGTGAACAGAAAAGACAACGATCGTGAGCATCAAATACCACTCTATCAATCATGTCTGGGTCCGGAGAAGAAAAAGAAACCGGGCCGTTAAAATCAAGTGGGACACTCACATCGTGGCGACACTCCAGGCGGGATTCCACTAATAATGATTCAGTAATGATGACTGTTGGGATGACTGAACAGGACGCACGGTACCAGGATGGAAATCAGACATGGAGAAACAAATCTTCTTGTCAGGTTGGAATCGACCGGAAGGGGTAAACATCTGTTGCATCATATTCATCATAAGTCGTGGAAGATAACGATCATGTAAGCACACCTTGATGCCCGGTGGCTTGAAGGGGTATTCCGCGGGGAAAATGAGTACACCGTGATATTCTCCGCCAGCAAAAGGTGAATCAGGAGGACCGCGCTGTACGACAGAAGTTGTTGAACAATAGTAAAGGTGCTATCCGCTCAAAGAACGCACGATAAGGTAATTCCCTGGATGTAACGCTTCAAAAGCATGCTTCCGCGTGGAAGATACTGAAACTTACAAGTCAAGATGTTCTTTTCGTCTGGTGTTGCCCACACAAATGGGGGCGGCTCTTTCTGCATGCTCACAAACTCCTTAGCGAGCTGAATTTGACTTATCAGCGACATCTTGAGAGTTAAATATGGGTTCTTACACGTTTATGGGCTGCTTTGCTTGCCATGATTGCGGGGTCGATGGGGGCTGTGGAGAGTGTAGGAGTTGTGGATGAGAGCCTGCGGGCGACTTGATGCTGGCCAAACCATCCAGTACATGCAACAAATAAGTGCAAATATCCCGAACAATCTCTCCCAAGTTCCACGCTTCCTTTAGGAGTTTTTCAGTTTTTCACGGGCTGGCTTTTGTAATTCGCATGTACTGTATACCACTGTGCCAGCTGGCATGCTTTAACATTAACAGATCTATAGCATTCATGCACTACTTCTTCGCAAAAATGGGAAATAATGCGAGCTCAGTACGTGGCCATGTTAACGTTCTTACATCCGTGCCTGGCGGCGGCCCAGTGGCGTTTCCTATGTACATGGCACTCGCAGGAGCCATGGAAATGCCACGGGCGTTATTGGTTCATTTTGATGATTCAGAGGTTTCTATGGTACGGTACTCAGACACTACTACGCTTGTGAAGCGACTCCTGACATGATCTCCACCAACAGTGCTAGGGAAACTTCCTAAATGTTCCTATCGAACTGCCATGCACACTCGGGCATAACTCGTGGGTCGCAAGCCTGGCATACTTGTCGAGTATCACTTAGCCACTGCATCGTTACGCACTTTGAGCTTGCATGAGGCAGTTTCACTGGTAGGCTGCTTGCAACTTAACAACATGGCATTTTTTACAGAATTCGATCTCTATACCTCTCTTTCATCTTCATTGGTACAACAAACATACGTGGATTCCGAACAAACACTGCTTAATTGATGCATTGGGGAGGCGTTCAGCACTTGCATTCTCCCGGCTTGCAGGCGCACCTGGAGGTTCTAAATCAGACACTGTGCACAAGAATAAAAGACACCGTCACTTACGAGCTACCGCACCCACAGGTGGACGACGAGTCGTTGTGAGAAACGGGGACTTCAGTGACCTGCGAAGGAAGATTAGACAAGGAAATGCCTGCAAGAAGTCGTGCGTACAGCGAACATATTGGGTGGATTGATGCTGATGCTGGATTGTTGTCAAAAGTCTTCAGAGCTTGTGCTGAATTACGAACAACGCGAGGAGGATCCTTTATACATCCTGTGTGTATGGCCTTGTTAGCAATTTCTTGAAGAGGATGTTCCATTCGGTTTTCTGTCCTTCGGTTTTCTGCCTTTCCGGAGGTGGATAATCATTGATCGACCCATCGCTGCCTACCATCATCCAATCACGCAACTTGCCGCACTGATCTGTCAATCCATCAAATGCCTCAGAAGCCACTCTTCAGAATACCTCACGACCATACAGCGAACTGATTATCTGGAGTACAAGGTCCGAATACCGAAGGACGACTGATGACGAGGAAGAAGGGCCATTGTGACGGTTCTGGTTGTTCCGCACCCTTGCTGCCATGGATCCTGGTTCCAAACCGACGATTTCAAAACGCTATGATCGTGCATTGATCTACCAATCAGTCAAATGCCTCAGGAGCTGCTCTTCAATAAGTGTCTCGTGCAGTGAACGTGCTAACTTGCTTGAAAGATGTATTATCCTGGCCTACCTGGGTTGGTTACGCAGCTTCATCTTATATTCTCCCGAGAATGGAGCTGCGCTTAAGCGGCTCAGCGGATGGCGTTTTTTCCACGTATTCAGGCTTCGGTCAGTCTATGTGATCGTTATCGTGAGTTCATACTTGACCATTTGGATTGCCATTTCCACGTGACTGGGCCCGGGAACGCCCAGGCCCCGGTTGTCGCCGCTACCACAATTAATCCAAGAGCAGGACGGACGACAAAGGACCCTTATTTTGAAATAGTACTAATCCACTCGACAAAGATCTCTATACATATAAGCAGTGTCGACATCAAGCGCGCATCCAATCGGAACAGTCCGCATGCGATGTAATTAATACTCATGATCATTGGTCAGGGTGCCGCGTTTCAAGTTTCCTCATTTCCATAAGGGTGCACGATACATGTAAGGCATTCATATAACTTTGAATCAACTTTCACTGCGGACCCCATGATGCCTCGTGCAGAGCATGAAGATCAACTGATTGCACAATTACTTATTCGAGATGGTAAAAGACGTTCACAAAATCGCTCACCCTCGGTTCGTGCCGGTGCCGCCATTCGCTCAAAGCACCAGCGGTACTTCTTGCACGATCCATAAGTAACGCTCGATAAACTGGAAAATGCATGTTCCTAGCTAGGAAGCACTATTCCAAAGAGAGCGTCTGATTCAGAGCTTTTATATCACTGTCAAGAATCTTACAGAAAAATAGCCGCGACTGTCGCACATTTTTTAATCATAATCATAACAAGCTTTCACTGCACAAAGCAGCCATGACATGCGGGCAGACACCATGAACCATTGCCGTTTGACAGACACTGGAGTGTGTAATACTGTGTATATGGCGGTGTTCAGGTATTTCGCCCGATCAAGGTAATCGGGACCCTTTTGTTTGTCCAGCTCCACAAGCGCTGAATAGAAGCGGTAAGACGAAAAGAAATCTGGTTTACATATCGATATGATAAAAGTACATAGCCGTAATAGTACGAGGCAATTGAATAAGGACTACGATCACCGTGACAAATTACATATAACAGATTCAGCAATTCAATCACTATATAAACGATATCAAGGTTCCGCGGTCTTTGGCAGGGGTTCCGGAGCGACAGTGACCAGTCTCTTGCTGGTTCTCCTTCCCAATTTGTCGTGTACATCTTCAAAGCGAACGGTGATGTCCTCGCTAGTGTGTACTTTGTTTCTATCATCTTCGTAAAGGTGTGATCCAAGTCTTCCGCCAGATGCCGCAATGATGAGATCAACGGGATCAGAAAAGTCGAAAGATGGATCGGAGGCATGGATTTTTTCTTGGATGAGGCTGTACCCGGCGGCTAAAATGGTGGCGCCCCAGATCAGGGTGATCACCACAAGCAAAAGAATATACGTATGGGCTTGGCTTCGCCAGCCGTACGTCGTGATATACATCGTACCGTTCGTCGGCCTTGTCATATTCGACGGAACTCCCGAAGCAGAGTATCCAGAGCGAAGTTGCTAGATCCAGTTTTCAATAATATCCACTAAATGCATGAAGGTCGCTTACAGTAGAGGAGAACTCCGCAATACCGCGCCAGTAATCTTCCTGTAAAGTAATCAGTCAAGTTGATATTAGAGAAAGCGGGAACAGTCACCAGCTCGCTGTACATGACTGATACATTGCTGGTTCCGTATGCGGTCAAAAAGTCACCAATTATATTGTTGGTCATGGCTTGGTTTGACCCTGATTGATAAGCCATCACAGTTGCGATGTACTGAGATAAAGGAAAATTTGGACTGCTCGTTGATGTATCAATCCGATCGACAGATATAATGCCTCCATTATAAGTGACGTTGACCGTGGTCAGGTAGGGAACGACCTCGCAAACGATCGTTGGTAGAAAGCTGTACTTGTACAAGCCAGACATAAAAACACCTGCAAACAGTTTACTCGCAAGACACCAAGCAATATAACAAAAACCGTACCAAATTTATATGGGTTGAATGTCGTCGAGTTTGGGTTAGGACATACAACAGTGGGGAGAAATCCTTCGGTTACATTGTCTATCTGACCGCCCAGGGTGCCAGCGGTGAAGTAGTACTGTAAATTTAAATCTGGAGCTGATTAGCTGTGGACGAGTTCATAGCGGAGATGAACTCACTTCCGGAACAATTCGCAATGGCTTGCCACGTGAAGAACGTGATATTTGGTCCTACCGTTTCTATTGGGTAGACGCTGAATGTATTTTGACTGCGGTCCATCGGTTGGCATGTAACATTCGCTGAGACACCCTGCTGTGTAACAGTGTAGTTCTTCGCAATCCCTTGAGTGCCTGCATCGCGTCCGAGGTGTCCCCAGTCAAAACTGGTATTAACCGGTACTCGTCCCCCAGAAAACGCTAAGCCAACGTTAGGACCCGGCGGGTTTGACGATCCAGAGTATTCCTCTATCGCAGGAAGAACCCCACCTTTGGAGTTTTAAGTGAACACATCATCTTTAGGTGCCGAAGTACTCACCAGTCGACTGATTGTATGAAACTCCGTTGAAGCTGAACATACTACTCGTTTGCACACCTCCCTGATTGTCAACCGCAGCAACACCACTGAGGAGAGTTAAGACATTGATCGTTTCAAACGCAGGTGCTTGTACTAGAACAGTCCCTCTTGAGCACCCCGACTATTGCTAGTCATTGAAATTGAAACAGTGACATACCATTGTTCGCTTCCATGGCATTGAGATCCGTACTCAACTGGTTTACAAATGCAACAGATCCTAAGTCTAGCTCCGTTCCGAATGTTGTCACAGGCCATTGGACAAGAGTAGGGAGGAGTAAGGTGCTCCAACTATACGAACCAACGTCAAACATATCTCTGCTGGGTTCGTTGAGAATAATGCAGACCTCGTGTTCAGAAATGCCACCACCGCATAAACTGCCAATGTGAGGGCCGACAATTTGAGAGATCTCCATCGTAATACCCAGGTCGGCCTGCTCAGCGCTATTGCAGTGCGAAGCTTGAACAGTGTCATCGGTCCCGAGAGGTGGTGCCGAAGCGCTTCTTTGACGGCAAATGTAAAGAACCTGTGCAATAGTAGAAGGGTAAGAATTCGGATCGGATATGTAGAGGAAGACGCACATCGAAGTAATGATTGACAAGGTAGTTGAGATCAGAGTAACTATCAAGGTCAGCACGGTCGGATACTCCACGATTAGACGGACGACATGATCAGGTAGTGCGAGAACCCCTGTGAACAAGATTCCTCCGGTGAAGCCCCATGCAAAACCCATGATCACAGTCTGGCCGAAGATGGTCACGAGGAGCAGAGTAGTAGGACTCAAGCGCTGCGAGAAAGCCTAATCAATGAAGCCCTGGAGAGAAATGAGGGTTGGCTCACGATTTTGACAAAGTTTGCGAAGTGCATTTCGAAGGTAGAAAGGGGGAATGGAGGTGAGGACGTCTGTCTGACATCTTAAGTATTGCTGCAGGGCGCTATTAACTCGGTGCATGTGTACCACGGAAGGCGAGAAGCAAGCAAGAGAATTAGGTCTAGGTACCCTGCTGTCACCTGTGTGAAGAGGCGCTAGTAAGAAGCAACGAACCATCGGACTTCCTTGCAGAACCGAAGAGGCTGAAGCCTTATCACCTGCTTGGCGCGCTAGTACATGTCCTGCGAGTATGGTAGGACCCAGGACCTGGATGCCACCTCCGTAATCCATCAGACATATGATGAGATACGGCAAACCTACCGCCCCGTGATTCACGGCAACACGTTCGAGATGATTAGCGCGCACATGCTGAAAAGCAAAGAGGAAACGAAGTCCCGGAAAGTTCAAGCAGATTAATGGGAAAAAACGTAAAGATGGAACCAAGTTATATACTAGCCTAGACTGGCGCATCATGCGCCCTAAGGAAGAACTTAAGTATGCCAGAGTAGTATGCCTGGCACGAATCACGATTCGTTCTAATCTCGTCCCTCGTCCGAGATACAAACATGCACTGTAGAAAGCCTTGATACAGCTATTTGCATGGGCCCGACTGAGAGGATTAGAGGGCCGAGTTTAATTGTAGATTCATACGTTCCACTAGATTCCTGTCCAATGTGATGTCGGGACCTAGGATCCAGGAGTGACTCGATGTAGTCCGGGGAAATGAGAAATCGCCAAGTGACTACAAATCATTAATCAAGGTTCGAGGAACGTGTACTAATAAGCGCTCGTAATCAGCGTGACCACGCTGCCGTCATTGATTTATTGTCTCTTTATATATATACTTGCACCAGTCCAGGACATGCACTATCTCTCAACTGTTACACTTGGAGGCCCAACCACGCAAGAACGCCATGTGGCACCGAATCTTCAAATCTCAGTGATCCTATCGGGACATACACTGGCAGGTCACCATTAAAGGAGAAACTCAAGGCAAAAACAAACAGCGGAGACGATTTTGGGCTGTCCTTAGAGTCTTGATTGTCTCCAGCTCTTCGAAGGAGGAACTGGCTATATTTGCTATAGAGTAGGATGTGACGCGTGCCGGCGAGCTCGACTATAGGTGAGCCTACTCTCACGATTCATTTGGCCTTTACAGACACCCATCGAGACCTAGGCTACTCCTTCTGCACGTAAATATTGATCCGAAAAGCTTTCAAAGCGAGTCGTCATTCAAGATTAATTCAAGACACTCTTTTGTTGGTAGCATCTACTATAAATTGTTCGCAAATCTAAACTGAATATGGAACCTAACTACGTTTGCTACAATCATGTGATTTCCAGAGCGACAGAAATAGACGTAAGTACGAAATCAATTTTACTGACTGCATCCGTTGAATAGCGGGTGTTTTACTTGGAGACTACGAAATTGGCACAGGACCTGAAGTCGGTTTTGTAGACCACGGCAAACTTCAATAGCTGCATATCAATGACCGCAGCGCTTTCGCGATCCATGCTCATTTTGCGTTGTGCATGGACACTATGATTCACACGTACTACTCGAATAGATGCTCTAGCAGCATTCTCCACCTCGAACAAAGTCAGGACTGTGCCAATATGGGGTACAAAGAACCGCTATTGTGCCTCATACACACGTGCCGCGGGACCGAAGCTCTCTGCTACGACCGAAGGTTAGAAAGTACGGTAGGCCGCCATCATGGTATGGATCATACCGAGTTGCACTGCCTTAATGATGTTGGCGCTCAAGAGAGTCTGCGAGAGATCCGTTATCATCAACCCATGGACAGACCATTGTGAGAAGTCATTTCCCACTCCGAAGAATGGAAGAATTCTATCATGTTCGAGATTGACTCGAATTATGACACGAGCACTTGAGCAGGTGAGCCTAGCATTTATAGCGTTGTGCGACATATTGTGAACCCACTGATTCTGCATATAACAGCAAATAAACAAACTACCATGTATGGGAGCATTTAATCAAAGCCGCTGTGCACGATGACACACACAACGCTAGGCCACGAGCACTGTCTCCGTGTCTTGAAAATGCGCGAACCATCATTCTGACGAGCATCAGGCACTGCAGATAGTGCGTGAGAAGAGCCAAAATAATGTCTGGATGCACGGTTTTCCATACTCAGGAAAAACGTCCATCTTGTTCGTGATTGCGGACGAAGCACAAGGACGTCTTTCCGTAACTTTTTTCTTCTCGCATAGAAACGCGGATACAATGATGTGCGATGGTTGTATTATGTTGTGCCAACCCGGGCCCCTGCCTACCAGTTGTTGCATTCCCGTCGGTCAAAAGCGAGATCATCGAAACCTGACAACGTCACTAATGATCCTGTGTATGGGAGTCTACAACATTCTCTTGCGCGATCGAAGAGAACACAAGGGTACAGGTATGCGCGGAGGGCCATTGTGCATGTACATACTACCGTCGACATAAATATAACGCTGTTAGCCGACCGTCGATCCCCATTGATATGATATCACGATATGTGAATCTAAGCTGAGTGCGTTCGATGCCATAAGATTTACAGATGCATATGTCTTTAACCTAGCCCCTTTGCCCGCTCGTCATACCCTCTCTTTCCCCCGCCTCCCTCTTAACATATCCATCAACGTCCTCGCCGCAGAGCTCTCTCTACCACCCTTCCTAACCTTATCCCCCACCGAAGGCGGATGTATATTTGATCTTCCCGTGAAGACAACAGAGAAGAGTGCATGCTCCCCTCCATCTCAGTCCCACTTTCTCGATCCTTCCCCTCGTTCGTGTACCAAGCGCAAGTGAAAATCGCCTCCCTCACTTACCATGCGAATTCCCAACAGGAGCAGAGCGTGCTACGACAGGCAACGTTTGCACGGCTACCGCAGGAAACGAGAACCGTTTCTTCTTCCTGGCTGTATCTTCTCTCTTTTCATGTGCATAGGGCTCGCATTCGCGGGGTTGTCTTGTGTCTTGGGCGTATGTCGTCGTGATCTTCCTCTTCTTGGAGCCCATCATGAATTTCCCCCCCTTCGCCGTGGCACACATCCGCTCCCACATGCATGCTGTCCACCTCACTAGTATTACTCACCTCTTTAAATTCCGGCAGCTGACACATTTGCTTGGAGCACGGTCCGGGTGACAGTGAATGACATGCGTCCTAAACATTTAATATAAGGCCGCTTTGCCGACAAGTCTCCGCAGCTATTTTGTGTCTCCAGTGTCATCCAATGATGAGCTGGAAAAGTGATAGGGCCCGATATCGAGAATGACCTATTGCTATGTCAAGATAACCTCCACGCACAATAAACAAGGATTCAAAAAAAAGGTGAGCTCCAAGTTTGTGCGAGTGTACAACTTGAAGATGAACTTGCGCTCTCCAACAACTCTCCAATATATCGGGCTGTATGACTGAGCATCGAGGAATCATCGAGCTCAAGCAGAAGCGTTCGCCTGTCAGTAGTGGTGACATGAACATCATCTATAAGCATTAAAGTAATACTTCATAAACCGGAAACGGCACGTTCCTAGCTAGGAAGCACTATTCCAAAAAAACTCTAATTCAGAGTTTTTAGATCACTGTCAAGAACCTCGCAGAAAAGTAGACTCATGACCTCGACCTGCCACTGATGCTCGCGCCCCAACATCCCGATAGGAAAGGCGATCACAGTGAGATTACTAGGTACAACATGTCCACATAGAGATTCGATCATTACAAACAATATCAAGGGGTCGCAGTCGGTGGTGGTACGGTGACCACTAGTTCCTCGCCGATTCTCTTCCCTCCGTCATGTACATCTTGAAAATGAACGGTGATGTCCTCGCTAATGAATACTCCTTTTTTATCACCATTGGGAAGCTGTAATCCAAGTCCTCCGCAATATGTCGCGATGATGAGATCAATGGGATCAGAAAAGTTGAAAAATGGATCAGAAGCGTCGTCAGATGGATCAGAGGCCTTTCTTCTCTTCCTTTGGATGAGGCTGTACCAGGCGGCTGATACGGTGATGATCCAGATCACGGTGATCATAAACAGCAGAAAGATATACGTGTAGGCTTGGCTTTGCCAGCCGTAGGTCGTGATATACATCGTGCCGCTAGTTGACCTTGTCATATTCGACGGAACTCCCGAAGCAGAGTATCCAGAGCGAAGTTGCTAGATCCAGTTTTCAATAATATTTACCGAGTGCATGAAGGTCGCTTACAGTAGAGGCGAACTCCGTAATACCGCGCCAGTAATCTTCCTGCAAAGCAGTCAGTCATGTTGATATCAGAGGAAGCGGGAACAGTCACCAGTTCGCTGTGCATGACTGATACATTGTCGGCACCGTATGCGGCCAAAAAGTTACCAATTGGATTCGTGGTCATGCCTTGGTTTGTCGTCGCTTGATAAGCCATCACAGTTGAGATGTACTGAAATAAAGGAAGACCTGGACTGCTTGTTGATACATTGATCCGATCGACAGATATGATGCCTCCATTATAAGTGACGTCGACTGTGGTCAGGTAGGGAACGACCTCGCAAACGGTCGTTGGCAGAAAGCTGTAGTCGTTCTGGCCATTCATAAAAACATCTGCAAACAATTTACTCGCAAGACACGGAGGAGTATAAAAAAGGCCGTACCAAACTTATATTGGTCGGATGTCATTGAGCCTGGACTGGGACATACAACAGTAGGGAGAAATCCATTGATTGTAGTCCCCACCTGACCGCTCACGTTGCCAACGGTGAAGTAGTACTGGCCATTCGTATCTGGAGCTGATTAGTTGTGAACGAGTTCATGGCAGAGATGAACGTACTTCCGGAACAATTCGCAACGGCTTGCCACTCGTAGAACGTGATATTCGGTCCTACCGTCGATATTGGGTAGATACTAAATGAATTTTGACTGTGGTCGATTGGCTGGCATGAAACATTTGCTGTGAGACCCTGTTGTGTAACAGTATAGTTCTGCGCAATGCCTATATCGCGTCTGTTTGGTCAGTCGGGATTGGTATTAACCGGTACTCGTCCCCCAGAGAACGCCAGGCCAATGGCAGAGCCCGGCGGTTTTGATGATCCAGAGTACTCCTCTATTGCAGGAAGAACTCCACCTTTGGGATTTCGAATGAGCCCATCATCTTTAGGTGCCGAAGTACTCACCAGTCGACTGATTGTATGAAACTCCGTTGAAGCTGAACATACTATTCGTTTGCACACCTTCTTGAATATTAACCGCAGCAATACCACTGAGGAGAGTCAAGACATCGATGTTTTGAAATGCATGTGTTTGTGCTAGAACGGTTCCCGTTGAGCACCCCAACTATTGCTGGCCATTGAAATTGAAACAGCGACATACCAGTGGACGCTCCCGGGGCATTGAGGTCCGTATTCAACAGGTTTACGAATGCAATAGATCCCAAGTCTAGTTCCGTTCCGAACATTGCTACAGGCCATTGGACAAGGGTGGGAAGGAGAAAAGTGCTCCAACTGTACAAACCGGCGTCAAACATATCTCCGTTGAGTTCATTTAGAATGGTGCAGACCTCGAATCCAGATATGTAGACATCAGATAAACCGCAAACATGAAGGCCGACGGCATGAGGACCCACAGCCTGAGGGCCGACCGCCAGAGGACTGACCGCCTGAGGACCGACCGCGTGGGGGCCAACGTAAGGGCCGACTGCGTTTGGGCCGACGGCGTGGGATGTCTGTGTTTCCATGGCCATACGAAGCTCAAGCTGCTCAGCGCTATTGCGATGTGAAGATCGAACAGTGACGTGTCTTTCGACCGCCCTGAGAGGCAGTACCAAAGCGCTTCTTTAATAGCAAATGCAGAGATGCTGTGCGACAACAGAAGGGTAAGATTTCGGACTGGATATGTAGAGGAAGACGCACAAAGAAGTAATGATCGATAAGGTGGTTGAGGTCAGCGTGACTACCAAGGTCAGCACGGTCGGATGCTCTACGATCAGATGAACGATATGATCAGGTAGTACGAGAACACCTGCGCGCCAGACTTCTATGATGAATATCCATGCGCAAGTCCAGATCGCGGTCTGGCTGATCATGGCTGCGATGAGCCACTCCCGGCCAGTAGGACTCAAGGACTGTGAGAGAAAGCGTAATCAACAACACTGCCAGAGAATAAAGGGGATTGGCTCACAGAGTACATTTCGAAAGTAGAAGCGCGGAATGATGATAAAGACGTCTGTCTGAGATCTTAAATATTGCTGCAGGGTCACCTTATTAACTCGGTGCATGTGTACTACGGAAGGCGAGAAGTAAGCAAGCGAATTAGGTCTGGGTACCCTGCAATCACCTGTGTGAAGAGGCGCTAGTAAGAAGCAACGAACCATCGGACCTCCTTGCAGAAATGAAGAGGCTGCTCGCTCGCCACCTGCCAGTGATTGACGCGCTAGTACACGCTCCGCGGGTGTGCTGGGTCCCAGAGTGCTGCCTTCGTAATCCATCAGAAACGTATCTCATCACAATAAACCTATTACTGCCTTGTGTTTCTCGTCAACACACCGAGATAATTGGCACACCCATGCTGAAAAGGAAAGAGGAAATGAGGTCTCGGTAAGTTCGAGCAGATCAATCGGATGTGAAAGAGAGAAAACAACGTAAACTCGAAGATGGGACCGACTCGTTATGTACTAGTAACCTAGACTGGCACTCCAAGGTAGCACATCATATGAAGTACTACTTAGATTATGCCTAGCACGAATCAACAGGACTCGAGTCTCGACTACTGTATTTGGAAGCCCAACCGCGCAAGAGCGGTCCCACCGAATCATCAACTCTCAGTCACCGATCCTGTGGGGACAGTCGAGATAGTTTTGCGCTGCCCTTAGAGTCTTGACTATCTCTAACCCTTCGGAAGAGGAACTGCTATATTTACTATCTAGAGCAGGGTGATATCACGGTGAGCGTGCATAACTTAGACGTGACGCATGCTGGCGAGCTCGGCTATAGGTGAGCCTATCCTTACTATTCATTTGGCCTTCATAGGCGCCCGTCGATCGAGACCTTCAGCACGCAAATAGGCAGGATCATTGTGTTATCAGCTGTCTGAGCTTCAATGTTGCATGCTACTCAGGGTACCAGTGATCGATTGATCAATATTCAATGATGACAGTGCCAGCAGCTGTCTGAGCTCAGATACGATGCTTTTACTTTCCTGGTTCGCGGAACTTTTGCATCGCGTTCCACATGCCCGGCTTGATGGCACAAGAGGATAGCATGAAAGCAGGACCGATGTGTTCGTGTTATTTTACTGGGATCATTTAAGACTACGGTCAGTGCATCAGGAAAACGTAATTCACTACAGAGTGCTACAGAGCGCTCTGTAACTCTGTAATGAATTACGTTTTCCTGATGCATATTCGGTCTAGTGTTCATGCTAGGTATGCCACCATTCAGCGCTTGTATCGCCAAAATCAACATGATGCCGTGATAGATATTTGATCCGGCTTCAAGACCCTTGATCGGGTGAAGTACTGCGATGCGAAATCGAGCAAAAAGCAGAAGCCCTCGATTCTGACTTGCAAACCAGTATTACGCACGTAGTGACGTGACTACTTGAACTTATCAGGAAAGTTCCAGTCGTTGATAACGTCGGTAGTATTTTTTTTCGAGGCGCTCTTGCTGCAAGCTTGCATAAATCAAGGAATTCTATATGAAATAATGCAGTCACCGAGCTAACACAGCCCTAAGCATTTTCAACAAGTGTTCGCACTCTCTTTGCCTTACTGGGTGCCTAAGGCGTAACGGCTCCGCCGATGACACCAGAGAAATCAGACAAGAAACAGAGTGGGCCGAGGTGGAGAAAATATGACTAACCTTGATATCTGTCACCTTGTACAACTCAATCATTCGGCTATGGTACCAAACCGATGAATGAAGATATGGTAGGTACTAGGCATAGAGCGAAGGGGCGGAATTTTATGTAAGTGAATCTTGAGACTGAAGTTCTGTCGTTTAAGGTCCCATCCTGTGACTTTCTTATTTGGTACATGTCACATTGTGTAACGGAGCCCCCGCGTGTCCCAAGCCCGACCGGTTTTTGAGTCGTCATTCAATTCAATATTCAATTCTGGTGGTCACTCATCGGCTCAGGCCACATTGTGCACACGCGTTATTCCTGATGATATGCTGAACCTCCTAAACTAGGTTAGGTTTAATGCTGAATATAGTTCAGACGGTGACCTGAGCCTTAGCTTAACCGTTCGTCTTCGAAGTTCGCTATCTCCTAGCGTTTGAGCGCTAGATCTCTGCTTGCGTCTGTTGGTGTGCTGACTCGAGGATACACTGTTGTTGTCGGTAATGAACTACATCATCGATTCACGGTTCGTTTCCATCGTCCAGCACTCATTCTATGGCTTCTTCCTCATGTTCCAATAGTGCAAATGCTGTGTTGATCTCATGGATTCAGGACCTTCGAGATCGTTATCGATGTCCCGAGTCTGAGATCCGAGGTGCGAGCGGTGGCGCCCCCGTAAAATTGGCTTCTAGATCAGCAGCTACATCAATGTTGATGCCTGACTGGGTGCTGGTGTGCATGTGCGCATGACGCCAATAAATTGGCCTGCCGCGGCCTTCTGATGACAGTGGTAACGAAGATTTGCTCAAATCTTTGCCAGTGCTTTTGAATTATGTCTATTGTGAGATTGCAGCGCTTCAGAGCCTAGGCCGAGTGCTACCACGCAGCGACACTACAACAAAGCCCGAAGGACACTGAGTGGTTGACTAAGCTACATTGCTGCTACCGTGCCCCTTGCCTAGGGGTTCTCTATTCCAACATAGGCAACATGGGGAACAATAATAGATAAGAGGTGATTTTGCTGCAAAGTGCCTTCAAAAGATTCGGAAGCGGAGTTGCTCTGAGCTCATCGAGAAATATTACTATATAAGGTTATTAGAACATCTTTTGCTGTGATCCCCTATAGTTTGACATTCTGCCAAACCGGCTGGAGAATGGCAGACTTCTGCCCACAACACTACTAGTACCAGTTATGGTGTTATTTATCACTTGCGTGTTCTGCAGCCGCCGTATCAGAGAACTCATGAACCGCAGATATTGTCACATATGCCGATATATGATCATATATAGGAAAGGCTTTCTTTATATTGGAATATAAAGTCATATAAAGCCATGTATAACGTCGGAAGACCACCGCAATCAACGTAAAGTACCCTGGGTAGACTCACGAATTCTCTGATTGGCGCCCGCATGGGCACCGCGCGGTGCACGTTTATGAACTAGTAAGAGCCGCTGCCTCGGTGTGTGTTTTTTTTGGTTGGCGCTTGTGCGTTGCGCAAAGTTCGTGTTTGCAGGAAACAGCTGTGGGATATTACTTTTTAACAACAAACACGTGTAATCACAATTATGGAAGATGCTAGGTGATACAATAATCACTAAAATGGTGTAGTCTATACTACCTGCCACCAAGTTGTTGAACTATAACGCTCACCTGGCACACGTGTGTCCATCAAGACAGCATGGAATCCAAGTCTCGATAAGGTTTGATATCTGTAAAATACGGTTCTTCCTAGACGGCCCTGTGATTGGTCCACTGCCGAACACTCATCAGGCCCAGACCGAGAAAGCCAGAAGGAGGACAAGGCTGAGATGAAGGGGACGAGGATGATAATGATTACCAGGCGAAAAGATTGTCGGGTGAGTCAGAGCTTGTACCTTGAATTCAGCATCAAGCATTACACCTCATGAAGGACGAGTGCAGAGGCCCTCGATAATGCCGCTGAGCTCTCTGAAGATTGGAGCTACAAGTGCCCCAAAATTCTTCGGGTCGAGAAGACTTGTCAATTCGGATGGACGAGGGTTGAACGGTTTATCTTGAGTCCCGTGGTTGCCGTTGGATGCAATCATGGCGGATCAGGGCAGTTCCTGGACAACGATCATGAGACCTAGAGAGAGTATCAGCTGCCAGTGAGCTGTTGGCTGTGTCGTTGGGTTCAACCGTTCAAGTCGGAGGACAAGTAAGGCGTCGCAGCCTCCGAACATCAAAGAGTTAATGCCACTAGCACACCAACTCAACATCTCATTTGTTTCATGCCACTTGAGGATTGGGATCATGTCTTTCGGGCAGGTTTTCTCGCCAGTGCCATGAAGTCGTTCTTTGTATGCAATTTAGAGCACCTTTCCTCACAGCTCAGTGACATACTACGCAGTTATGGGGGCACGGGCTTCTTGCAAAGGTTGGCACAATGGCAATATCACTTCATTCGCAACTGATCTTTGACTTGGCATGTGAGTCACCTCAAACTTATCTTGAGTCTCGACCGAGTATTGTTCGAGGTTGATTCTTGTCGGCGAGTCGTATCGAACGCTCATGTCACTCGACGGCCATGCAGCGAACTTATTCTATTTGTTATTCTAGAATTTGCAAGTGACACTACAATTCCCCTCTATAGACACAGGATGACGGCCCTTTCGCACTGGAATGTATTCTTACCATTGCATTCTCGTCGGTCAACAGCGAGATTGTCGAAGCCTGATATTATTGATGATCCTGCGTGTGGGGGTATACGACATGCTAAGAATAAGGAAAGTTTCGAGCAATCGAAGTTAGAACACAAGGATACAGGTATGCGCCGAGTCTGTGCATACCTCTCTGCGGAGGGCCATTGGGCATGTACACACTGCCGTCACTATAAATGTGAGAATTTCTCACAAAAACATCTTTTGAATACTCACTATGCCATAAAATTCAACACAAGCACCAATATTTTGCAGCCGAAGGGCAATCTAGAGCTCGCCTCAAGGCTACACCTCCATATGTGTGCACGACTCAAACCCTAACGGCAGCCTGTGGGTCCGAGATATTAACCGAGTCAGCGCAAGTGCTTTACTGTGTCGATGCACATTGGCCAGTTATGACGTAAATTTCAGATGATTTGTGTATCATGATCCGGGCTAGGGTGCACCACTGCTCACCTGGAAGACCCTTTCTTCCGACTCCCGGTGAAGGGTTTGCCCATGCGTGTGTGGTGCTGGAAGAATTTGATTGACGCCTGAGCGGAAGCGAATGGACCCTTCCCTTGTGCGCTTGTAACACCTGTGCTGTGCCATACCCCCATGCGCGACCCACCTGGTAGATGGTGTTATAAACTCGAGTGGACGCCTGGGTGAACACCAGCTTCCTGCTACCTCTGTTCGCCTTGTGCAACGGTCGCGATGCACCTCTTTTCATATTTTTGGCTTTTAATTTCTATCTGGTCATGTCTGGCTGCAGCTCCCCCAAGGACGATCTCCAAGAGAGGTAACAGCTCATTTGTGAGCTCTAGTGAAGATGGATTTTCTGTCAACGGAAGGTAAAAGTAATTCATTTGATCAGCATATGGTGTACAAACACATTGCACTGTAGCTCACTTCGATTCGTCGGGACCAACTTGTACTGGCTGCCGACATTGGAATCGAACGATGACATCTGGAATGTGCTGAAGAACATATCTGACACCGGTATCAAGGTCATCAGGATTTGGGCATTTAACGGTTCGTTCATCGTCTATCTACCAAGGTTCGCGATTTTAGTGTCTTGATTGACAGACGTGGAAATCATTCCGGGGAGTGGAACGTGGTTTCAGTTGGTACAGGACTGCACTACTACAATCAATGACGGTCCAAATGGACTGCAGAAACTTGATACGGTGGTTCAAATGGCAGAACAACAAGGGCTGTATGTTATCATGTCACTAACGAATAACTGGAATCCGGTACCTGACATAACATCATCCGGCACTCCATCACGTGATGTGCTTATATCTGACACTTCTCCGCGTAATACTCTTTCAAACGACTATGGTAAGCCAATACTGCACTTGGTGTTCAATCAGATCTTGGACCAATCGTCGTTTTTACAGGCGGTATGGATCTATATGTCCGCCAGTTCGGGCTTCAGAACCACGACGATTTCTACACGAACGACAAAATCTTGACCGCCTTCCAGAATTACACCAAGCAGATCGTATTGCGCTATCTCAATAGCCCTGCTGTCTTCAGTTGGGAGCTTGCCAATGACGCTAGGTAATTCACCCTGTGTATCTACTGCCTTGGAACATGTCCCTTATGATGTGTCAGGTGCAACTCGACCCTGCCCACTAGTCCAACGTGTACCACACAAACCGTCACAAAGTGGCACGCTCAGATGGCTGAATTCATCGCGTCCATTGATCCCAACCACATGGTCTCCGCTGGGTAAGTATCTTACGGTGTCGTTTCAGGGTTGTGATTCTCGATTCAAATTTTTGTAGAACATCCGGGTTCCAATGCACAGATTGTCCGAAGTTGTACCCCATTACACCAAGAGCTTCGCCTACGCCTACGCCCTCTCCCGCACCTGGCAAGAAGCGCAGCAGAGTCACCCCTTTGACAGAAGAGCAGATCATCAGGCAGCGCGCAGGAACCTTGAAAGAAGATGGGGTACTGATGAAGAGTCGCTGGGCATCTACAGGTGTTTTGGTCAATGTCATCTAATTGTGATGTTTCTTATCATTTTTCAGCAACGCGAGAAGTCTCCAGCTCGATCTGCTCCACAACGGATGGTTCATATGGTGTCGACAGCCAGGACATCCTTAACATTCCCAACATTGGCTTCGGTTCTTTCCAAGTATTTCCCGACCAGAACACGTACGCTCCCAATGACCCAAACCTCGACGCCGTCCACAACAAAATTAACTCGAGTCTTGCGTGGATCCAGCAATCAGCTCAGTTTGCTGCTGCGTGAGTTAAAGTCTGGCTCAACCAACGGCTAACTTACATTTTTTTCAGCGTTGGGAAGCCTCTTGTCCTCAGCGCATTCGGTCTAGTCACCCAATCCAATTTGAACAGCTACGTCCCGTTCAACATGACTTGTGCTCCCTACGCATCTAGTGCAGGTAACATTATCGTAGTTTAACGGTCGACAACCATGTACTCACATTCTTATCCCCGCAGCGGCTATGGGTGTCACTGCAGCGATTATGGACGCCACTACGACGACAAATTTTGCCAATGACACGCAACAAGCACAGGGTTACGGCTCGTTTTTGCAGAGTGCGTAATTACGGAAGTGACAATGTCCGATCATGCTAAACTCTATTGCAGTGGGCAACAGCGCTGGATTGGGAGGCTCCATGCAATACCAGGTCAACACTTCTCTTCCTTATGATGCATTTGATTGACGTCCGTTGTAGTGGGGCTCGACGGGCATTACCCAGCCGGGCACTGCCATCCAGTTAGACACAACCAACTCCTCATCACCAGCGGCAGCAACGGGGGATTCACCTAACGATGGTTACTCCATGTACGCACTACATTATGACATTAATAGACACCATTGCTCACCGAACCTCATAGTGCTAACAGCACAGCCGTTCAACAAATCCTGCAGCAGGGCGCGCAGGCGATGGCTGTAGTTTCATGAGGGCTGCTGATTCTTGTTTGCTATTTTTCCTTTTGTGTATCGGTTCCTTTGCTCCAGAGACAATGTTTGTTTTTGTACCACGGCTCTCCGTGCATACCAGGACCCTCAGATTAGCCTATATCTGTTTTCTTTTTTTTGTCACTCTGCTCTCGGATTTTGGTTCTCATTTGAAATTTTCTGGTTACACAATTTACATTGCCGGCTGATATTCTTTCTTGTTCAAATGGCTAAGTCGCTCCTGCTGACTGATACACCGAAAAAGATTCAATGGCGGCCACCACCCACAAGGTAGCGTCCCAAGGGCCAACTCAAAAGGAAATGCCTCATCTCGAGCTGATGTTCAAGGATCTTGAGAAATCGGTGGACGAGATAGCATTCATCCGTAATACCCATCTCCTCGTCACTGGTTCCCACGACAAGAGTGTTCGGGTGTGGGATCTACACAAATCTGACAGGGGGCAGCGGAGCAGTTCAAACATAGCTCGAATCCTAGTATAACAATTTGAATGTACACAACTGACAATAGCAAGGTTCGGACTCAAGCCCACACGCGAGTCGCATTCAAATTCATCAAAGTACTGGTACGTTCCTACCTAGGAAGCACTGTTCCAAAGAGCGTCTAATTCAGAGCTTTTAGATCAATGTCAGGAACCTCGCGGAAAAGTAGACTCGTGGCCTCGACCTGCCACTGGGCGTCGAGGCTAGCGCCCCAACATCCCGGTAGGAATGGCGATTACCGTGAAATTATTAGGTGCAACAAATCTAGTAATTCGATCATTATGAATAATATCAAGGGCCGCAGTCTTTGCCAGAGGTTTCTAGACCACAGTGACCAGTCTCTTGCTGATTCTCCTTCCCGTTTCGTCAGGTACATCTTCAAAGCGAACGGTAATGTCCTCGCTATTGGCTGCTTGGTTTCTATCACCTTCGGCAAGCTGTGATTCAAGTCTTCCACCAGATGCTGCCATGATGAGATGGATGGGATCAGAAAAGTCGAAAGATGGATCGGAGGCATGGATTTTTTCTTGGATGAGGCTGTACCCGGCGGCTAATAGGGTGGTGCCCCAGATTATGGTGATCACTACAAGCAAAAGAAGATACGTGTGGGCTCGGCTTCGCCAGCCGTACGTCATGATATACATCGTGCCACTCGTCGACCTTGTCATATTCGACGGAACTCCCAAAGCAGAGTACCCAGAGCGAAGTTGCTAGATCCAGTTTTCAATAATATCTACCGAATGCATGAAAGTCGCTTACAGTAGAGGAGAACTCCGCAATACCGCGCCAGTAATCTTCCTGTAAAATAATCAGTCTTGTTGATATTAGAGAAAGCGAAAACAGTAACCAGTTCGCTGTACATGACTGATACATTGCTGGTACCGTACGCGGTCAAAAAGTCACCAATTATATTGTTGGTCATGGCTTGGTTTGACCCCGCTTGATAAGCCATCACAGTTGCGATGTACTGAGATAAAGGAAAATTCGGACTGCTCGTTGATGTATCAATCCGATCGACAGATACGATGCCTCCATTATAAGTGACGTTGACTGTGGTCAAGTAGGGAACGACTTCGCAAATGGTTGTTGGCAGAAAGTTATACTTGTACAAGCCAGACATAAAAATATCTGCAAAGAGATCACTCCCAAGACACCGAGGAATATGACAAAAGCCATACCAAATTTATATGGGTTGAATGTCGTCGAGTTTGGGCTGGGACATACAACAACGGGGAGATATCCCTCGGTGGCATTGTCCATCAGACCGCTTAGGTCGCCAGCGGTGAAGTAGGTCTGTGAGTTTAAATCTGAAGCTGATTAGCTGTGAACGAGTTCATGGCAGAGATGAACGTACTTCCTGAACAATCCACAACAGCTTCCCACGTGAAGAACGTGTTATTCGGTCCTGGCGTCTGTGTTGGGTCGACAGTAAATGTATTTTGACTGCGGTCAATTGGCTGACATGTAACATTTGCTGAGACACCCTGCTGTGTAACAGTGTAATTCTTCGCCATTCCTTGAGTGCCTGCATCGCGTCCGAGGTGTCTCCAGTCAAAACTGGTATTAACCGGTACTCGTCCACCAGAAAACGCTAAGCCAACGTTAGGACCCGGTGGGTTTGATGATCCAGAGTACTCCTCTATCGCAGGAAGAATTCCACCTTTGGAATTTCAAGTAAGCCCGTCATCTTTAGGTGCCAAAGTACTCACCAGTCGACCGATTGTACGAAACTCCGTTGAAGCTGAACATACTACTCGTTTGCACACCTCCTTGAATGTCAACCGCAGCAATACCACTGAGGAGAGTCAAGACATTGATGGTTTCAAACGCAGGTGCTTGTACTAGAACAGTCCCTCTTGAGCACCCCAACTGTTGCTGGCCATTGAAATTGAAACAGTGACATACCATTGTTCGCGTTCACGGCATTAATGTCCGTATTCAACTGGTTTACAAATGCAGCAGATCCCAAGTCCAGTTCCGTACCAAACGTTGTCACAGGCCATTGGACAAGGGTGGGTAGGAGCAAAGTGCTCCAACTATACAAACCAGCGTCAAACATATCTCCGCTGGATTCACTGAGAATAGCGCAGACCTCGTATTTAGAAATGTGATCAGCGCATAAACCGCCAATGTGAGGGCCGAAAGCTTGAGAGAACTCCATCGCAATACCCAGGTCGGTCTGCTAAGCGCAATTGCGGTGCGAAGCTTGAACAGTGTCATCGGCCCTGAGAGGTGATGCCGAAGCGCTTCTTTGACGGAAAATGTGAAGAACCTGTGAGGGTAAGATTTTGGACTAGATATGTAGAGGAAGACGCACATCGAAGTAATGATCGACAAGGTAGTTGAGATCAACGTAACTATTAAGGTCAGCACGGTCGGATACTCTGTGATCAGATGAACAATATGATCAGGTAGTGCGAGAACATCTGCGAACAAGATTCCTCCGGTGAAGCCCCATGCAAAACCCATGATCACAGTCTGACCGAAGATGGTCACGAGGAGCAGAGTAGTAGGACTCAAGCGCTGCAAAAAAGCTTAATCAACGAGGCCCTGGAGAGTAATGGAGGTTGACTCACAATTTTGACAAAATTTGCAAAGTGCATCTCGAAGGCAGAAGCACGGAATGGAGGCAAGGGCGTCTGTCCGACATCTTAAGTATTGCTGCAGGCGCCATTAATTCGGTGCCTGTGTACCACGGAAGGCGAGAAGCGAACAAGCAAATTAGGTCTAGTAGATATCCCTGCCATAGTGACCTATGAAGAGGTGCTAAAGTAAAGAAGCGTCGCACTTCCTTGCAGAATCGAAGTGCTTACCACCTGGTTGGTGCGCTAGTACATGGCCCGCGGGTGTGCTGGGCCTGGGTATCGCCTTCGCAATCCATCGGAATATGATGAAATACGGCTCGAACAAACCTACTGCCAGATTCTTGGCAACACGTTGGGATGATTTAGCGCGCATGCTGAAAAGCAAAGGGGAATTTGAAATAAAGTTCAACGTTGAAAAGTTACGTGGTCAAAGAACGAACGGGAAGAACACGTAAAGGTTAGACCTCAATTACACCTGCGTTCCGTGGCGTGCGCATTGTGCGATGCGTTTCTGAACCAAGAGCTACTGTCACGGTGCACATTTTTCTTTGGCTGGTACTTGCGCTTTGCGCAAAGTTCGTGTTTACAGAACCACTGGAGGGCTGCTCAATCCCAAACGTTTGGACCCGAGCAAGTTACGACAGTACTGATTGTTCGGCCGCATCAGTCGATACAACGTTCAATTGCAACGTTCAACAAAGATTACCCGTGCACTGATCAGACTTCCAGCAAAGATCTCTTTAATTTCTCGACTTGGGTGGGATTTTTCTAATCGCCATAAATATAACGTTGTTAGCTGACCGCCGATCCCCATTGGTAACATGATATGCCGAGTGCGTTCAATGCCTATGATAAGATTTACAGATGTGTTTGTCCTTGATCGTAAACTAGCCTTTTGCCTGCTCGTCACGCCCTCTCTTTCCCCAGCCTCCCTCTTAACACATCCATCAACGCCCTCGCCGCCGAGCTCTCTCTACCACCCTTCCCAACCTTATCCCCTCGAGAAGGCGGACGTACATTTTGATCATCCCGAGAAGACAACACAGAAGAGTGCATGCTCCCCTCCCTCTCACTCCCACTCTCCCTTTCTCCATTCCTTCCCCTCGTTCGCGCACCGAGCACAAGCGAAAATCGCTTCCCCCACCTACCATGTGAATTCCCATCAGGAGCAGAGCGCGCTACGACAGGCACCGTCTGCACCGCAACCGCAGGTAATGAGAACCGTTTCTTCTTCCTGGCTGTATCTTCTCTATTTTCGTGTGCATAGGGATCGCGTTCTTGGGGTTGTCTTGGGCTTATCTCGTCGTGATCTTGCCCTTCCTGGAGCCCATCATGAATCTCCCCCCCTTCGCCGTGGTGCACGCCATGCACCTCCTCATGGTATCTCCGATCATTAATCCTCGACGCCCGTTCCTCAGCCACAGCCCCCAAAGAAGTCGCCACAGAACTAGCCACGCTCCCACCCCTCGCATGAACCTCGAAATCCTCCAATATATCGTGGTAGCTCCGTGGGCGCGGGCGCGCGGAATGGCGGATACGGATCGGGCGGGATATAGGAGCGCGGAGGGTTGAGGGGGTTTCTTGGTGTTGAGAGTCTTGGTCTAAAGTGGGGATGGCATAAGAGTCTCTATCACGCACGCGCACAGTCGGCGAGTCTGTGTCTTCGTCTTCATATATATCGTCTTGAGCCGTAAATCGGGAGGAAGAAGGAGAGAGCGTGGTAGGAGATAACGAGGGGGAATCGCCATCAGTTAATGAGATCTGCGGGAGATTACGGGCAGGACTAGGTGTGAACCCGCGCTTGCTTGGACTTGTGCTGAGCTCGCTTTTGGATGGTCCTGGGCTTGCGTTTCTTCCAGATGCATGGCCAACATGCAACGGATTGGCGCTCATGCCAACATTTCTCTCCACCCCTCGCATACTCGCACTAGAACTCAATCTCCTCCTTGACGGACTCGCACCAAGCGCAATCCGACCCCTACTAGGGCTCAACGTCATCGCCATCAACGCATCAGCACTACTACTCCCTTCAGTGGGGATAGGCGTAGAGAGCCAGGCTGGGATACCGAAGAGGGTTGGGGATGGACCGGTGTGGTGTGAAGACGGATTCGCTGATAAAGTGGATGGAGTACTAGAACCACCGGTGATGGAATGAACGAGAGGAAACGCAGCTTCGTAGCACTCGTTGCATGCGCGTGCGGGTTTCGCTTTGGTGTTTTTGCCAGAAGGGGATTGGGAGGATGGGTCAGTGATATAGAATGTCTGGGTTTGGGAGTGTTAGTTTGTGGTGGGACCAAAGGATCAACAGTAGCGAAAAAAGCGAACTAACGACAGAGAACAGCGTAACACAACTGAATAAAATGCAAGACTTACCCGTCCAGAACACTCAGCGCACACAACCTTCCCACAAAGCCTACAATGATGCCGTCTTCTCCACATCCCTTCACCACCTCCAGCTCTACCTTCTCCCCCACCATTCCCACCTGCCTGTGCACTTCCCTCGCCGCCCTCGCCCAATCCTTCTTCGTCCGTGCCTTTCCCCCCTCCATCTTGACTGACACTCCTCCCCCACTCAAACGAGGGAAACGACGGCAAAGAGAAAGACACAGACATCGCAAGAGGCACCGTAAACTTCACAAACCCAAACGGGCGTGCACACCGCATACATGTGTCTGTCTTTGCATCTGGGACCCAGACCGGGGGTAGGAATGGCAAGGATGCGCGTTGGGGTCGGGCTGAGGGAGGAAGCCCTTCTATGTGATTTGGAGTTGTTATATTTGGTGCCTGCTGAGATGCTGAATCGGGGAGTTTCTGCTGTTGGGTATCCGGAGTAGGCTCTTCGGGTCCTTGGATCTGAGACACACGTTCATCACCCTCCTCAGGTTCATATGCTTGCGCCCACAACACGCCACGCATCCTAACACCCCGGAGCGCAACCGACGGATCGCGTGCCAGAAGCGAAGATCGGGCCTGGCGTAAAAGATGGAGAAAAGTATGCAGAGTAGTATCGTTCGATGTCGAGGTTAATGGAGTTATACGACGAGTGGTCAATGCAGATTCCGAAGCAGAGGACGAAAGACGCTTCGGTGACGGGGACTGCGAAGGGACCGCATATACTGCGAACGAGCCTCCACGGCTCAACACCTCCAGTCGGGGCGGGTGATGTGACGGATCGAGCACCGCCTCGACATCGACGAGGGATAGATGGTTCTTGTACGTGTATGTATGCCGCTCGTCGCTAGCGGTAGCATCCGCGGCAAGAGTGAACCAGTGGGAATCACGCAGAGTGGACGGTTCGAAGTCTAGCCATACCAATATGTCGTCGAATAGTAGAAATTCGCATATGCGATCTCGCCTGCCTCTTCCTATAGCTGGGCCTTCTATGGCCACACCGCCAGAGTCTATCACGAGAGGAGTGCGGAAGATTAAGGTGCGGCCTGGCTGGACGAAGTGTAGGGTAGGCGGGAGGCCGAGGGTAGCGCGTTGTAGTGCGAGGAGCGCGAGTGTGTGCGCGTGCGCGTTAAGAGATGCATTGAGGGATGACGTTACTGGTGGTCGTTTAATTTAGGGACACGGACTAATAAGCAAGACTCGCCTTTCTCAACGAGGGTAAGGACCTTCCCTAGTCTATCCCACTCTCCCTCTCCTTCCTTTTCTCGTTTTTCTACGTTTATCAATTCCCTGAGCAACAACACATACCTTGGGCACCTTTGGACGATGCTCAAGAGCCAATCCGTGAGTTTTAGCTGCCCGCAGCGTGGATCACGTTCTTGGGTTCGTATGAATGTGGCAAATGGCGCAGGTGGACGGGCAAGGAAGGATATAGAAGTTGGAAATGTGGTTATAAATGGGGTGTAGAGAGATAGGTAAGGAAAATGCGAAAGAAGAAGTGCCGAAAGGGGTGCTGGGTTGGGATTTGGAGACGGATGTGGAACATCAAGGTGAGACACAGAGGGATACAGCAGCGCAGTTAGCGCACTAAAAAATGCATGATGAAAGTTCCAAATGTCAATAAAATTTGAGAAAACGGTATTCAATTCCGTGCGTGTAAGAAGCGGACGGGGACTTTCGAGCGACACTATGATCGGTGTCAAAAAGTGCTGCACAAAGGTCAGTTCACCTCAATCTAGCGCCATTGTTACTCACATCATGCACGAGATCCAGTCCCTGCACATAACTTCTTTCTGTATCCCAAAACTCTCTTATTACCTTTGTTCGTTTTGCCTCTCGTGCTATATCTGCTGGTGTATTAGGTGTCCTGGAATGTTTGCGGTTAAGTGAACGACGTTTGGGGCGCCTGATGACCGGCTCCTCGGGCAAAGAATCAAATGATGCAAAACTGGCGACGGATTGACGGTGTTGGGCGGATAAAAGGTTCGAGCTTGGTACACTTGGTAGTGAGATTCGTCGGAATGGAAGATGAGTAATTGGGGCAGCTGGAAGATTAGTAGAATCAGTGCTTGGAAACGAAACTCTTGGTGTCATGGTCGTTGCATTGGAGAAGGAGCTGCGAACCAAGCTGGAATAGCCTGGGACACGCCTTGAAACACCCACCACCCGACCCGTCTGCTATGAAATCACTGAAACCTAAACTTGGTTTGTTCCCGCGGCTTCAATTAATCTAAAGACTCTTAGATGACAAGCGTTAATGGCATTTTCCGGGATAGAGTCTTGAATAATCTTGTAGTTCAAAACATAAAGAAGGGAATATCACATTGCTCAACATGTAGGACCTAACTATGCTACTATAATTTGCTGGCCACGATGGTGCAATATCGCAACAAGGTTGCAAACTCCTCATGGTAAACCAGATTTTCAGAAATCCATAGCTATATGCCGATAACTCGAATTTCTCGTAGTATACATAGCCATCTTCAGCAGGAGCAGAATTATGTCCTCCTATAGTTCCCACGGCTACCATGTCAAGGACTCATGAGTTCTCTGATGGCTGCCGACCTATCCTAGTGGGGCCGAGTTTTGAAAAACACGCACTACAATCTCATATGCAACACACTGTACTAATAGACATCAGATGACTGGCTGTTCGCGAAATGATTGGTAGGTAAAATGTAGTAATTATGTACAGCATCCATGTTTTGTCCATCATGCGTACTGCATGCGATGTCATTTGACGGTTCAGAAGACAGCACGTGTGGGAGCATCGGGATCGTTTGTATGCCATGGTTCGCTAACCAACTCTCAGCTGGAAATTGTGATACTGGCCTGGTCATCAGTGACATCTCCTGAGATGCAGTAGGTGACAAACACACCTGCAGGATAGAAAGTAGAGGAGTCAGCGAGACGAGCAGAGTTCAAAACCGCAGCATGTTCTGCAGAAAGAGAGCGGTGCTCTCTATCAAGCTGCCTGAGGGTCTCGGTGGCTGCGCTTGAGTCAGCGAATTCGTCAGTCTCATTTTTCAAACCTACAAACCTCTTCTCAGAATCTCGTATCTTGTGGAAGGCCTCTCATTAGTTATTTCTTGGACGACCTGTCGCAGTTGTTGAAAACAATCTCTCTCGCCTTCACGGTATGGTCGCTGTAAGTTCGCTTTGATGCCGCCGATGTGCGGCATGTAAGTACTAGGATATCTGATATATCCTGATTATCGATGTCAGAGACGTTCAAAGCTGGACGCACGCCGCACACCCCCGTGACGCCTATGACCCTGCACCCCTACTAAAAACGGTAATCTTAGATAATCGTCGGACTTTGGACTGTGCATTCACCGTTAGTGTTGTGGGCAGAACTATTTTGGGGTAGTTCTGCCGGCAGAATTGGCAGAACTTGGCAGAACCATGTTCTGCCAGCGTGGCAGATGGCAGAATCGAATTTTTTTTGTGTCCATACTACATTGATGTAAGACCACTCGATAGTAACATCAAGTCAATATTCCAAGTCCCATCTTCATTTGCATCATGATCTGTGACCATAATCTCATCCTCTACTGCTGCAGGCACTAATCCCTCGTCAACATGCTGCAATTCTGCAAAGTTGAATGCATTCCCTTCTAAAACTTCCCTCCCATCCACATCCCAGTCCGACAGAAACTCTGTGTCAATCATTTTTTCTGCTTTGCAAATATCTTTGAGCTGAGCAAACTCAGCATCAATGTCATCAAGTGAAATTGATTCAGGACCTTTGAGATTGCAGTTGGTGTCACTGGAAACTGCTGTGAGCGGAGGAACAAATGCAAAGTCAGTCTCGAGCTGCTTGGCAACATCTGTATCAATGCCTGGAAGTTCAGTTGTATGCATGTGAGCGTGATGATGTTGTGTTGGCTTGCTGTCAGCAACATTTTTAAGGTGAATATGATAGTAAAGGTTGGCTCATATCTTGCCAAGTGTCTGGAACATGTTGACAGTCTCTCCATCAATGGATATTCCATGTATGCTGGCCTTGGCCAGTGATGCAGCATTTTGCCTGCCTAGCATATTAAGAGGAGTGACAATGATTTGAATGCTGCCATCACAGAACAGCAAAGGTAACCAGAATCCAAGCATTTTCCCCATTCCAGTGCCCACTATGCATATGACATCCCAGTCCCCTTTGAGCAGAGTCTGGGCAACTTTGAGCTGCCACAAACAAGGCTTCATGCCAAATTTTTCAAGAGAGCATGACTGAATGTCAGTTATTGATGGTATCTGCTGATTGTTAGAAGGATCTTAATTAGGAGAAGGCACATGTGCAGCCATTTGATTGTTGCTATAGCCTAAGATTATAACCAGTGTTGTACTTTACAAAAATGCTCAACATATCTAACCCTACATCCAGTCTTAGCAAATAAAATTCACGTTCCACTTCACTACCCACAGTGGCTGACAATGTTGACAAATGTTATCTTCCAGCCACTGGTGAGAGTGAGGGGAATTAGAGTTGGGCTGGGTTTGAATTTTTGTTGTAGCATGTGATCCGACTGTGCCCCTCCACACTCGAACCAGCAGATGGGAAGGAGCCTGTGCATTAGCTGCCTTCGCCTGTATACGGTATTGTTTCAAATCACGAGTCTTGTTTGCTGCCCTGTACAGTGTTCCTTTGCCCATTTATACCCTCGCTGTGAGTTGTACTGTTCAATGTTCGTCCCACTCAGGTATTGTTTTCCCCCTATTGTTTCTGCATGCCCCCGCACCTGCTTTTATGTCGCCACAATACCTACCACTAACATCATACACTATCGTATTATGCCACAATGTGATTCTTACCAACATTATATTTGTCTCTGATTTTTGCATACATGAGGTCACACCTGTTCTCATCGGCACCTGACCATAAGCGATTTTTGGGTATATGGAACTTTAATAATAACGGAAGTGCAGAAGCGAGGAGCCTCGTTTTTAGGGCGTCTATGGAAACAAGGAAGGTTCAACTTGATGCAGTGGAACAGATACATGCACTCTGCAGCCTACTGAGCAAAAGACCCACAATCCCTCCAAAGTTCACCTCAACCGCACTCAAAACCATCAACCTCCAGTAAAATGTCGAAGCTCATTCCAATCACTACACCCCTGCGAGAGTTCAAAGGCCATGAAGAATGCGTAATGGCAGTTGCAGTGTTCCCTGATGAATGTTGGATGGTTACAGGCTCATTAGACAAGACGCTTTGTCTGTGGGACTTGAAGACAGGTGTTGTGTTGAAGAAGATGGGGGGGCATAACAAGGGGGTGTCGAGGTTGGCGGTAACACGAGATGGGCAATTGATAGCAAGCGGTTATGAGAACGGAGAGGTCCTCATCTGGCATGGAGAAACTGGCAAATCACTCACCCAACCCCTCAAAGCCCACTCCGGTTGGATCTACTCACTGGATTTTTCTCCCGATGGAAAAGTATTGGCCACTGGTTCATATGATGGAATGATGAAACTGTGGAACACCAAAACCTGGGAACTGCAAGGAGATCCAGTTGAGTGTGTCAGTGATGTCACCTGTGTTTGGTATTCGCCATCTGGAGAACTCCTTGCCATTGCAACAAACGCCAATGTCGAAATTTATAATCCAGGCACGAGGGAATTTGTTGCATCCTTCAAGGCTCACACATCATGGAACTTGACGCTTGCCTGGACGCCTGATGGCACTTGTCTTCTCACAGGCAGTGACAACACCAATCCTACCCTACGTGAATGGGATGCACTCACCTGGCAGCAGGTCGGTGATCCTTGGATTGGCCACTCTCACTATATCCATGCCATCGCCGTTAACCCTACTGGTACACTTGTCGCATCAGCATCTTATGACGGTCAGGTCCGTCTCTGGCGACTCTCAGACCGACAAACTATTGCCACATTCAAGCACTCGTCTTTGACGATATGCATCACTTTCTCTGTGGACGGCAAGCACATTCTCAGTGTAGGTCAAGATAAGATGATCTCAGAGTGGGCAATACCCAACAACATCAATTCAAAGGCATGTTTCTATTCATTACTCATATACCACAATTCGAGCATGCTTCATGCAGATTCTTGCCATCCGTGATGCATGCATAGATGGAGACTTGTCTACCGCCGAAGAACTACTCATGCAAGAGCTCGATGCAGATGCTAATGACTATATTTCCTACGCCAATCACTCATTCATCAAGGCACGAAAACATGACTGGGACCACGCCCTTTGGGATGCAACCAAGGTGAGTTATATGCACTGATCATGGTCCCGCTAACTCAACGGTGACATAGTCCATCAGCATTCAGCCCTCATTGATAGGTTATATCTCTAAGGGTATTGCCCTTTGCGGAACAGGCCACATCCGGGATGTGAGGGCAGCATTGGATGTTGCATTTATGTACACAGACCAAGATTCAGAAACCACTCATTTTCTGCTCCTGATCAAGGTATGTTACAGTTGCCTCGCATACTATTTACTTCATTCCATGTTTCAGGCCATCATCCTCTTCGGTGCAGATCAACATGAGGAGGCAAACTTGCTCCTCAGAGAACTCATTGCTAGTTGTCTGAATGCCAATACTCTGGCATGTCGTGTCATGCAAGTAAGTATCATCCATGCTTTGTCATCAACACTGATCTTTGCAACTCACACATTAGGCATATCTTCGCGTTCAACTTGGAATCGGAGCCTTGGATGGCGCGCATTACGATGAAGCCGCTGACCATTTTACTGCCGCTCTCAACTACAGCAATATATCATTGATGGTAGGCATTCATGAAATATACGAGGATTTGGTGGTGGTATGTTAATACACACGTCTGAAATGCTTTTTGTAACTGAGTCCCCTATCTAGCTCTTCAGCTGGGATCTCAAATCTTTATGGTTGACTGTGCACCAGAAATATTGCCATGCACTCCTTTGCACAGGTAAACTTCAAGATGCTGTGAAGGCATACCAATACATGATGATTTCAAGTGATGAAAATACCAAGGCCGACTGCCTTGACTGGTCCAATGGCAAGTGTAGAGTTCGTAATGTTGCATTGGCTACAATCCTCACCCGCATTTTCACCCAGATTTCAAGAAGGGTTGCAGCGCACTCTGTGTTGTCGATGGAGATGCCGCCCTCGCTGCAAGCGATTATGATAGGGCTATTGACCTATATTCGGCAGCGATGGATCTGGATTATACATCAGATGTCGTCTTTGCAAATCGCAGCAAGGCAAAGTTGGGGAACATGCTATGGGAAGATGCACTTCTCGACGCGCTAAAGGTGCGATGGTATCTATGTTTTCATAGCCCATGTTGACTTCGGTAATGCATAGGTCACTGACCTCAATCCTTCGTCTCACATTGGATACCAGTTGACACATGTAGCGCTGCGTGGTGCGCAATGTTATGATGAAGCCATCAAAACCTTCACAATCATGTTGTCCAAATTGGACAATGCTCCCGAAGCGCGGATACGAGGTAAGCCATGGAACACTCTTGCATCATCTTGAAATGCCTATCTTGTCTGTAGATCTGCATCAGCAGTATCTATCACCATCCGACGCAGAAGGCGCTATTCGAAGAGCAGTTTGGATTGAGCTTGACAATGCCCCCCTTCATCTGCTCAACACCTCTACAGGTCTTTTGTGTGATAGAATGGCACAAATAAACGCCTTCAAAATGAGTCCAGAGTATAATGAGCTTGTCTCATTTCCAACAAAGGATTCAAACCTCCGAACAGAGCGCATCAAAGACGTAGTGGCAACGTACTTCCGCTGTGTATTGCTATCACACAGGTGGGAAGAAACGGAAGTGCTGTTGCATGACATCCAAGACAAAGTTGTGTATGAGTTGAATGGACCTGGTGGCATCGTGAAACTGCAGTCGTTCTGCAAAATCGCTTGTGATGCTGGGTATTGCTGGGCATGGATGGATACATGCTGCATCGACAAGAAGAGCAATACCGAGCTTCAAGAATCTGTCAACTCCATGTTTGTCTGGTACCGTCACTCAGCGCTTACCATTGTCTACCTATGTGATGTCCTTCCTTCATCCCAGCCCGGTGCACTGACGAGGAGTGTTTGGAACGAACGAGGATGGACATTTCAAGAATTTGTTGCTCCAAAAGTTATTATCTTTTATCAGAAGGATTGGTCCTTATATCTTGACGATTGCTCTCCCAACCACAAAGAGTCCCCTGCAATCATGAAGGAGTTGGAGGATGTGATGGGCATGGATGCACAGGCTTTGGTCTACTTCTGTCCAGGGATGAATGATGCCCGACAGAGACTTCAATGGGCGTCATCACGAGTTACTACATTGCAGGAAGACATCGTGTACTCATTATTTGGTATCTTTGGTGTCCACTTACCTGTAATCTATGGCGAGAAGAAGCAGAACGTGCTCGGGCAGCTCCTGCAGGAGATCGTGGCTTGGTCAGGTGACATCACTGTTCTTGACTGGATCGGACAATCATCCGAGTTCAATAGTTGTCTTCCAGCCTATATTATCTCTTATTCCACTCCTCCACATTCTCTTCCATCTTTGTCCAAGGATCAGATTCAGACAACCATCTCTTCGATGCAAAAAAATCCTGTGGTTGTAGATTTGGCTTCGAAACTTTATGACCAGCTTGATAACATAGGCGCTGCTCATTTCGCAAACTGCAGACTGCATCTGCCCTGCATCACCTTCCGTGTCACAGACATCAGTTTGAGCTATGATCCATCCCAGGAGCCTTGATATGAAGTCAAGGCAGACGGGCTTTGTGACCTGCTGATCACCACCAAAGAGCCGATTGTTCAGTTATTGCGGACAAGGCCCACTCAGCAAACCTTCGTGGTTGTCCGTCCCTGGGATCAGTCTCTCCTCGAGCTACCAGGTTTTGGAGATCTTTCCAACATTGGGGATGACACAGAGAGTGAGGATTATTTGATGCCACCTTCTTCTCTGTCAGATGACTCACCTAGCTGTTCTCTTGTAAAACAGGAGATGGTTGATCTAGAATCATGGGGATTGCTGTTGCTTGTTCGCCTTGGGGAGCCTTTTGGCGCATTTTTGCTAGCGCAGCAGTGCAGCGGAGAATACAAGAGGGTCGTGTCGGATCGTGATATCATTGCACAGGTCAAAGATATGAGTCCTGTTTGAGACTTGATGGACGTTAGGATGATGGAAATACTGTAGATGCGTGTTTTTTCCTGAAGATTAGGTATCTGAGGGGTTTTCATTGGATATGGGATACTACATGCATATTGAACTATAGTTTCCTTTCAAAGCAGACCATGGAGACCTACCTACACTGCCCCACAGTCTGATACTAGTAGACTAGCGCCCCTTCAAGCTCATCATACCTATCTGCATGGATGTTCAGGTTTAATTTATGCTTCAAGTCTCGTCATTTCCTCGTGTATCACCCTTTGTTCCCTAGAATTCTTTATGAATGGGTCCGCGACAGGTTGATGCAGTGATCCGCACATTGGTCAGGCAGGCTATGCATCCAGTCATCAGTAGCACATCTCGAAAGCCTGAAAAAAATGTGTTCTTGGGCAAAGAATCAAATGAAGCAAAAATGGCGACAGATTGACGGTGTTGGGCGGATAAGAGGCTCAAGCTTGGTGCGCTTGGTAGTGGGAACCATCAGAATGGAAGATGAGTAATTGGGGGAGCTGAAAGATTAGTAGAATCAGTGCTTGAAAATGAAACTCTTGGTGTCATGGCCGTTGCATTGGAGAAGGAGCTGCGAACCAAGCTGGAATAACCTGGGACACGCCTTGAGACACCCACCACCCAACCCACCTGCTATGAAATCTAGACTCGTCACCAGCCCGTCTATGAGGCAAGCCGTCGATAGACAGACTGGTAAAACTGGATTTGAATTTGAATGCTGAGCAAAATTATAGCATTAATTTCGTATTCTATTCAACACATCGAAAAACATTCGTGGGGGGGTGGCTTGAACCTGTACCACTACCATGGCAGTTTTTTCCTGCGCAATTTGCGGGCAAGTCTGAGTGACAATCGCTCTCAGCAATCCACTGGCCTCTTACATGAATACATACCCCCTCACAAACCACCCACCCACCATGAACCCTACACAATAAAAACACAAACTAGAAAACTCTAGCACCGAAACACCCATGAGTCACCCGTTAAAGCCACCAACAGATGAAAACCACCGTAACACCCCACACCACCCCATCAGAAATCTGAACATAACACACCATCCCCCACCAATAAACATACAACGCCCTAAAACTACACCACCCCATGAGAACACCACTAAATACAAATGTACAAAACCATACCCTGAATGAAAATGCCTGTCTCACCACACAACCCCATGAAGATAAGCTAACTAAAACAATATGTCAATTCCCTCCTACCAGATAATACCCCCCACAGCCCAGACACCCCGAAACATAATAAGACACACAAATGCAAAATACCCGACAGTAAACAACCAACCTAATATGTGTACGGCCACCGGAAATCAAAAACTAGCACAATAAGAACAGCCAACTCCAATGAAAACACTCAAAACTCATAACTGAAAAACGCATGCAACACACCACCCCAAAAACTGCCCTCCTCACCATGAAACTAATCCAAATACGCAAACACACTACCACGAAAACTCCCATGGCATAACAAAGGTAATGCCCCTAAACCCCCAAAATTCTATTATAAAAGTCCTACCCAAGCAACAATACCCCCAACCTAGCTTGCCATGAAGGACTTATCCAGTGTCAAAAGTGCAAACATCAATGCCCGCCCATCCCCCATGGGCACATGCCAGTCCCTCCCCAGACACCAGCAAACAGGCTCACAGTTCTTCCTGCCCAACGTCCTAACAGATGAAGGGGACACCACCGCAGAAGGAACCCCAACCCCCTGCATGAACATCTCACAAGTTCCACCCACTGAATCTGAGGAAAATGCGATGACCCCCACCATTTACTCCCCCATTTTCTCAAGAGACAAAGAGATAGAAATGCCCCTCGATACCTTACTCCACTCCCCTGCCCAAACCCCTGCCCAAGTGGAAGATGAAACCATGTCAGACCTACCTGTCACAATGCTGAGCCCCACAGCGACCCGCACTAAGCCCTCCACGTCTTCACAAGCATCTGAGGAAGACTTACTTCATGCCCACCTAGCTGTCACTGAGACAAACTGCTCCATCATTAGGTCAAACAGCATCAACTCCCTCGTGGTCATTCCCCAGTTCACCCCCATACCCATGGGTGGCTTCCCCCACATCCACCTCGCCCACGCGGCGCAGCTCTTTGACTACCAAGCAGCAAAAGTCATCACAGCATGGCTGAAGGTACCACACCCAAAAATCTTAGTTAGAGTTTTTGACCATGATGGGAAAAACCCATCCATCAAAGGCCCCATCCTAGTTGAACGACTACACATTGCAGTGTCCAAGATTGCGCACTTCGTCCACCAGGATGACCAGGATGTAAAGGTCTCACCACCTTGCCCCGAAGCCCTCACGGAAGATGCAAACCACCCTCTTAGCTTCCTTATTTATAATATCTCTGAAGAAACGCAAACTCTCATCCTCAACCAGCGAGTCTGGTCATCCACTGAAATTACTTTCACTGCCCACCAATTTAGAGTCAACTCACTACCCCTCCTCCTCTTTTGCCTCTATGGCTTCTCAACAACTGACACTGCTACTATCAGGTCAGCAGTCTACAAAGTTTGGACAGAAGACATCACTAGGTGGGATATCTGTGATATCCTATCTGAAGGAGATATCCCCAAGGATAAAGTCCACGCCACATCCTGGGACTTTATCAAGTCCCTATGGATTGAACACCTCGACTTCAAAGTTAGCAGCAGCATCTTACTCCCATGCTATAACATGTTAGCCATTAGCCCAACCAATATCCCTGCTGTTTGGATGAAGTTGAGAGCATATCTCCACTCCCTCACCTACCCATCCAAGCTTGAAGGAACCGGCACTGCAGTCAACTTCATGCCCTGCCCTCTTTGTCACTCCATCACACACCCGCGAGGGCTCTGCCCATTCCCCAACATCCTGCTCTGGAATGGGCCCAAACACAACGTGGTGACAAGGCCCAACAACTCGAGCCAGAGAGGAAAAGGCAAAGGGAGGAGAGGCCCCACCTGAGTACATACTCACATCTCTCACTAGATACTGCACATACCTTTAACTACCTCCCTTGAAATACCATAGCCCACGTATCCACACCTCCACCCCATGTATCTCAGTACTTGAATAAATCCCCTCTCACCAGAACCCAAGCATGATCAACACGATGTGAGCAAGACCCTGACAACAGCCACAACTGCACAGCTGGACTTACAGGGCGAAGTCCAAGAACCTAACACCTTCAGCCCAAATGTACTGACCACAGAAGTGGGACAGGAAAGCTGAAAGAGCCCTGATGGCGCAAGCCAAAAATGGAGGCCTATTCAGGCCAAGGATTAGCTGTGCAGAGATGCTGAAGCAACTGTGAAATGACTCGGTGAGCACAGGACTTACGGTTTCAAAGTAGCACTAGCATGTATCCACCGTGGCTGTCTGGGATATGACAGCCCTTGCCTCTCAATGGTCGTTCAGACAGCATAGTATCTCGACCACTCAGCAATTCAACAATCAAAACACATTCTATGGTACTTTTCCCAGCCTTGGTTTGAGCCTCCTGAGTAGCAGAGGGGGAAGCCCTCAAACCACTGGGGCCACCCCAAATGATGCTACCCAGGAGATGGTAGGTGGATCCCCAATTCAAACGCCCCACCAGGCAAACATAAACCCTAACAACACACAAAGAGACATACCTCTGCCTAAGAAAAAGAAAAAAACGAGAGCCAACATACTCCTTGCTACCCTGAACATGAAGGGCCACACATCCCCTCAACTGGGAAACAGTGAGATATCTAAGTGGTTGACGATCCAACACGTAATGTGAGAGAAAAAATTGGTATATTATGTGTACAAGAGACACACCTACTACCAGAACACGAAACACAAATAGATGCACTCTACTCACGAAGGTTAAAGGTAATAAACTCTAGAGACCCACACTGTCCAGGAAACTTGGTGGGAGTAGCTTTCATAATAAACAAAGAAATATTCAACCCAGAGGACCTGACAATGACAGAGATCATCCCTGGAAAAGCTTTAGTAATAAGAACAAAATGGCACAACAACATGAACCTAACGATAGCGAATATATATGCCCCAAACACCCACTCACAACATGAAGAATTCTGGAATCTTATAGCAAGAACCTGGCAAGAAAAGAGACTACCCAACCCAGACTTTATAATGGGCGACTTTAATATAATGGAAGATGCACTTGATAGAGCCCCAGCCTGCCCTGAACATGAACAAGCGCTAGACACCCTTAGAGACTTGAGATTCCAACTTGATGTTCAAGATACCTGGAGAATAAACCACCTGTCATCACGTCTCTTCACCTTCTATAGTAACACCAACACATACTCATGACTGGACTGAATATACACTTCCCCACACATGAATGAAACATCTGTGGATGGGATACCTGCACCTCAGCCATCCCAACAGACCACAGGATGGTACTAGTGAGATTCGCCCCGAACAACACACCTTTTGTCGGTAAAGGCCACTGGTCTTGGCCAGTGAGCCTAATGAACAACAAAGACTTAATAAAGAACATAAGCAAAGCAGGAATAACAGCCCAAGGTAAAATCATGCACCAACAAACACCAAGATCAAACTCAGAGAACCTGCAGACAACATGGGAGGAGTTCAAAACACAAATCCGACAGCTGGCAAAAATCACTGCGAAAGAACATTTAAATAAAATAAGAATAAGAATGAAACAATTGGAAGAGGACTTACACAAAACAACAGCTAATGACGATATCGATACTAACAAGTCCACCCAACAACACAAAGCATGGATTGAAAGTGAAATAAACCACCTAGAAAACAAATGATTCAGAAATAAACAGTTATACTCACAAGCAAAATGGGCAGAACAAGGGGAGACTATAAGCAAATACTGGTCAAAGATCAACAAAAGTAAGAAACCATGAGACGTAATATATAAACTGAAAATACCTGACCAAGACCAATACACCTCTCACTCCAACAAAATGGCAGAGGTCGCACGAACATACCATGATAACCTGCAAAAGGACCCAATATCTGACCAGGAAGCAGAAGAAAGACTAACTGAAATACAAAGAACAATGAATGAGATACTGCAAAATCAAAAACTCTGGAACAAAAACTCACCACTGCATAGCCCCCTAAAGGAGCATCACATCAAAGAAGCACTTTACACCTTGAAAACTGGAAGTGCCGCTGGAATAGATGGAATACCCTACGAGATATGGAAAAATTTACATGAGCAACACCTTAACAATCAAGAGAAAGACTTACCAAGCTTCGACATTATAAGAACACTTACACTAGTCATAAACAACATCCAGGAACATGGTGTTGAAGAAGAAACTGACTTTGCATTAGGATGGATGTGCCCCATTTATAAAAAGAAAGAATGCACCAATATTGAGAACTACTGCCCGATCACCCTTCTGAACACAGATTATAAGATCCTAATGAAAGCATTAGCAATGCAGCTGGCAAGAGAAGTGCACACACTAATACATACCGACCAAAGCAGCTTCATACCCCATAGATCCATATTCAACCCTATAAGACTCATGAAACTGATGATAGAATACGCAGACATTGTTGAAGAAAACGGAGTCCTAATAGCATTAGACCAAGAGAAAGCCTACGACAGAATAAAGCACGATTACCTTATAAAAACACTCGAAACCTTTCAACTACCACAAACCTTCATAAAAACAATCAAAGCGCTATATAAGAACGTGTATATAAAAATAGCAATAAATGGTGTACTTAGCGCACCCTTCCAAGTCACTAGAGGTGTAAGACAGGGTGACCCACTGTCATGTCTGCTCTTCGACCTAGCTATTGAACCATTAGCCTGCACCCTAAGAAACTCCGACAAACTAAGAGGATATAACATACCCAGAATAACTGACAAAATAATCGTAAATCTCTATGCTGACAACACTACAATATTCCTGAATGAGCTAGACAAATACAGTGACCTTGAAACAATCCTGTCAAAATGGTGTTGCACATCAGGCGCTAAGTTCAACCTTGAGAAGATGGAAATAATACCAATAGGAACAAAAACGCACCAAGACCGCATGATACAAACACAAAGAACAAACCAACTAGAATCACCATTGAATGAAAACATAAGGATTGCACCAGATGGACACCCTGTGCAATCACTAGGTGCCTGGATCGGCAACAAAGCAAACAATATAACCCCATGGAAACCTGTGATAAATAAAATCAATTCAACATTAAAGAGATGGAAAAACGGTCACCCCACTCTAGACAGAAAGAAACTTATAATTCAAATGGTCATGGGCAGCATGACCCAGTTCCTGATGAAAGCTCAGGGAATGCCCAAGAGTATAGAGATGGCACTAACAAAAATCATCTGGGGCTTCATATGGGATGACACGTGAACCCCCCCCATAAACCTAGAACAATTACAACATACTAAAAATGAAGGTGGAATCGGCCTTCTTGACATTAAGTCAAGGAATGAAGTGATAGAAATAACATGGATAAAAGCCTACCTTGACTTATCCCCCTCCAGACCAGCTTGGGCCTCAATCATGGACCTAATCATAAATAACACCAGACTAACACACGGCAAAGACGAAAGAACAAACCCATTTCTCACATCATGGACACCACCATCCAGAGGCCCAAAAATAGCCTCCCTACCCCAAGAAGTGCAAATGTTACTAAAAACTGCAAATAAATTCAACGTCAGTTTTGCCCCAATAAAGCTCTCAAAAGAACTTAAGAAAAACCTACCAGCATGGTGCCACCCAGGAACATCTAAGAACATGTACCATAAATCTAAGGATAAATGCTTAACAGACTGACATGACTCAAACAGTATAAAACACTTACTGAAAATAAGAAAATGTCTAACATGAGTAAGCGCCAACAACCAACACTTCCCCAGAAGCTCATGTCCCTGCACCGCCTGCCAAAAAGATAGAAACAAAGGATGTAAAAATCCCCATGCATGCGCACAACACACAAACAAAATCCTATTTAAAATTGCTCCAAAGTTTAATATGAAAACAAAACCAAAAAAAGACAGCCTATCACTTACCTGACACAGGAAAGAAAAGAACTACCAAGCCCACAAGAATCACCAGGGAGAAATACTGTTTGATCCGATGGTAACAAACTGATCCTGTTTATCCGACTGTTTCAGAATATTCATCGACCCCAAGAAAACATCACTCACCCCTGCCCATCGCCTACACACTCCCACAAGAGGCCTCAACCTAACACAAGACACCATAACCATCTTCACAGATGGCTCATGCATCAATAATGGGAAAGACGATGCGAGGAGCAGATGTGGAATATGGATAGAGGAAAACCACCCTAAGAACAAAGCCTTCAGAATACCAGGACAAAAACACTCAAACCAGATAGCAGAAATATCAGTGATACTGATAGCAACACAACAAATAGAACCTTACATACCTATCACGTTTGTAACTGACTCCAGATATGCAATTGAGAGCCTCACAAAACATCTCCCACTCTGGGAAGACATGGGATGGATTGGCGTAGTGAACAGCGAGTTTATTAAAGCAATGGTATATCATCTAAGAAAAAGATCAGCACAAACAAATTTCATCTGGGTAAAAGGACATACTGGACAAGAAGGAAATGAACAAGCAGACACCCTCGTGAAAGAAGGCATGAACAAACCCCAACCAGATACCCTAGACTTAAACATCCCAGACAAATTTAATCTGCAAGGAATGAAACTGTCAGTGATCTCACAAGCCCTTGCTTATTGAGGCATTAGAGAAATGAAAACAATAACACCATGGAGGAAGACCTCCAACAACCTGGACATCACAAGATACACAATCAAAGACCTAATGGGACACCTTGAAACAGATGCAACCATCTGGACAAACAGCTGACATAAAGACCTATCCAAGAAAATCAGACAATTCCTATACAAAGCATTACACGGCATGCACAAAATCGGAGAATTCTGGACTAACATACCAACATATGAACAACATGCAAAGTGCACACACTGTAACACAGACGAAGAATCGATGGAGCACATCATGGTCAACTGCCCAAACAATGCCAACCACACAATATGGACCCTAGCCAAAAGAACATGGCCACCAAAATACGGCGCCTGGCCCAGAATAGGCATCGGAACCATCCTAGGATGCGGAAACATAAGCATAAAATGAGAGGATCAGAACAACGAACAAGAAAACGACCAGACGAACAAACCTATGAAGGGTGCCTCAAGACTGCTGAGGATACTGGTGTCAGAATTGGCACATCTCATATGGGCAATAAGGTGCGATAGCACAATCAACGGTACTGTGTTTACTCAACAAACAATAACAAAGTGATGGACGACAAACATAAACAAAAGACTACAACTAGACAGAATAACAGCACGACAAATAAACCGTACCCCAGCCTTCCTACAACTAGTCACCTCTATGTGGAACGAAACAATAACATCAGCTGACCCCCTTCCAAAAAACTGGGCAATAGCCCTTGAGGTTTTAGTGGGTATTAAACCACCCAGGCCCTCTACAAATGAGGCAACCAGGTAGTATAGAGTCCCACACACCCCCAACAAGGGAGTGCATAAATGCATTTTCTCCTCGGACCAGGACCCCAAGCATCCCACTATAGCACATATCTGTAGAACTAGATTTTGTCAGTTGCTACAAATATACATTGCTTGTCCAAAAAAAAAAGAAAAACATTTGTTTTCTCATTGGTCAGACATCACATTACCCTGTGAATCCACTCAGCATCCAAATTCAAACCCAGTTTTACCAGTCCATCTCTTGCCTCAGATGTCTTGGGCTGGTCACGAGAGGACATCTCAATCCTGGAATATCCGGGACATCTGAGACATCCGAGCCACTTGCTTACATAATGCAAATCTCATGGTCATGACACAACCATGGCTGCTACCCAGCCAGCACTTGCAGTGCTGCAAACACTGCAGGCCAAACTCTCTCCTGGCTCATTCTTGACATTTAGTGGTCTTTTCAGGTTCATTACCCTGACATCAGCACTTAGGAATGACATATTACTCATGCAAGCTGCATCACATCCCCCCAATATTGCTCCCAATGTTATCTCTCCTGCCATCAATATGTTCTTGGCAGCCTGCTGTAATCTCTGCAGGAGTGACATAGATGTGTACTGGAAAGCTCTAAAGGATGTTGTGTGGCATGGTGGTGGAGACATTTTCAGTATTGAGGACACATCCCCCTTGTTTGTGAATCATGGGCAACAACATGGAATCAGTGCATATTGTGATTTTGTATGACATATTGTTGGTACCTTGTCATCCTGCCAGATGCATAAGCATAAACTTGTCACTACAGTAAAAGACATACCACAGCCCAACCAAACACCATGACCATATTCTGGGTAGTGATGGTGAGTTCATGTTCAAGAGTTTCAGCTTGGTGCCTGCGAAGGTGTTCTTCTTCTTGCATAGCATATGCATTAGTGAAGATGGGTGGCAATTGAGAAGGGTATTTTAGATTAGTGTAGAAATTGCCTTCTGATGCCAGGGCAGTGGCACAGTGTTTGCCTTTGTTCTTGCAGGCAGCAGGAACAACAGTAGTAGGATGCAGATTAACAGTATTGGAGGGAGGTGTAGTGGTTGTGGAGTTGGATGGTACAGATAGGAAAGACAAGGAGGACACATTAGATGATGATGAGGAGGAGGTTGATGTCATTATACTAGGGCCTGGGAGTGAAGCCTGTATTAAGATTGGATCAATTATGGGTGAAGGAGGCTGTACAGGTGCAAGTGTAGCTTGCACAAGCCCACTGACAGTGTGGCCCTTCACATCACATCCCCCCACAGCCCAGCAGTGCTTTCAGCACATTGCCTTGGCTGTTATGAACTTGGATGGAGCATTGTTCCAATAAAGGAATCAAGGATCAAGGTCAATCAAGGACAAAGCTTTTATCAAGTCAATGCCTCCCTCAGGAGCAATCATCTAGACTCCTGCAGGATCTAGAGTTCAAATGGGACAGTGGCTAGCCTCCTTCCCAAGGAGCTAGAGTTCAGGTATGAAAGGAAACTGAGTAGATTCAAGTTAGAGAAAATACAAGCAGTAACTAGGGTTTATATACATAAGAGAATCATGCACAGACCAAGCTGGGCTAAGGGTAACAATACTAGGAAAGGAAGGTTTATGGGAAAACAGAGTATGAGTCAGAGATAAGAGAGACCATGAGGAAACAGCACAGTGAAAAGGAAGTGTCAAGAGTACAGCCATAAGGTGTCTGCAGTGATGATGGGAAAAAGAGTGGGGCACTGTAACATTACCCCCCAGTTAACGTCTGAAGTCACTGACTTTCAGTCACTAAGATTCTGATTGTTGTTAGGGTCAAGTGGGAATATGATGGGATCTATGTCTGGCATATGGGATATGACACAGGGCATGGGAATACAACTAAGCTATAGGGAGGCATCAGAAAGCTCTGCTTCTTTGTGTTGTCTTCATTCCCTATAGCATGGGAATCTGACATTAGTGTGTGAAAATATGGACATTTTAATCTTGTGACTCATTGGGACACTTCTTTGACTTTCAATTTGATCAATACAATCTCTATAATTCTAGTACTTGGTGTGTCCTCCTGTTGCTCTAATCACTTCTACCACTCTTATAAACATACTTTCTACATCAGGTAAATGACCTGAAAACAATAAATTCTTACAAATCATTATCTGATCTAAAATGTGCACAATATCTATCATAATTGTAACCCATGTGAGAAAGCTCTATATACCCGGACTTAGTTGGATGAAAGCCACCAAATGCACAATTGAGACACTTTATTGTAAATCATCACTGAGACAGTACATGTTGCAACACCTACCTGTCAGGAGCGACCACCGTCCCCAGGTTGAGAATTGGCGGCAATACACTACAATTCAGCTTCTCCCTGGTCATGGCATGTAATCTTGGTTTGTTTTTATGTTGCCCACAATGTCTTGATAAATTCCAGTGTCAGGCAAAGTATTATATGGCCGGACTACATTGGACCAACACTGCTGACAGTCCAAGTCTGCTGAGCATTCATAATAGATTTCAAAGCTATCTCAACCCCGTGATCATATGCAAGGAGAGCTTGTTATTGGACCCTCAACAACAACTGTCATGGCGCTGATGCTAGGTATGTACCTGGCATGCTGGCCTACAATGCTTATATTTTTAAAATATGCAATTCAGTTCACAAATGGCAGTGCACTGCCATACGTCTCAATATCAATATAATACAACAATAACACATGAAGTAGTTTATCATTGTATTCTTCACATTGTCTATCTGCTTCTGGATCCTTGTGCCAAGGCCAGACAAGTACCACATTGGGGATGTATGACAATGTGGTGTCATCTGTTGGCTGACTGCTGAGGTACAGTTGCTGCATGCAAGGAGAGCGGGTCAATGTGTCCTCGGAAAATTTTGCCTGAACGATGTTGCCAGACAATCATATAACACAAGGTTGCATTGCAGAAAAGGCACCAAATCATTGGTGATGGTAACATAGTTGAGCACATGTAATATTAGAGGAATATTGTATAAACGACAGGCAATATGTGTTATGGACTAGGATAGTTGGGACAACAGCAGCTCAATAAGAGCGATGGCTGAAGTTGAATCAAGACCTTACAAAAGTAAGGGTCAGTTTAAGACAAAGCAAAGAGAGTGTCTCTGCTTTGAATGTCAGTTCAGACAACTTAGGACTGGAGATCCTAAGCGAGAGAATGTTCAGGTGAAAACCTAGTAAGATTAAAGTAAAGAACTACTAAGTACATCGTTGACTATATATAGGGAACCGTAGACGATTCAGGGCAGGCATAAGTCAACCGATGAGTCAGAGATAAGAGAAATGAGTCATCTAGTGATGGCAAGGGTGATCGTGATGTAATACAGATGAATCAAGAGATAGTCTAGCGGCGGCAATGTGCGGCTCGTGATGTAATACAAGGATAAGAGGGAAAATGAGATAAGGGTGCACATGACTGTAACAATATGACACGTTGCTGACCCACAATATGATGCATTGCCAACCCACAATTATTTCCCAGTCATGTTGCATGTTTGTTCTCATGTGGTCCTTTGAATCAATTACAGAGCAAGCTATCATTAGTTTATATTTCTACAAAGTAAGAAATAACACGGTTTAATTAAAAACTATGAAGAGAAACTACACAGAGGGGATATCCAAGTTGGTAGCTTGTTTGAGGGCAATACACTTTTGTCAAATCTTGGATAAGGTGCTGTTAGCACTGATAGGCCTCTTGGCAGCTGAGGAAGTGGGAAAAATTTGGCTGAGTTGCGCGATATCAGCTTAAGCAGCATAGTGAAGAGCAATAAAACATACTGATTCCACCACATTAGCAGTTCATCAACTTCCAGTGATTCCTCAGTGTCTTCTAAAAGGTCATGGAGACTATGGTAGAACATTTCCGAATCTGTGGTGGTGTCAGTTCATGAGAATACTGAGGACAACCTTAAAGCAAATCGCACCTTCAGCACTAAATTAAAGCCTGTATTTTACAGAAGTATGATGATCAACAAACCTGAGTTGTGATGTATGCTATTGAGGCGATGGTAACAGATATCATGCTGTGGAGGTGGGCATTACCAGATTGTGTGGCCTTCAACTCCCTGTCGACCAAGCTTGGAGATGTAAAAACATATTTGTAGGCCTGGTAGAATAAGATGTAGTAGGTGAGTTATATAAAATGCGGGTGAATATGCACAAGTACTAGCAAGTGGCTCCTAAGAAGGCCGCACCACAGGTCTTCAGGATCATAAACCTGATTGGCATACAAAAAATCAGCCATTGATCCCCAGAGACCAGCATTTCGCCACTTCATAGGTTTTCTTTTGTCCTGGTCAAAAAAATCAGGATCACACTGATGCCAGTAAATTGAAACATACTGAGGATCATTCCAGTTTAACCTGGCAGGGCAGAGGAGAGATCTGGTAAGTTCATGGTTAAACCCACGATTGATCTTAGTATTTCTATGTAGAGGAGGCTGTCTTGACCTACCCACCTGGTGGTGGGACATGCTGATCTCATTGCTTAGGATCGAGCTACCATGTAGCTGTGATGTAGACAAGAGCTGTGAGGAGCATCCCCATGCAAAGTTCATAGCAAATGCCAACGATCACTTGGTGTGGAATGGCTGTGATACTTTGCTTCTGCCAGTGAAAAGTCTCAAAGATGGAGATGAGGACTCAATGGCAAAGCTCAAAGAGAGATTGAAACTAGCAGAAACCAACTGTTCAAGACTGGAAGAGCTGTACCAAGTATACAGACATTGTTGGATGGAGGAACACTATTGCGTGAGGGCATTAGAATGGTACACACCCAAGGGAATAAGTACTTGGCCTTCCCATCAAATCCCATGGGATGCTCCCTCCCCTGCTCAAAGTACGTTGGCCACATGGTCCCTTACGGGCACATGAATCAAACTGACTGTGTTGGTCAGGTGAATTTCAAGAAACTGATTTGCTTGTCCAAGATTGTTAAGAGCAAATCCAGAACATGGTGTATCTAGATCATTGTGTCACCATGCTGATATAAATTTTGATGTGGTGGAAAATACCTTATCTTGCATCTCTGATGCATTCTGAAAACTTGGGTGTTAGTATCCGAACTTTGTAGTACATCGAATGTTGATCAAGGTATCACTGCGCATGCAGAAGGTTGTACTATGTAGAAATAAGGTGCCATGAAAAAAGGTTCTGATACTCTGCTTTTCATAAGACAAAATGTGTGATACACATTACATAATACAACAGCAAACAATGGTTGATACAGGTAAGAATCAATCATGTCAGTGGGTGAAAATAAATAAATGCACTTCCAGACAGTCAATCTAGTTTTGGGTCATCAGGGCATTTGTCTGGGTTGAAATCAAAGTCAATAGGCTCTTCAATATCACCATCAAAGAGATCGTCGTAGGGGCTTGCTTCCCCAGGCAGTAGAGACATTCCGACAGTTTCATCCCAGGCTGAGTGTGAACCTGTAAAGACATCAGCTGTAGAGTTAGACATGGTTGAGTTTTGCTCACTAAGATTGGAAGAGTCCAACAAATGAGTGTTATTAATAGCCACCATATAGAGCTTTATCTCAGCTTGCGTGTGTTGCATCTTTGAATGCAGGATGAGCAGATCCAGCCCAAGATTGCAGAGGTAGGCATTGCTATGCCTAGTAGCAAGAGATTTTGACATTAGTTCTGACTGCATGTCCAGTTCTGTCTGGAATGCCTTGTAAAAGGCATTCTGAACATCAGCAGTTACCCAAGTACTGAGTAGGGGCATTGAGGGGCCGATGTGCTGTGGAGACATTTGAGTACAGCCACACAGAACATTACAGTACTTACACTCAAAAGGGCAGACACTGGACTTTCCTGCTGTGCAGTGGCCTGGGGGGAGGGTATGGATGTTAAAGGGCTCAAGCCATGCCAATGTGAGGAATTGGCTGAGCTGAGATACACATCATTCTGCACTGAACAGGCTCTACATGTCTCTTGCGTAGAAATGGAGCAGGCTAAAGGTGCACAAGCCAAAGGCAAGCAGGCCAAAGGTGGAGCACTGTGCCTCCAGGCTGCAGAGGGTGTTTTGATCTTGTGCTTGGCTAGAAGTCTGACATGTGCTACAGCTGGAGGGTTTAGACAATGTATTTACATTGCAAAGTCAAATAAACTCACACATCTGAAGCTGTTCCAAGATTTCAATGGCCTGAGAGTATAGAGACACTTCCAACTGGCATTGTCTCTTCCTCTCATCCATAAGATATCTCTCCACAGCTGCATGACTTCTTCCAGTTCCATTACAGATGCTCTGGTGTCTATGCAGGGTTTCCTCCTGTTTCGCATACTACGCTCCCCAGCTAGTTCCCAAAGGTCACCATGATAGACTCGACCTTTGAGTAAATATGACAAAATGTATAGTTCAGTTTGGACCTAAGAAAAAAGGCAAAAAATTAGGATGCATGAAGATGTGAAGATATTGATTGACCTTCTGGTTTGTTATCAGCCCCACATAGGCATCAATAAATTCACTGCTTAATAAGTTGGAAAGTTGAAAAATGCTCAGATGAGCAGTTGTGTAGTCAAACAATTCTGGTAACAGACAGGTTGACATCTTGCATGCTTATCACTCCTGTGGTGGTAGTATGTGGCACTTGAGCTATTGCAGACTATTTGTAGTTTCAAGGACTCAGGAAGGGCAGACATTGTGAGAATCTTGACAGCTCTGTGGCACTCACCTCTGGCCATCAAAATACAGTGATCTTGCCATCAATTTTGATGGTGGGGGCCCCAAAAAAGGTGTTTGCAAGTGATTTTACACTATCAATTCTGATTGACGATCCAAGTAGAGTCCAAGGTGTACACTGGTGTGTGTGCATTCTTTGCAGGGACATTTGTTAGAATAAAGCTTTCTAAAAATCAACAAAACATTATAATTAATATAGGAGCTTATTGACAACATTATTATGTAAGGTTGCCAGGGAATCTTTCTACATGGCACTGATCAAGCGCTATGAGGTTCAGGTCATCCTGAACAGACTTGAATATGGCAGTTCATCAATGGCCTTGATACTACTTGGACGCATCTTTTGCAATGTTTAAACAGAATTCGGAACTCATTCAACATAATTCCATATCCATCAGGACAACCAAGCCTATTCAACAACTCAGTCTGCTCTCTGTGGTTCCACTCGAATTTGACAGGCAAGATCCACTGCTCTGTATAATTCATCAATTAAACTGTGGCTCCCCAGTGAAGTAAACTCATACCTCTGAGTCTTGGAGGGTACTGGAAGGTGGCTACAAATGACAGCTGGAAAAACTTATCTATGTTCACTATGTGATGACCATGAGTCAGGATTGATAGATATCATTGAGCATGAAGAGTGCTGACCTTGGTATCCACATCTGTCTGATGTGCATCTTGCCTTCCATTCAGCCTTATTAGTGCTTCTATTCCACCAAGAGTATACTGCTGCCTCTGTATATGCCTCCCTTCCACACTCATCAGCACATAAGCAGCACAGGTATCTAAATTCATATTTGTCATGGCATCTCTCTAGGCCAGATGGTGGAATCTTCTCTCCATCAATATTGAGAGGCCTATATGGTATCATTGATATGTGAGTGTCATGGTCGAATATTCACATGGTATTACCCCACCAACACCACTCAATCATAGATCTAGAAGTGCTGTTGTAATGCAGGAAGGCAAAGCTGCAGGTCATGGCTTCCTGTCATATCCTGTATGCCAGACATAGATCCCATCATATCCCCACACTTTCCAGACTTATTTCCAGACCCCATATCCAACTCATTCCCAGATCCCCTTCCACTGTGTGCTCCATATCTAAGCAGGATTAGATCTGCTATGGAATTACCCCTGAGCTCCAGACCTCCGGATCTTTACTACTAGCCTGATCCATACACCCCTATCCTGTCCACCCTATGCACATTCCATCCAGCAAGACATCCGGACTTTACCTCCTCTTGGATTCCAGACTACATCCACCACCTCACATATCTCAGTCCTGTTTCTGCCCTGCCTTCCAGATCCCCAGATCTCTGGACCTCCGGATATTAACTGTACTATCTCTGGACCATTCCCACCCTCCATCCAAGATCCTGCACCCATCCCCATTTAGGCATCTCCACCTTTCCGGTTCTTGGTTATCTCTGTTTCTGTCTTGCTGATTGATCCTTGTATGAGTCTTCATCTCCAAGTTCATTTAGTTATGTTCTGTCTTACTTACCAATGTATTTCCACATGCTTGTACATAGCCTTACTCCATTGCTTACTGATCCTCTCGGATATCCTCTAGTATATAACCCCTGTACAACTCCTGTAGAGTCCTCAGTTTGAATATTATCTTAGATCCTGTTCTACTTGCCCAATCCTCTCTTGGACTTTGGTCCACCTAAGTCTGTCCTATCCATCAGGCCTAGGGATTGATTCCCTAGGCTGGAGCTCTGCCTTTCCGGCACTTCCCCTCTTTCCGGACTTAGGTCCAATCCCTGTCCCTCCAACTCCACCTTAGGGTAGTCTACCTCTGTTTGTTTCTACATCAGACTTCGTCTGATGTAGCCCCTGTTCCTTCCATGCCTTTGGATGTCCTACCCTCCTGCCTTCCATACCTTCAGACATCCTATCCTCCTGTCCTTTGGACATCCTGCCCTCTGTACCTTCAGACATCCTATCTTCCTGCCCTCCGTACCTTCAGACACTCCACCCTCCTGCCCTTCATATCTTCGGACATCCTATCCTCCTGTCCTTCAGACATCCATCCTCCTGTCCTCCTGTCCTCCAGACCTTCAGACCCTTGGACCTCCTATCCTTCCATCCTGTTTCCTGTAGAAGTATTACCTTGCAGTGGGAACTCTCCTGAGCACTTCCTGTGTTCCTCTGGAACTCTCCCATGCTCCTCTGGACTTCGTCAGACCATCATCAGACCTCATATGAAATGAAGGGCACATACTTGGGTAAGGGGCACAGTGTATGAGCTGAGGCCAAGCCCCTCTGAGTCAGTCTCTCTCTCCTTTGAGCAACATGGTTCTTAACATTCTACCATCATGACCACCCAGATCATCAATGGCACTACCATAGCCAAGTAAGTCATTTGTTATCCACGTCCAGCCTGTCCTAATCAATCATGTGGTCTAGGTCAATCTGCAATGATGTTGCGCAGAAAATTAAGGTGTTCCAAGCCCAGTACCTTCAGTTTCAGCCTCAGCTTGTAGTCATGCAAGCTGGAGAGCATCCCGATTCCACCACTTACATCTGTATGAAAGCTAAAGCTGCAGAGGAAGTCAGCATCAAGTTCAATCACATCACATTCCCAGAAGCAGCTATGGCAGAAGAGATCATCCAGGTTGTTAAGAAGCTTTCAGATGACGATGCTGTTAGCGGTGTTCTTGTTCAGCTCCCTCTTGGGCCCAATGTCAATGCAGACAATACCTGCACTGTCACTGAGGCGGTTTCTCTCAAGAAAGATGTCGATGGGTAAGTTGTTTTCATGTGGGAAATCACTTTTTCTGAGAGATCCAGCTTCCATGCATACAACATCAGTCACTTGTCTTCATGTGCTGCTTCCCTGTTATTCATTCCGTGTACTCCAGCAGCTGTTATTTGTTTGCTGGAGAGCACTGGCATATCCATCACAGGTGCAAATGCAGTCATGCTCAGTCGCAGCAACATCATCAGAAACCCTGTGGCTGCACTCCTGAGAAGTCACAATGCAACTGTCACCCAATGCCACAGTCACACCAAGAACATTGAACAGATCATCAGTTCCATCTATTATCAGATATCATATCGCAACTTTCTCACACTCACTTGCAAACTGGCCGCCTCCAAGTTGTCATTGTGTTGTAGACTCTCTAGCCTGCAAGGGAATACACCAAATATGGCCCTAATAACTTTGAGACATTTAATACGTTCTCCATGATCAAGTACATGTGGGAAGGCTACAATCGCGGTGTAAACTGGGCATCATTCCACCCTATGCTACTGTTGCTTGTGTCTGCAGCTGATGGGCTCAACAACTTGAAAATCTCCCAGGTAGTTCCTTTAATTCTCCAGTCAGAGAGCATTGTTCTCATGTTTTTGCAGCTTATTGGAGTTTACACCCATGCACTATCACATTCGACCCGACTGAGTACTGCTGTCAGTTTGGGTGAAAATTTGCACTTCCATGAGAAAGGGGTTCATGATGTTATCTCTCGTGTCCTTTTTCTGTTATGAACTAGGATAGTTCTAATGACAGACAACTCGATAAGAGTCAGGACCTCTGCTGAGATTCTATGTAAGATGATAAGTCAAACGTTCAGTGTAAGCTAAGTCAGAAGGAGTGCTTCTAACTTAAAGTATGGTTCAGACGACAAGAGATTGGAGGTCTCAAGCGAAGGATGTTCCAGGTAAAACCTAGTAAGATTAAAGTAAAGAGCTAAAGCGTACAGGAGGACTATTTATAGTGAACTACAGTGCTTTAGGGCAGACGTGAGAATGGAATGAGCCAGAGATAAGAAACACATAAGCGATAACAAGAATAGGTCATCTAGCAATGGCAGCAGCGGTTGTGATGTAATACAAGGTGTGAGTCAGAGATAAGTCTAGCGGCATTATGCGGCTTGCGACATAATACATGGTAAGAAAGAGGAAAATGAATAGGGGTGTACATGGTTGTAACATCTTCCCTGGTTGAACTTTGTCCGATTCTTCATTGGTTGCTCCTCAACAACCATTGGCGTGCAATTCATGCATGGAGGATCCTTCTGTTCCTGATGCACAATTAGTTCACTTCCTCATGTTCCCCAACATCAAGGAAGAGTACTTTGACAAGGTGATCAAGTGTCAGGTGAAGTGCATGCAAGCTGTGACAATATATACTACATGTCTGTGTGTGATATGAGATCTATTGAATTTTTTGAATCTTCACAACTACACTCTCTTAATTCTCCACAAGACTGGTTTGAGATTACACGAAATTCACCTGAGTTCATGAGGCAACAGTGAGTCAGTCAATAGCATCATTGACAGCTTCGGGGTATCAAAGCATGGTCTGATTGTTTATTGGCTGCGCTCGAGCAGCGCACCAGCACACAAAAGCAGATGGCCATGAATCCCCATGATGCACAATTGTCAAATTTTGTAACTTCCCACACATATGACAAGAATATTGCAATTCTAGATTGCCAACTGGCAAATGACCATCACAAATTCAGGCTTAGGCAACAAATGACTGTGATGCACAATTGTTAGAGAGGTATTGTAATGTCTCACACACATGATGAGGATGTTGCAATTTTAGATTGCCAACTGCAAGCAACCATCACAAATTCAAGTGCAGGTAGCAGATGATCATTGTTCAGGAGAGATGCTAGCCTTCCTTCATTGATTTATCTATAAGTGCCACAGTTGTGAGACATGCATGTCTTCATTGGAATTACAGTTTTCTTGTCATTCAATGTTGAAATGCTTGTGCTTAGGTATTGCTTTGTATTTGGATACAATTTGTGGATACTTTGTACAGTTTTGCCAAAAATCTCTATGAAAAACATCGCCAGCCTGATTTCATGATGTATCAATTCCTAGCATTGCCCATTAACAATCTTCCCCCACTATGCTGCAACTCCCTCCCATAGCTGAAATAGCCCCTATTCTCATTCTCAGCTCCTCTCACCTGTCTACCAGACAGATTTCTACTACAGCTGGTCTGGGCAGGAATACTATTGCTAGACTCATCAAAATGGCCATTCCAATTAAGGAAAATATCAAATTACATCACCCTTTTAAGTTTATACCATATAGCAAAGATCTTTTGTGTATCACATTTGGACCAGGCAGGCTGCTAATGCTACTCAAGCCATCAAATGCATTGATTCCATCATCCACACCATTGTCTCCACTCAAATAATCAGGAATGCTCTTAAGGCAGCCACCATTAAAGCTAAAACCAAGAAGAAAAGCTTCTTCTATCTTCAGCCAATGGAGGGAGGTATTACAGTTCCTCTTTTTCTCTTCACTTATTTCACATTACTAATCATTCTCAGATGTTCCATCATATTCTATCATACAATGTCTATCCTCTTTTCTGATTCACTATTTACTTTCCATCTCTGATTCATTTATTAAAGCTCCACTTTAATCCTTCTATTTAAACCCTATCTCTTACACCTGTATTCTTTAACTTGACCTATGCAGACCAGGGCCTGCAATATACTGCTTAACTCACACACATATTGCAGTGACCTATCTCCATATTATATGAGTGAATGGACGTGCATAATATCCCATATAATACGGGCCAGCGGACCATGGGCCAAAGGTAAAAATATCCCCGACTATGATGGATGGGCCGGGAGGGATATTATTTCCGATGGGGACAGGTGGGCCCATCTATGCCCATGTTATAAATATCCTCGATGATGGCAGATGGGCCGGGAGAAATATTATTACTGATGGAGATGGGTGGGCCCATCTGGGCAATATGTAGAGTAGGATAGACATATATGATACACAGCTGGGCTGAAGAGAGATGTATGGCAGATATTATTATATAGACAGGTGGGCCAATGTATTAGTATTATTTTGTAGATGGGTGGGCCGATGGGGTGGTGAAATACTTATTATATGTATATACAGGTGGGCCGAGGTGGGGGTATATGAGATAGACAGGTAGGCCGATGGGGTGGTGAAATATGTATTATATAGATGGGTGGGCTGATGTAGGGGTATATTACATGGATGGGTGGGCCAACATAGGGTATATTACATAGATGGGTGGGCCCAGATACATATCATTTAGACATATGGGCCAAGGTATTGGTATACTATATGGACATATGAGCAATGCTGTTGCACTAGTTTTGATCCAAGTCATCAATGACATTCAGACTCAGATCCTGTCAATGTTGATCAAAGTCAACACAGCCAAGTGCCCTGTTGACTCGGAATCCAGCAATACCTTGGAAGACGGTCCATAGATGTAAGGGCCAAGGTATTTGTATACTAAATGGATGTATGGACATATAGGCTGAGGTAGTGATATATATTATATTGATGGGTGGGGTGAGGGAGTTGTTATCACACATAAACATAAACCCAACACCCAAAACTCGAATCACCGAGTACTGAGTCCTGAAGCCCAAACATCAAACCCCAAACATTGAAACCTGAAACCTGAAACTCGAAAGTTGTAAAAATGTATGAGTTTTGTAGGTAGTTGTATATCATCCAAATCAAAGGAGGTAATAATTCAAAGTCATCTAATGATGAAGGTCACAAGTGCCAGAAAATCAAGCACCCATTACAGACGTGAACATGCAGCACCAACTACTGAGTAGCTAATGCACACAGCATGCATTGCCCTATGAGAAGCCAAGTTCCAACTACCAAGATCTGAGGCCCAGGTCTCAACAAACAAATATCTGATATCCAGCACACTTCCAATCATCTGGTATTTCATTGAGCAATGGATGATAACACATCTTTGGAAAATAACATCATGTGAGGCTCCCCTATCTGATCCTCACTATCTCCACCCCCTTTAACTCCAAAGTGTGGACATGCAGGGTTCAGCATCTGATTTCCCAAGATCAATTCCATCATGACTGTTTCTTCCACTTCCGATATTGAAATAACCCTCTGGTGCACTTGGGCCCTGACTGTCACTCATGAGGCATGTGAATATACTGAATGGAAATTCAATGCAGAGAAGACAGGAGGAGACCCAGTTATACCTTCTCCGAACCTAGACACTGATCTGGTGATGGCTTGCGATTGATTGGTTGATCGCCTGATAAAGGCACATAAAAATCCCAGTGGGTCTTCTTGCAGATTCAGAAAATTGGTTTTATCAGTCAAATTGCTTTATCACAGTTCAGATGCAGATTGATGTTGCAAGATATAGCAAAGTGATCTCCCTGAAGGACACTGGGCATAATGAAGAGAGAGAGGAGAAGTTGCTTGAGAGGTGTCCTCCTGGCCATGAGGGCACAAAGTTGGTTGAGATACCCGCCACAATTCTTGATGCATCTGGTGCCATCATTGCATGGTACATCCCAGATGCTCTGACCGATGCCACCCAGGTGTGTAATATATATTGTTACTCAATGGATATTGAACATCAAATGGTGCCCACAGAAGGAAATTTGGGCAGCCTCTGATTTGCTCACTCCAATCCTCAAAAAAAGCATCAAGCTTGATGGCAATTTGTGAACTAATCAAGAGTGGTTCAAACCAATGTCTTAACTCCTGGATGCATCAATTTGTCTCTGGCATGGTTTCAACAGGGGCACAAGGTAGGATGTGATGCGATGGTGATTTTGGTAGTCAAACTCACGAATCCCCTAGAATCAGTCAGATCTGGAGGTATCTGCATCATTGAAGGGGGAATCCTCTGAGAAGATCCTCAAAGCCATTGTGAGGCCAGCAGCCATTGCAACAGTGGCACTCAGGGTGATGCATCCTGAGCAGTACTGGGCAGGTTTGTGAGCCTTTTCAAGCCTCAGAGAAAAGGCAGAAAGCAAGGAACTGCCAAAGATGTCAGAGACTCTCCAGTACTGGGCATCCGTGTTTAACAGCCTGTCTGTCATTTCCAATCGGGAAACCCCCAATCATTGAGACCATTTATCTATTCCAGAATGCTTCAACATTCTCACTACCATGGGGAATTATTCTAATGCTCGGATGAGCATGGCAAGCCTTCAGCTGGAGTTCAGGTACGATCCGGGTTGCATGATTGCGTTTTCCAGAAGGATCATGAGACAT